TATTTGACTTTATATATTTTAAATATATATTTTTTCTTGCAACTAAAAATATAGTGTTTGCTAAAATAGCAATTATCACCACCACCCCCTTTCTCTCGCCTAATTTATGTTCTTTTTTACTTTTCTCCCCCCCCCCGCATTCACACATGTCCAGTCGATTGACGTCGTGGACAAAAGCCATACACCAGATTTAGAAAATATTTAACAGAAAACAGTGGCTTATTTGTTATTCCCTGTTATATCTGCTATTATTTCCTGTATCAATTTTCTTTTTTCTATTTCACTTCTTCTTCTCTTCTTCTCCTTTTTAGACTTATTTTTCCTTCGTACATACTGTTTTCACTAATCAATACATTCATAACAAAATATTATTTTCTTGTTTCTTTTCTTATTATTTTGTACAAACATAGAAGCTATTTTACTCTACACTTTTTTTGTCAATTAGCTGCGCTAAGACCGTCGTTTTCTCTCTCTATCGTTTCAGTCTCACGTACAAACCTCTCTTAAACAATCCCGGTCTATATTTCAACCAGAACCCATTCATCTTTATTATTTCAACAGAAACAGAAACAACTAACCAAAAAATGACAGCCAAGCGGTGGTGGTCGCCATCACACATGCTCCCTCTCTACATCCTATTATCTATTATTCCATTTGCAGTGTACGCTACTGCCAACACATGCATCACCAACGGTCATTCACTGAATCGCAGGGCCAATATACCTACCGACAGTAGCAGCTTGTACAAAGCAGCGCTATTCAAACGCAAATCTTTGAATGATGCTGCTGCCTCTGCCTTGGTAGTGTCTGGCCGCCAGTGCACATCCGATATGCAATGTGTCGGATACCGCAACGGTGATCACGATAAGCCTCAGGGAATGGGTAATGCTCGTGCTATTGATTCGTCGAGGCGAAAGGCGCGGCTAGGAGAGTACGCGTGTATTGATGGCACTTGCCGTTATGTCGTTAAGTCTGGTAAGCATGGGGTGCTATATTTTTTTATATCTTGATTAGTTTGCCATGCTGTGCTTTGTTTGTTGTCTGTTCCCTCCCCTCCCTCCCTACTCTTTATTTTTCTTTATGGCCATGCGGGTATAATCGTTTATTTTATCCACTCTAGTTTTTGAATTATTCTCGGTTATCTCATTACCGCCACACTTTATCCCATGGCTTATCACGCTTGTGGCCACAAAGTATTTATTTATCTTGGCCATGCTACACACTATTTTGTATATTGCTTTTTCATGCATTTACTTTTTTTTGCTTGAAGGCACGTGAAAATTCTTAAATGCAATATTGCCGCTCGTGATCTACTAACTAAACAGTTATCGATAACCCCTTTGTAATTATTTTTTATTTTTGGACAATCGTAGGCGAGCTGTGTTTGAGAGCCAACGACTGCGCGGCTTTCCAGCTCAACCGCCGATGGAAACTAGCGGCATCTGCTCAAAACACATCATCCGCCATCGGACAGAATGCTGAGACTTTCGATGATGACGACGACGATCAGGCGCAGGCATGGTGCGCGCCTCAGTTTTGCACGCTCGAGTCGACCTGCGGGGGCGCATGGACTCTGCCGGGTGCTCCCCGAGACTTACCCCCAGGCGTTGATGCTAGCAAAGCGCTCACCAATGGCACCATATCCTGCTGCCGCGGATTCCTGGACAACGCTCAGTGTGGCGTATACAGCGGTGCCGTCGACACATGCAGCAGCGGATTCTCGTGCGTCACACCTAATATTGTCAACCCCTCTGCCATGGACGACAGAATGGCCATATCGCGCAACGCTATTGTCGAGCTCAGGCAGGCCGCCCTGGAGGACGGCACGCCAATGGGGAAGTGTGTCAGCCAGGAGCCGCACCAGCAAGTGTGGATTGGCGTTCTGTTGGTGCTTATTGGCGGTGCGACGCTCAATATAGGCTTGAATTTGCAAAAGTACGCGTTTCGGAAGCGGCAAGAGAATATTGAGGCTGATTTGGCTGACGCCGCAGCCATTGCTGCGGACAAGACCACGGTGTTTTCACGGTCACCGTCTGCGCCCAGCGAAATCTACTTTTACTCGTCCGAGGCTCTGAACACGCACCAGGGCGGGATGGCAAAAAGAAAGTCGGCTGCGTATTTGAAAGAGCTGGCGGAGGATTGCCATGCCACGCTGAATGCCGCATCCGTGGTGTTCCCTGTTTCGGCAGCCTCCAATATGCGGAGAGCAGGAAACAACGCGGGCATCCTGGACAGTCGCGCTTCTGCGTCGTTTACTGAGGATAACGGAATCCTCGAGGTCTCGGATGCGGCCTGTCGCGAGCAACACAAGCAGCACGAGACAGTGAGCACCAATGCTAAGCAGCTGTGCTTCAGTAGTTGCAAGATGCCTGAAGACTTAGACGCGCACCCAATTATCCCGGTCGCCGGGAGACAGCCTTGGCAGAGCAGGCTGCGCAACAAAATTTTTGAGCGCAAGCTGCGCAACACGCCCTTCAGCAGTCCGGTCTGGGCTATTGGCCTGGTCATTTTTATTCTCGGAAACGTGGTCAACTTTGTCGCTTTGCAGTTTGCGCCCCAGTCCCTGGTGGCCCCGCTGGGTGCTGTATCGCTGGTGACCAATGTCATTATTGCGCCCCTGTTGAACAACGAGAAGATCAGCATGTTTGATATTGGCGGTATCGCGCTGATTATCGCCGGCTGTGTCATTGTCGTGGTATTCAGTGGAATTGTTCAGCAGGATTATCGGCTGTGTGTGCTTATCCAGTTGCTTAAGGCCAAGCCAACCGTGCTTTACCTATGCTTGATTTTTGCCGCCATCTTGGCCATTTATGTTTTCCTGTGGAGCATCGAGAGAGGTATGGCTCGGTATCTCATGGAAAACCACGAGATCGGAGATGGAGACGATGCGGCCAATGCTGCTGACTCTGATTCTGCACCCGGGCACTCTGCACTTGGGCAGAGCAACAAAAAGACCCGTCGGAGTTTGGACAAGAGTCTGGAAAATACTGACAAAAATAACAGCATTAGAGTCGGCCCGTTGGCCATCCCGACAGCGCTGTGGACTGACGAATTGTGGACCACCGTGTATGCCCGCGCGGGCAGCGAGGACAAGGTTTTGCACAACAAGTCCGACGAGAAAAAGCAGCCAGTTAGCGAGCTTCCAGTTGGCATCCGCGCATTTGAAGATCCGACTGTGGTGCAGCAGGGACAGGGCAAGGCGTGGCAATCGCGACTTGGCGATAGCGGCGATATGAATAAAGTCGATAGCCAAAGACAACTGCGCAATTTGCTGGCCAACATGGATATGGACTATAACCAACACGATGAGGCCAATACTACAAATACCAGCAACGCTTTGCTGCACCAGAAGGCCCGCAAGAGGTTTGGTAATACACGCCTGCAGTCTGCATACGCTCGCGTGTACTCAGTGCTGTTTACCCACCCGCTTATGTGCCTCGACAGATATATCCAGCCAATCAGGCCGACGTCACGCTATGTAAAGTACGGTCTTCCCCTGGCATACGCAAGCCTGGGATCATTGATGGCGACATTGACCACGCTGTTTGCAAAGTCTCTCGTCCACCTGTTGTCTGTATCATTGTTTGAGCATGATAACCAGTTTACTAGCTTTATCGCGTGGGGAATTCTCTTAGTTACCGCTTTTACTGCCGCGTCGCAGGTATACTGGATTAACCAGGGGCTGCTGCGCTACGACGCCCTACTACAAGTTCCGGTGTTTTACGTTGTGTGGACGGTGTTTGACATTATTGGCGGCGGTGTGTATTTTAACGAGTTTAAAATGTTTACTACACTGAAGTATGTCATGTTTGCGATTGGCGTCAGTGTTATTTTTTCTGGTGTCGGACTGCTGTCCCACAGAATGAAACGGGGCTGAGAATATTTGTCATATATACATTATTATTTTTTAGTTGTAGAACCGAATACATCAAATCTATTTTAGCTTTCATCCCAGGTATGGATGTTTTACAATACATGTCACAATTGAAGCACATAATAGTTGCGTAAACAAATATTCTGCTTTACTGATATTAATGGATTGTGTGCGTGGCAACCAGAGCAACGATAAGAAGGCTTTATTATAATATATATATATATCAAGGTGAACATATAAATGGAGCGGCTGTCGGGGCAGCCAGTAATTTTCTTCCTTGGAAGAAATAAATACCCTTAATTGGTTATATTTGTTTCCAACATAGATTATTTATCTGCAATGTTAGGGGTCATTGGCATGGCAGTTGACAGCTATCAATGACAAAAGGTGGCGTCTCAACCAGTATTATTATCATTCACAGTTGTTAAATTAAAATAATATTCTGGGGCTAATGTTTGAAAGTAGTCTAGAAAACATTCACATGATACATAAATTGGCAAGTGTGATTGTATAATAATATTTTTTTGTAGTTGAAAAGCTATTCTTGACAATTTGGCGATACGGGTTTATGTGACCATTGTTAGTAACGGCTGCTAATGCAAGTGGCAGCGCCTTTATTGCATTTATATTTGCTTTAATATCCATATATAATTTCTTTAAAAAAATTATGACAAGGTGGCTTATTCCATATATGCCCATTCAAACATAACCTTCCAATACCTAATCCTCAATTTTTAAAATGCTACAATCATATTCCTGCATTGACGAGCATCCCCGAAATTTGCTTTTAGGTTGCTGACTAAATTATGCAATATGTTACGAGAGAAAAAAAAGGGTATGGATCTTGGTGTGGGAGTTATCTACAAACGTTGTACAAAATATCTTCCAAATGGTTTATTTATTTATTTTTGCTCAAAAGTGTAATTGGTGCAGACTACAATTTACAATCAGTCGGAAAATCAGATGTGATATTCACACAAATATGCCTTCTGGCCGGGTTAGGTTTCGAGCGCCAATGAAAAGATCGCCGCTAATATGTGCGTGCATATATTTGCTCAAACATCAAATAGTTTTTCGCAGCTTTAACATTCCCTTGCCAAGGTTAAATCAAAGCACAATAAAAAATACATATATAAGCAACCATATGTCGCGCTGTCCAGAAAAAATTTAAAAAAAACTCGACTGCTTTATTATTTTTTATTTCTCCTCGCATTAGTTAGTGCTAAAAAAACCATTACTTTTTTATTTTACCATGACTACCACTGCCACCATCAGCGCCAATCTTCCGACCGACATCAAGGATGTCCACATTCAGAACTACATCAATGGCGAGTGGGCGCCTCCGACTAATGGCTTGTTTCTGGACAAGTACAATCCAGCCACGGGCCAAGTGATATTGCAGATCCCTGATTCGGCCAGTGCTGATGTTGATAGCGCTGTAAAGGCCGCCAAGGCTGCATTCCCCCTGTGGTCAAAGACGCCGGTCTCTGAGCGCGCGGCAATTCTACTGCGCATTGCCGATCTGATTGACGAGAACAGCTCAATCTTGGGCACATTCGAGTCCCTTGACCAAGGAAAGCCTGTTTTCTCCGCAATTCACTTTGAAATGCCAATGTGTGCTGCTAGCTTCCGTCAGTTTGCAAAGCTCATTACCGACGGCGGCATTAAGGAAAGTGAATCTCGTTTGGAATCCATGATTACGCCGACCTCTATTACTCAGCCCAAGGCCTCTATTACTGAGTCAGTCACCCAGCACATTGCTGCGGGTGTTGCTGGGCTCATCACGCCCTGGAACTTTCCTTTGCCAATGGTTTGCTTCAAGCTTGCACCATGCATTGCTGCCGGAAGCACCTGCGTTGTCAAGCCGACTGAGCTGAGCAGCATCACGTCATTCCTGCTTTCCCACATCCTTCATGCGGCAGGCGTGCCCAAGGGCGTCGTCAACATTATCTTTGGCAGCGGCCTCGGTGCTGGTGAGCCCCTTGTAAAACACAAAGACGTGAAGCTGATCTCATTTACTGGTGGATCAGCCACGGGCGCTCGCATCGGTGCTCTTGCCAGCGGCCAATTCAAGCGTGTGTCGCTCGAGCTCGGTGGCAAGAACCCAGCTATGTTCTTCGACGACTGCAACATTGACCATGCTGTGACCACCAGCATTCGCGGCGCGTACACAAACCAGGGCGAGGTTTGCCTCTGTGCCTCTCGCCAGTACGTGCAACATGGCATCTATGAGAAGTTTGTCGAGATGTTCAGGCAAAAGGTGCGCAGCGACATTTTTGTCGGCAACCCGTTGGACCCCAGGACGTTCTATGGCCCAGTTATCAGTCAGCAGCACATGGACAAGGTTCTTGGCTATATTCGACTTGCGCAGGAGGAGAGTGCTACGGTCGAGTTTTTGGTCAACCCCAATGATATCGCAGTCAAGGGCGTGTCGAGCGACGGCAGACTAACCATCGAGGGCCACGAGGGCGGCTACTTTATCGCGCCGACGCTGATCACAAACATCAAGCAGAGCTCGCGGGTTATGCAAGAGGAGATCTTTGGGCCTGTCGTTTGCATCTTACCATTCGGCACTGAGGAAGAGGCCGTTGAGCTCGCCAACGACACAGAATACGGGCTGAGTGCCTCTGTATGGACACTTGACCATGACAAGCTTGATCGTGTGATGAGGCAGATCAACGCCGGCCTGGTTTGGGGCAACAACTGGCTCAATATGGACCAAGACATGCCATTTGGCGGCATGGGGTGCTCTGGAAACTGCCGCGAGAACGGCAAGTACAGCCTAGAGTTTTACACTGAGGTCAAGACCCTCTCTCGCCATGTCTTTGACTAGATGAGGTTTAATTGTCAATTTTTCAATTGTAAAATATTTGCAGCTGGTACTTGTAAGTAAAATTTGGCATAAAATGTATGCTGCTCAGAGTTGTGCAAATTCAATAACTGCATGCCTACCATAAAATGAGTTTTTTGTCTAGAAGTTAGTCTAATCTAATCGGCAAGCACAATAATTGGATTTATTCAAACGTGCTTTTTATTTTCTCTGAGCAGGTTTAAAAAGAAAAAGAAAAACGTTTAGTTGACTAGTTGATCAGTTGACAAGTCGACCAGTTGGAAATAGCTAGTTGAAAGGGTGTCTATTATTTTATATTTACTGAAGGAGTAGATTAGAGCCCAAAACAATTTATTTGTTGTTGAGGTGTACACCTTTATCTTTGTAAACTCAAAAGTATTTACTTTGACAGATTCAAAAATAGAGACAAATCACATGGCTTGGCACTAACATACTTTATTTACAAATATGGGTGTAAATGAAAGCGTAAAAATAACGCCCAACACAACTAAACCAAGTTATTTCTTCTCAGGAAAATAAAAACGCGATAGTGCGATGATTTAGCCTTGTACTTGTATTTGTCCAAGTATAAAAGCAGTGGGTTATCCTTCAAATTAAACCATCAACAACATCAGCATCAACATCATTTTCAACAACATTGTTTTTACAGAAACATCAACTGCACTTTGCCTACTTTTTAACAAGCAACCAAGTACCCATCAACAATAATGACCGAAAGAAATGTCGATCTCTTTATTAATACAACTTCCTATCCCGAATTAACTGCACAGATCCCAACTGAATTTAATAATGCGTATACTGTCTCTGCAAAAGCCAAAGTGGCCGATGTAAAGGCATATATAAAGAAGTATATAAATAAAAACACAAACTTGATGCTCAATTCGTTTGAATTGTATAGTCATGGCGATAGCATCCAGCTTCTTGGCGATAACCTTGATTTTAGTGGCAAACATTTTAAGCACCAAGCTACTCTGGAAATAGGGTGTGCAACGATAATGGATAATAATAAGGTTATTTATTCTAATGGTAATAAGATTTGATTGACGCAAATAGCAAACAATTTATTGTCAATATCAAATCATGACCACCACTAGACGTACATGTGTTGATTTTCTATGCTCTGGCAGTTCAGAGCACAATGCACCAACAGCATAGCAACGCAGATTGAAAATGCGGATTTTAATAGTATTTTAATATATTGTTGAATAAATGTTTTGAAAGACCTGCCTCTGAAAAATGAATAAACTCTTTTAATAGAAAGTGAAAATATTCAATACATTGTTTATTGCCACGAGTGAGTTAAAATTAAAATTAAAAGCGCTCAGCGCATCAATCAACATTAGTTGCAAATAAAATCAACGCCTTGTGAAATCTCCACGTTTTTGGCTAAAGAATAGACTGAAAAATAAAAATTAGTCCACCACTAATCCAAGTCTCAATTGCTTTGCAACATGATGGACAAATGCAATTATTAGAAAAAATATATTGGACACCAATTCTGTTTTTATTATGTAGATGTTTTTGGCACTCTGTATTGAAGTGAATAATACAAAAAACATTAGCCCGTTAGTAAAGTAAAAATAAGTAAATAGACTGTTTGCAAATATTGGATTTTATCAATTTACATAAATGTATTTACAAAAATAGATTGAGTAGTGCTATAATTTGGTCAAGCACAATGTGACAAGTGCTAAAATATATGTATAAAATTTGGGATGGTTTTTATTACCAAAAAAATTGAAAGCAGAACTAGGGCTGGCTTTGACGTATATGTGTGCCATCCTTGATTCTGCCCTACCCACACTTTAGCTGTTGTACTCATTTCTGGCGTAAGCCGGTTCTTCTGCAAGCAGCTTAAAGTTTGGGCGTTTTATGTTGTGAGTTTTGCGTATGCGCGCTCGTGCGCGCGCGTTACACGTAGGGAGGCATATCTGGGCATCATTATTATTTCTCTAATCTGATACCCCATGAACTTTTCCGCCTCTTATCGGTCAGTATGCAGACGAATAACAGTCTGCTGACTCTCAATCTCAACAACCACCTATATATTATTTGGCAGCGCAACAACTCCTCAATTTGAAACAATTTGTTTTATTTATTTATTTATAAAAATTACTTACAGTAGCAGTTATGTTAAAACCATAGATGTGAATTTAAGTTAATTATACACATAATACCTATTACATTGCAAAAAACTACAAAAATCCTATATATTATACAAGCTTGTCTACTATAGGGCTTGAAATAATTGCATCCTACCTATTATCAGGAAATATCGACTACGCAAATAATTCAAACTGTGTAAATATGAGGTTGTACAATAATAGCATATTTCATATAAAATACTTTAAAGCAATCCTTTTCTCCATCAATACATATGGTTCTTGTAATGTAGTGGTCTATCTAGGAATCCAGTCAGTGGTATTTGCCTCTCGGTATAATGTGATAATGATTCTGTTGATGATGGTTTTGTTGTTGTTTCTTTGTTGTTTTGGCGTGACAATAGTTGCTGTGCCAGAAGTAGTAGTGGGCTTGACAATTGAGCTAGTAACAAATACTTGGTGGCCAGCAGTGACAGTGTTTGCTTGTTTTCTTGTTCATAACGTTTGATGTTTGTTGTAGGTTTGAGGGTTTTAAACACATCTTTCAACCCACCTATTTTATCTAAACCATTCCCCCCGTCATTGACAGCTGCAGCCAGTGCGGCTCCAACAAGGACAAATAAAATTCAAATACAGAGAGCTTCTTGAGTAAAATAGATACCTTGTTTAAAACTAATTAGTGCAATAAATGTTTTGGTTGTAATGGAGTGGTGATAAATATAAATATTTGTAGAGAATTGAGGTTCTGCATTCAGGGTTTTTATACAATTGTAACCACCCTGTAGAAACTAACATGGCCCTTATTACATATACAAGAATGTGCAAATAAATGTTTCATATTTTTTCCTATTTTTCTATTTCCATTATTTTTTTATTCCAATTTTTTTAGCCAAGCAAAAAATAATAATAAAATAGTTGTCATATAATATGTATGTGCACACATTGACTGTCCAATGATTTTACATTTAAAAGCTACAACAGCAAGGAAATTAAGCAAGCTGTCTTTTAAGCCATCTTAAAAAGAATGCAGCGTGATCACGCTTGGATTTGTATAATGTAATCTAATTTTTTGTTTCTATCGAAACCACGAACTCTTGGCTTTTACCAAAAGCGCCTGTTGTATATCACACGGCAAAGTGCACATGCGGCACCGCGATGCATTATCCATGTTGCTCTATAATAGCATATGTTATTGATGTTGTTGGAACCAATGGAACAAATAGGACTAATAATATATGGCTCAGCAGACCAATTTGCATGCACTTGTCTTATTTTTAAAAACCAGCCTAGTTGCACACAACTACTGGAAGAACAATATAGGGACAGACTATGGCAAGATAGCAGCCTATGGATTTTGAATTGCGTTATATGTGCAAGTGAATACATATCTACTCATTCAAGTGCACGTATGTACGATATGTACTAAACATATAAGCTGTTTCATATATGTGTAGAGTGGTACTATGCAACTAGTTGTCTAATGATGATATGTGAGTATGTTACTTTCATTTGAACTAAGTGGATTATGCAAGATAATAATAACAACAGGCTAATGAGTTTACAGCTACCAAGCACATGTTGCTTTTATTATTGTGTCGAATACTATGTTGTTGCATCACAGGACTAACAAGTGATGACAACTGGATCAATGTCAACGGCGACAAGCAAGAGTTGCTGCCTTTGCAATCAGTGTTTGCAATTGAATGCAAATGCCGCCATCACCAAGGACATTGACTTTTAACATGATTGAATATGCACAATTCAATTTCCGCCATGGTCACAATTGTTTCCACATTTCAAATACTCCCCAATGCCTTGCTAGCACCGAACGGGAGATAAAATGCTCAGGCGGATTTTTCTTCACCACCATGACCGCCCACACGCCACACAATATAATTTTTTAATTGTCTTTAATAGGAAGAAGTGGCGACGAATAATCCGCCATGTTCTCATTATGAATTAATTCGATTTAAATTATTTATACCATTATAATATAGCTTTTCGCACCTTATACATGACAAATTTTTAGGCTGCGTTTTATCCACAAAAGTATTTTATTATTGTTCAAATTCGTCTGTAAAGAAGATACCCTTTTTTGCGACGATGAATGATTGCATCATCGGATATCCTTGGTTTGATCTTTTGCGATCACTGCAAAAAAATGTCGATCGAACGTTCACCCAACACTGAAATTAAGTATACTAAAAAATATTTTTTTCTCTCAGCTTGCTTTTTGCTTTTTTGTTTTTGCTCTTTTCCTTTTTTTAACAAATATATTTTTATTTTCTCACCTTGACAAAATTCCATTTTGCAAAATGGGCGTTCCGGGACTTTTGCGATGGCTGCACCAGCATTTCCCCACCGCGTGCCGCATAAGCAGTCGGCTAGACCTTGGCCAACCCCCCACTCACTCTTCATAGACCTCAACAGCACGCTCCACCAGGGTGGACGTCAAAGCAATGGCGACTTCAACACGATCGTAGCAGCGATAGAGCAAATCGTACACAAAATCCGACCCCAAAATCTCTTGTTCCTAGCTATCGACGGCGTCCACCACGCATGAAGGAACGACTGCAACGCGAAAGACGCTCTCGGCTGGCCACCTCAAGAACAACCTCAAAGGCGGCGTTCAACGCATACACGATAACACCCGGAACACCATGGATGCGAATGTTTGAGATTCACTTGGTCCGATTTATTGAGGAAAAGCTTAGGTTTGATCCGGAATGGCGAGGCCTGAATGTTGTGTTTTCAGGATGCCAGGATCCTGGGGAGGGCGAGCAGAAGATTATGGAATATCTGAGAGCCAAAGGAAATGGCGAACGGCACTGTGTGTGGTCGAATGATGCGATACTGGCTGCTGTCCCTGGCAACGCACGTGCCCGGGATCACAATGGTCAGCGAGCGGCAGAGTGGAGAGAATTGCTCGTACACCTTGGTGGAGATCGACGATCTGGCAGAGCGGATTTCCAAGAGGTACTCTCCCTCAGATGACGAGGATACAGATAAGAGCGACGAGGGAATTGATCGCAACAACAAGGGCATTGATCACAATGTGCGGCGGAGAGACCGACTCATCGATGATCTTGTCTTCATGACATTTTTTGCTGGCAACGATTTCCTACCCCCGGGCCCATTCATCAAGGTGGCCTCGGACGCCCTTTGTATCCACGATCTTTGGATGCTCTACGCGCGGCTGCCTGCCAAATATCATCGGAATCTACATGATCGCGGGGTATCAACATCCGGGCGTTCAAGGAGCTTTTGGCCCTGCTTAGCGCCGATGGCGAGGATCGCGCGTTCCGCAATCATGTTGGTGCCACCGCGCTGGATCGCAAATCACTGCCTCCCGCCTGCGGCGCATGGAATGGAATACTCAGCGCACAGACCTTGAGCGCACCCCGCCGCGGTCAAACAGCAGAGGCGGAACGCCAAGCGAAAGAAAGACAATGGCCGGTTGATCCCTTACGTATGGACCGGCGACATGGAAATCTGTCTGAACTGGATCTCGCCAGCGACTTGGCGTGGACACTTGGAACTCAGCCCTTGGGTCCTGATGCGGATGTTGAATACAATGTCCCGAGAATGGCGGTGTGCTAGACACGCCGATGCTAACGCTGGACAGAGTCCCCTAATCTGCCCAGCCTGGTGTCGTCTGCCTTGGCCATGGCTGCGCTGGTCAACGCCAATATTGTCGGATCGATTGCAGCACAGGCTGCGATGATCGAGGTTGATAGGGGCCTGGGCAATAGCAGAATAAAATGGCTGCAGTCATTTGCCCGGTCTCTCCATCTCGAGTGCGAAGTGCGCGGGTTGTCGGATCCACTCTACCAAGCGGAATGCAATCGCTGGAAAAAGCGGCGGACGCACAGCCGAGCGGATGCCGTTGAAAAAAATAGCGCGCCGGCAATAGCTATCGTGCTCGGTGACTTCAAGCTATGCCCGCCGACGCACATAATCACGGTCACGGCCAAATTCCCCACGGTCCAAACATATAACGAGCCAATAGCGCTGGTCAGCGACTCCGCCTGGGACACGCTGCTGATTGATGGCCGGACCGAGCACCGACGCAGTCAGGAGCTGTTTGCCTGGAAGTCCATGTTCTACCGCCAGCACTATCCAAAGATGAACCCGGCTAATTTCATATACTGCCTCTGCAAACACTACGCTGAGGCCTGGGATGGACGGCGCTGTATTATTTTTCCGGTCAAGTCAGCAGCTGGGAGTTCTCCTGGCCAAACGAGATTGAGTCGTCGTTTAGTGGTGTGGCGCCGCTGGAGTCTGATTTGCTAGTGTTTTTGGACGTCAACAGCCACAGTGATCGGTGGGACTGCGTGCCGGTGTCTGAGGCGAATCCGCCGTTGCTGAGAGAGCACCTGCTGTGTGTGATGCCCAAGGACTCGTGGCAGTGATGAGCGAGAAGGAGCGGGAGATGGCGCAGATGCTCAGCCAAAATCAGTATTCGGATGTGGCGCGCATGCAGGTGCGCAATTTGCTTGTTGGGAGGGACCGCGGCGATGCTCCACTGGTGTACTTTTGGTACTTGTAAAAATAAAATTTTCATTAGTAAATTTTATTGGTAAATTTATTTTGTGGTGTATGGTACAGATTGTAATCTAGCTGTAAAAAATGTTGGGTGTGTCGTTTCTGCTTTCAATAATATTCAAATGATATGACGCAGCAACAGCTTTTGTCTAAAGCAAAGAAAAAGCAAAAGAAAAAATTCTCCGACATTGATGAATGAAATAAGTTTTTATTGCAATAAGGCTGATAACAAAAAATGGATAGAAGAAACAAAGTTGTGTGGACAAAAGAAAATAGACATGAGATATAATAATAGCGCAACCCAAAAAAGAATTACTTTAGCTGCTACATCTGTCAATGTGGCTGTAGAAAATCGTCGGGTTTTCGTAAAAGGCCTTGCACTGGCTGCAGTAAACTTGCTGACACCTAGTCCCAAGGGTTCAATCGAAGTGCCCGGACTCGTGGATCCAACAGCACCAGTAGTGGATGTGAAGAGCGATGATAACTTTGATGTCTCTGGATTGGGTACCCAAACGTCGCTCCTAACTCTTGTCGAATGTATTTTCGGGTATGTCTATTTTCATTGCCATTGCCATTATGCGGCGGGTCTTTGGAAGTGAAGCGAATGCAGCCATTATATATTTTTTATATTGGTGATGTAATATTATAATAGTGAGTTGCGAATAAAAAAGGTAAAGATAAAAAAGGGAGTAAGAAAAATCGCAAAAAAAAGAAAACTGAGACACGCGCTTCTCTTTTTCATGCGTTTTTTTTCGAATCTCGCTTTGTGAATACTCGGAAACTTTTGCGTCGCCGTAAAATCGAAGTAAAAGTGGGAGAGAAAAAAGGGAGGAGGATGTGCAATAAATAGGCACACGCAGACATTCGGCCATTGTTTTTTATTATTATTATTCCGCCGCCCGCAGCAGCTGAATCATCCACAGGCAAAGCAAAAAATAGTTATTTTCTTACACCCGAGTGTCGACCGACAAAAATGACAGCCAAACTTGGCCAGAATGTGGTCTGTGCATTGATTTTATTGCTGTGATCATCCCAAAAAAATAGCCCGCAACTGAGACAAAAAGGCATTTGACGCAAAACGGTGTGATCATCGGGTGATCAAATCACCAACTTTTCCGCACAAAACTGAGGGAAAAAAGTTCGGAACAGGGGGAGGGGGTGTAGTAACATTTTAATGTTCGACATGACTGACGCTTTTATTTTTATTTCTCATGAAAAATGCACGGAATTTGTTTCTTATTATTTTTATTTCTTTGTCAGTAATCCGCAATTCCCTAATAGCTTTTCTGTTGTAATTTTTCTATAAAATGAATCTACCACACCACGAGTCCGAAATGGACGTCGACGAGGAGTACGGCGGCAACTCGGTGCTGGTATCGAACCAAGCACCGACACCACATCCACAGCTTCGTCCTACAGCACAAACACAAACACAAACACTAACGCAAATACAGTCAGGTCACAGAGACAGAGACCACGACAACTACAAAGACAAAAACGATGCAACTAGACAAGGATATGTTAGGCAGCAGCAACAACAGGAGATCTCGCCGCCGGTGTCGCAAGCAGCGCAATAATGACATCGAGTCCTGTACAAAGCCAGATGCTAGTTCCTTTAACAGACACACTGCAGAAGCGACCAACCACATCTTACTCACCCATCGGCATGGCCCTTTCAATGCTGCACTCGCAACGTACAGTGCATTCGTTGGTCCCCGATGCACAGGGCATATTTCACTACCACCGGCCAACGAGCAGTTTTGAGAATTCGCGCGGCGGCATGTCCCGCAACATAGAGGGTGTACATGGACTCAGGCAGCTGTTATCGCGCAGCAACCTATCAATGGCGTCGTCGGCCGACGTTCAACAGAGGGCAGTGGAGCAGGTCATCCGGCGATTGGCTCTGGCAGCTCCGAGGAAATACAGCCAGCGGCTGGATACTCTGCGATCCGACCACGCGCGAAAATTCAAATGGCAGGACCATCGTGTCGAGGAGCTACAGCAGCGCGAAACGGAGCGCATCCGGCGACGCGTTGCCGAAGAGATGGCGATTCGGTCGGCCGCCGACACATCGCGCATCGAGGAGATTGAGCAGCCGGACGACGAGTGGGTGTCAGACACGGATAATGAGGAGACCACAGATATGCTTACATGGGAGGCATATGAGATGACCGAGCGCATGCAGAGGCGCGCGATCAATAGACGCACACTGGGCGGCGGCATCACCAAGGAAACAAAGGGTCGGCGCCAGCGACCCCCGGCATCTGCCGGTATTCGCTGACCCAGGCCTATGCGCACACACCGGCAGTGAGGCTGCTGCCCGACGCACAGTTTCTGAAATGGGCAACGGCGATGCCACAGCCATACTGCGGATGCTGCCAATGGCGTCTCTGTTAACACACGGGACAACGTTGGCCGCACGCCACTGCACGTGGCAAGCTCCAGTGGGAACGTCGAGGCCGTTCGCTTGCTCATCCATATGGGCGCGGAAGTCAATAGCACTGATCGCGTGGGCAATACGCCGCTGATGCTGGCGGCCACGTCAGCGCGTGCCGACGTTATTCATCCGCTTCTCGAGGGCGGCGCCGACCCGCGGATTGGCCAGGGTCTGTTGTCGGCCATGACCATGGTGCGCTCGCGCCTGCGTATGCTACGCGCGCAGATTGAGCAGGCAAGGGCCGTGGAGCGGCTGCTACAGGTAGTCTCAGCGAACTGATCCCGCGCGCCAAGAAGCGGCGGCATCAGGCTGCAGCGGTGGCCAAGGAATGTATGGACATTATAAATATGCTCAGGGTATCCACCACTAAGCGCATTGAGGAGGAGAGCATGAGAAGGCGAAGAACCTATTGCTTGATGCGTATGATAGAGTGGCAACGCCGGCAGCTGATAGTGGCACTTTGGGGACGGCTGAGGAGCCGCATATTATGTCTAATCAGGCGGTATCGGAGCTCGACTCGCTTTCGGCGCAGCTCTTGTCCATGGGATCGCAGAGCCGGATCGTGAGGAATCAGCTGAGGTTTCTGAAGCGGATAGCCATCGGGATAAAGGAAAGATGGCTGATACTGGTGATTTTGCTGAGGGTATTACGGATCCTGAGTTGGTATCGGCACGGTAGATGTGGCTTCGGCCGAGATGCTTGCGCGGGATAACGAGGATGAGGATCAGTTTGACCAGCTGTTGGCCAAATTCTCTCAGTTACTGGGCGATGACTGAGCGTCAGATTGAATATTGAATATTGGATATGCGGTATCGAGCTTGTTTTTTATTATTTCTTTGGTAGCTGTTGCTTTTTTCTCTTTTTTGTATTTGGGTCGCGTGTTGTATTTTCATTATAATTTAATATTTTAGTGATGTTGACTAAATTTTAAATGATGTGTTAATAAAAACAATGTATTTGTATGATAAACAAGAAAAATCGAATGATTTCTTTTCTTGATTACTCATTGTAACATATTTGGATATTTGGATATTGATATTACTTCCAAGAATATACCGCAAAACCATTTTTTGTTTCCAGAATATATCATTGTTCATTTGAAAAACAAATTATATTATTATAGAAGCCACATTATTATATTTGTATTTAATGGCCAATAGTGGAGCCAAACATTTTGTATGCATCTCTAAATGCAATTTTTTATTTCGGCGACTGAAATTGTACTTTTGTAATTCATGTCGATTGTTTACTTTTATTTAGAGAGATCAAAAAAATTAGAATGATAATGAGAATACAGCATTATATATTTCACTGTATTGTTCGTAAAGGCCAATGTAATTAATATAAAATTACACTAAATTATTCTGCATATAATCAATTATTATTTTAGGAAAAAAATATGGTCCGATTAATATCCAAGAAAATATCAATTTTTTGCTCTCGATACGGTCATATTTGCAATTCCTATAAATAATTTATAGAAAGCAACATAGACACCCATCTTAATTCTTGATTTCTATTTATACGTATCTTTTTTATTGATAAGCTGTTTATTTTTCCTACTCCAACTCTTATGTCACTTTCAGTCTGCAACAAGTGCTCAACAGGATTCGAGTGCAAGGAATGGTACCATACACATATGCACCAGGTGCACGGAATAGATACCAGCGACACATCATCTCTTGATGGATCCTTTATAAACGTTGTAATGAACTCATCCACTGCTTCCAGCAGAAGCACCACCACTACTGGGCGAACTAAAGCACCTCCCTCATTACAAGCAGCAGCATCGAGACATCGCGGGAAATGCAGCAGAAACCCAGGGTCAGCGTAGTAACTCATTAATTCCAAAGTTTTTCAAAAGTATTCGTAAAAGATTCTTGCGCTCAGATTACAATTGACAAAAAAATAAATAAATTAAATTCTATATTCTATTGGTGTATGATATTTAGCATTTCTTCAACACTAGTAACTTTTTCGCGAGGTTTCCCCGCTTTCTCCCCCCTGGCAGCCTCATACGCCTCTAAGCGCAACCACCCCTCGGTAGACACTCTGCAAGCATCAACACCCAATGACCGCAAAGTGTTGTCAATATCCGCACGGCATCCGGTTCCAATATTCCCATCGCGCATATCCATCAAAACCACATCCGCCGTGCGATACGCATCTTGCATCGTAGTGGCAATAACGCCCACGGGCCCACGCTTAACCCACCCAGACACATATAGCCCCGGCACCAGATCATTCCGATCATTCTGATCAACGGTTACGCGACCGGCAATATTAGGAACAATATTGCGCTTGTGATCGAACGGCGCGCCCACTAGTGGTGTACTAGCATACCCGATACTGCGCAAAGCCATGCAGCACGCAATATCCACTTTTTCGACGTAGCCTCCGCGCGCGCACTCTCGGGCGGACCACTGAGCCGATTGACCGCAAACTGCATAACCTGCGGAGGCTTCAGGCCTTCCTCCACCTGATATAAAGCACCCGAAGCGGACTCAGCAAAAATCTCAACGTAAAGGTCTTGTTCCCTTTCACACCACCAGCACCCAGCTCATTCTCGTTTATGGGCTTTGGAGAATTTGGATCAACAGAGTGTTTCAAAAGCAAATCCATCATGCGCTTAAGCGGTCTTGAGCCTCCAGCACTCTGCGACCCTCCTCCCCCCCACATTCGCTTTCGAGCAACCTGCGGTCGCAGATAATCTCGAGTCCCAGGATCTTGGTCATTTCGCGCAGCTCCTTTGTTGTAAACGACACTTGTAGGGGCCCACGGCGGCCGACCATCTCGACATGCCGCACGTTGCTTTTCCTCAAAGCAGCCACAGCGCGCTCAGTGATATCCGTGCGGGCCAGGTCATTAGGATCCGTGAGCAGAATGCGGGCGCAGTCCAGGGCGACGTTTCCGTGTCCGACAATGACCACGCGGTCGAACGACTCAGATCCACCTGTACATCCTGGGCCTCCGGCAGGCCATTATACCAGGCGACAAACAGCCTAGCCGAAACCACCCCGACTCTACCGCCGCACCCATCTTCCCCCTCAATCCCCAGTTTCCGATCCCTACTGGCCCCATACGCCAGCACCACGCCGCCGTACACAGACCGCAGCCGCTCCAACGGCACACTGCATCCGTGATCTGATTCTGTGCCCACGGGAATGTTGCCGTAGAACTGTACCTGTGGGTTTTGCAGAACTTGGTTGAATTTCGTCGTGCAGTTTTTCACTTCCGGGTGGTCCGGCGCTACGCCGTAGCGGACTAGTCCTTGTGGGGTCGGCAGCTGCTCGAAGATGTCAATGCGCGTTGTGGGTGAGTTGGATAGGATGCGTGAGGCTGTGTAGAGACCAGCTGCTCCGCCACCTACAATCGCAATGTTATGGTCGGTTGCCAGCTGCCGGGTGGTCGAGAAGGAAGCAAAGGCAGGAAAGCCCAATTTGCTTGAATTCCTGTAAAATGCCCACGAGGGGTGTCGCAGCAGTGTCGCCGTAGCCATTTTATTTTTGGCTGATAAGTACTTGAATTGAAAAACGAAAGTGAATTTGAATGTATTAGGAATTGCTTATTCTAAATGAAAGAAACAAGGAAAAGATAAGAAGAGGAGGCGAGGATAAAAATAAACAAATCATATAGGGTCCGGCCTACAGTTTTATTTGCACTGTTCATCACACAGCTCCAATTTTTCGAATTTGCTAAAGTACCTGTCGCGGAAGTTCTTGTGCGCCGGGTCATCTACGCCCTCCAACGAAGAATCAGCACTAAACTCCCTGACCTTCTCCATCGTAATAAGCCTACGGCTCCAGCCGCCAAACGGCTGCTCCGAATTGGCGACCAGGCTGAGCGCCGGATGCACAGGCAAGTCCTTGGGATCATATTCGTCGGCCACCGTCGGCAGCCAATAAACCAGCCGCCCACCAACAACCAATTTTTCCGCCGCAAACTGCATCAAATCGCCAATCACATCGGACATCTCATAGGGCACGGTGGGCGGATAATACTCGGCCCTCTTGTAGTTCTCCACCCCGTCGACGATCTTGAGACTCAACTCGGGGATGGTGCCGTTGGCTCTGCCTAGGCGCTTGGCGCCGGCGCGCACACCATATGGGGGATCTGTGACAATGGCATCGAAGAGTGGGCCAGCGCGCCATGGGTTATGGCAGATATCAAATACCGCGGTATCCAATACACGATCGCCCAAGTTGTACTGCTTCAAATTCGCCTTGATCCCATTAATTCCGCGCTTGAACCCGGCCGTGCCGCGAATCTGCCTCCCGTCGATATCCGACCCCATACTGAGCGCGCCAAAATGCGAGCATGTCAGGAGGAAGCTCCCAGTACCCACAAACGGATCATACACGAGGGAGCCCTCGCGTGCCAGCGCCTGGTTGGACATGATCAGGGAGAGCTCGGCGTCCATCGTGGTGTTCCCCAAGTACGTGCGCTTCTTCACATCGAACCGATCAATCAAATCACGGCTGCCCTGGCCGACCACTCGGCCGAACCAGATCATCTGGGGAGTCTCCAGCGGCATCGGCTTATCCGACTCGCCGTACTCCTCGCATACAAAAAACTCCGCCTCCGCCCCGCGCATCCTGATTGGACCCTCAAACCCCATGAAACTAAAGCTTTCAATAACCTCAACCTTCTGCTCCTGCGACAAGGACTTGCCAAACCCATCAACAATAAACTTGAACGACTTGTGCTTGTACTCGGCCAATCGGTCGGTTTGCTGCTTGATTTCGTCAAAGAGCTCAGAGTAGGTCGGTTGACTGCCCCAGTACTCGATGATCTGGCGAATGAGGATGCCGCGCTGGACAAGTTTGGCTGCCAATTGCGCGCTGGCAATATCAACGAGGAGGAAGGGTGAGGTCGCTGAATAGGCGGACTTGTACGTGATTTTCACGTTTTCAAGTTTAGAGAGCGCCTCGAGCTCGGCCAGGCGAAAGTCCTCGTGGTAGTGCGCAAAGTATATAATGAATAGAGGCATTGTTGGTCGTTGGTATAAATGAAATAAGGAGAGTCAAATAGTGAGCTGGGGTGAGGTGAATTTGAAGAAATGTGGAAACGAAAAGAGGAAGGAAAAAATCAACACTGGCCGGTCAAATGGTTGGTTTTATTGAGTCTGCCTGATTTGATAACGGTTGATTGGGTGATTTTTTGCTCGGCCTTACTTTTTTTTTCTTGCCTTTTCCCTTGCTTGGACTTTATAGTTTTTTGTTGAAGGCTTGTTGGTGGTTCAATCGATCCAGCAGCGACATTAAACTCTTTTATTTCTCCCTTTTTGTCTTCAACAACATCAACAACAAAAAAAACTCGCTTCCTCTTTATTACATATTCAATCCACTCACTTATTTACTTATTATCAAAACATGGTTAGAAAGGCAGTGGACTCGCGTATCAATACGCTGATCAAGAATGGCGTGCAGCAAAACCACCGGTCGTTTTTTGTGCTCGTCGGCGACAAGGGCAAAGATCAGGTACGAACAAAGGAAATACACTAGAAGTGGTAGCAGCAGCAACAGCGACATAACTGTTCCAAAAGCTAAGCACTAACCCTTTTCTGCTCACTTACACATATATTGATATCATTTAATAGATCGTCAACCTGCACTGGATGCTGTCGCAGGCCCGGGTCACAGGGCGGCCATCGGTTCTGTGGTGCTACAAAAAGGAGCTTGGCTTCACGAGCCACCGCAAGAAGCGCGAAGCCAAGATCAAGCGCGATGTCCAGCGCGGCATCCGCGAAACTAACACGGATGATCCCTTCGAGATGTTTATCACGTTGACGGATATTCGGTACACGTACTACAAGGAGTCGCACAAGGTTCTGGGAAACACCTACGGTATGTGTGTGTTGCAGGACTTTGAGGCGCTGACGCCCAATATTCTGGCCCGCACTATCGAGACTGTCGAGGGCGGTGGCATCGTTGTGCTGTTGCTCAAGTCGATGAAGTCACTGAAGCAGCTTTACACGATGACCATGGACGTGCACACGAGGTACCGCACAGAGGTCCACGGCGATGTGGTGGCCAGATTCAACGAGCGGTTTATCTTGTCGCTGGCGGACAACCGCGCCTGCCTGGTGGTCGACGATGAGCTCAACGTGCTGCCGATCTCGCTTGGCAAGAGTGTCAAGCCGCTGGCGCCCAAGAAGTCAGAGGAGAAGGCGCCCAAAGAGCAAGAGCTCGAGGCCTCAAGGAGTCTCTGCGCGAAACCCAGCCGATTGGTAACCTGGTGGCACGCGCCAAAACGCTTGACCAGGCACGTGCCCTGATGACCTTTGCTGATGCCATTTCGGAGAAATCGCTGCGCAGCACAGTGTCGCTGACCGCTGGTCGCGGTCGCGGTAAATCGGCGGCCCTGGGACTCGCGCTGGCGGCAGCCATTGCCTACGGGTACTCCAACATCTTTGTCACCTCGCCGACTCCTGAGAACCTCAAGACGCTGTTCCAGTTTGTCTTCCGCGGCTTCGACGCCCTCGGCTTCGAGGAGCACACGGACTACGATATCGTGCAGTCCACCAACCCCGAGTTCCGCGACGCTGTCGTGCGTGTCAACGTGTTCCGCAAGCACCGCCAGACCATTCAGTATATCCAGCCCCAGGACGCGTACACGCTGGCGCAGGCCGAGCTGGTGGTCATTGATGAGGCCGCAGCCATTCCCCTGCCGCTGGTCAAGAAGCTCATGGGCCCCTACCTGGTCTTCATGGCGTCGACCATCAACGGATACGAGGGCACGGGCCGCTCCCTGTCGCTCAAGCTTCTGCAGCAGCTGCGCGAGCAGTCGCGTGGCTTTGTCTCAGGCGCGCCCTCAGTTGCGGCATCGGCCAGCTCCGGCGGCCGCACGCTGCGCGAGGTCACTCTGGACGAGCCCATCAGATACGCTGAGGGCGATACGACGGAGAAGTGGCTTAACAAGCTGCTGTGTCTGGACGCCACTATTGCGCCCAAGGCCGTTGGCGGCTGCCCGCACCCCTCCGAGTGCGAGCTCTATTGGATTAACCGCGACGCGCTCTTCTCGTATCACCCAGTCTCCGAGGCCTTCCTCCAGCGGCTCATGGCGCTGTTCGTTGCCTCGCACTACAAGAACTCCCCCAACGACCTGCAGCTTTTGAGCGATGCCCCGGCGCACCAGGTCTTTGTGCTGCTGCCGCCTGTCGATCCGTCGGCGACCACGCTGCCGGAGCCCCTGTGCGCCGTGCAGGTGAGCCTGGAGGGCGAGATCTCGAGACAGGCTGTGATGAATGCCCTGGGCCGCGGCGAGCGCAACGAGGGTGATCTTATCCCGTGGCTGGTTGCGCAGCAGTACCAGGATGAGGACTTTGCCGCGCTGTCGGGTGCCCGCGTCGTGCGCATCGCCACGCACCCGGACTATGCCAGCATGGGCTACGGTACCAGGGCGCTGGATCAGCTGCGCGACTTTTACCAGGGCAAGTTCTTCTCGCTCAACGAGGACATGCCCTCAGAAGGTGTGCGCAGCTCACTGGCAGACACGGACGAGCACGGACTGCAGCGCATCTCCGACCAAGAACTGGCCTCAGCCGATCTGCAGCGCGACTCCCTCGCGTGCGCGACCCCACCACCCTGCCGGCACTCTTCCTGAAGCTGGCCGAAAAACGCCCGACGCGCCTGCACTGGCTTGGTGTCAGCTACGGGCTGACCCAGAGCCTGCATAAGTTCTGGCGCCGCGCCAACTACGTTCCCGTGTACATGCGGCAGACAAGCAATGATCTCACAGGCGAGTACACCTGCGTTATGCTTAGCGAGCTCAATGCGCAGGATATGGCCGTGCAGACCAGAGAGCATTGGCTGGACGCCTTTGCGCGTGACTTCCACCATCGCTTCGGCGTCCTGCTTTCGTATGCGTTCAAGGATTTCTCTGTCGTCCTGGCCATGAGCATTCTGGATGCGGCCACCGCCGGTCGCAGCGCAGAGTCCCTGGCCCTCCAGGCGGCGACACCCTATGGGCGCGCCGACCTGATGCGCGATTTCAGCGGATACGATTTGAAGCGCCTGGAGTCCTACGCCAATAACCTGCTGGACTACCATGTGATTTTGGACCTGCTGCCTACTATTTCCCAGCGGTACTTTGACTCGAGCTTCGGCCCATCTCTTTCTCTGTCGGGCGTCCAGGCGTGCATTCTCCTGGGCCTCGGGTTGCAGCGCAAGTCCATTGATTGCGTTGAGAAGGAGCTCCACCTGCCGAGTCGCCAGATCCTGGCTCTATTCACGAAGATCCTGCGCAAGTTCTCCAACTACTTCCGCAATCTCGAGACCAAGGCCCTCGAACAGGAGTTTGATGCCGAGAAGCCTGCCGCCGCCATTGCCTCTCTCAAGATCACTGCTACCAGCAACAATGGTAAGCGGGCGTTGACCGATGATGAGGCCTGGGATCCGACCGGCAAGTCCCTTGAGGATGACCTGGCCGAAGCCGGTCGCGAAGTCACAGATGAGTTTAAACTCAAGCAGCGCGAGCTCATCGATGCCATGGATCTGTCTCAGTTTGCCATTAACCAGGATAATGAGGGGTGGACGCTGCCGAGGAGCAGATCAAGAAGGCCGCTGTGAAGGGCGTCATTGTTGCGCAGACTGTGGTTAGTGTGAAGAACCCGGAGAGCTCAAAGCGCGCGAAGAAGGAGAAATCCGTGGCGAAGGAGCTTGTGAAGGCGGAGGAGGCAAAGGCGCAAAAGAACAGCAAGAAATCAAAGACTAGCAAGAAGACTGGCCGGTTCTGAAGAAAACAAATCGATTATTTTGTCGCGAATTAAGTGTTGACGTTGAAAAATCTTTATATAGCAATATTATTTACGTTGATTTATAAATTAGAAAATTTTGGTAATTGGTAGCTTGGCTAATTTTTGTTTAGTCGGTTATCGACGGCTGATTTTCAGATAAGAGCTTCTTGCAGAGACATGCCAACCTGCATGGATGCAGGTGCGGGTGTGGGGTGCGGGCGCCGGCACCGGCACCGGCGTCTTGGCAAATAAAACCACGAGGACACTTATTTGGTCTTTATTTTAAACCATGGCCCTTTCTACACACCACAGAATCAATTGTGAATAGTAGACATATGCACATACACGTGGGCACAGTGTGATAAACAGGTGAAACTGATTGAAAAATAAATTATTATGCAAAACTTACATTTAAGTAAATGCATGTTAATTGATTGTTTATATTTATGCAAATTGCATACCAGAACGTGGTGAGTTGTAAAGAGATAATGAAAAATGCAAAAAAAAAGTGTGGTATCATTGCACTATTGAAACTGTGGCTGCTGTATCATAACATGCAAAAAATATTTCGGAGAAAATGAGGAGTAGGAGAGCAGCTTTTTTAACTATTGGCTGATAGCAATCAACTGTTTAACCAGTCTTGGCTATTCCGGCCAAACACACAATCATTAAGTTACAGTGACCAAACAAAGTAATATATATTCTTCACCTTTTCCAGCGCATAGCACATATATTCAATACACTTTTATACATAGTATTTTATCTACAGGTGCACAGAACGTCTCTCCCAGAATTCAACAGTTAGCAAAAAAAGAAGAAAATTGGAAGCTAGCCTGGCTAGCAACATTATATCCATTATTATTCTCCCCCTCCGCACTCATTTTATAGGCCATCTTCTGTGCAAGCTTGGCATGCCAGTTTATATTTATAAAAAAAGTTATTTTTTTCCAAAAATGAATAAAAGGTAAGAATAAAATAAAAAGAGGAAAAAGGAAATAAAGGAAAGGGCGAATGGAATAGAAGAGGAGAGAAAGGGAGGGGGTGTTTGGCGGTGGTGTAGAAAGAGAGCGGGTTAAGAAAACAAGACTTGGAGATTTGCTTGTGTTGACTGCAATGAGTACCTACACAATGGGGTGGGTTTTACCCTACCCTTCTTTTTCCTCATACCTTGGTTATTATTTAAGCCTCACTCGCTCCCTCATACTCTCTTGCTGCTATACCATGTCTCGCAACTGCCCCCACCCACCTCCATTGGCTATCATCCACTTTTTTAACCAAAAATTTGTAACAATTAAAATATATTATAGCTCATCATTGTCTTCTGAATTTGCATCATCACCTTACATACAATAAACCTTTTAGCTCACTCGTTTTTATCATAGAATAAATCAAAAACAAAGCGATACAAAAATGGCAGAAACACAAACAAAACAAGATATTCTGTAGCCCATGGTATGTACATTATTTACTATAAGGCGAACAAACTATATATGCTCACAATTCGTGCCCCTCTAATATTAGCTGCAAGAGACTCATAAAGATGTTAGGCAGAAAGTATTGCAATTTAAAGTTCCGTGGTAAGGATATTTGCTTTAGAAATAAAAATACATTGTATAGAGTATGCTCTCTCAGGTTTACCCTTGCACAGTATAATTTGGCACAACAGAATTTCATTTTCCTCTTGTAGAGTATAAGTGGAATATCTAGTCGCCTGTAATTTGTAGTTTTTTCTGTTTTTATTTGTGTGTTGTATAGACAAATAACATTATTCAAAATTTATATATGAAGAATATAGTAATACATGTCTTCACCGCAGCAATTCGTTTTTTGAACAACTCTGCGTAAGGTGAACCACAAGTAAATTAATGCAATATTGGTAGTACTGCAGCCGAATCCGCAACATCAGCATCAGCACTTGTGTTAGAAATACAAATTCAAAATATGTTTTAACTATGTAAACAGCAAGGCAAAGCATACACCCTACACTCTTTGGCTTGTCATTTAATCATTTCAGTAAATCCTTTTTACGTATTTTCTTTTTAATTGAACAATCTCGACAAAGCAGACGTTATCCTTACAACACATCCATGTACTACCACAATCTTCGCCCAGCCATCAGATGCATAGACATTGAAGGCAGCTCCAAAGTACTGGACGGCAAACTTCTCAAGGAACAGAAACGTTCGAAAAGACAGCCAAATATTTGCCTAATCTGGACTGGACTCAGAAAAATACAAGCTCCATTGGTGCATCAACGGTAAATGGAAAATGCGAGCCGGTATGCGCCTCCGATTATGCTTGTACCACAGCCCTATGTTTCGGACTACTCGGGAACCCTGGATCGCCGTATAGACAAGGAATATAGATATGTCAGGGCAGTCGCGCCCAGGCAGATAAGATGGCCGAGGACAAGATGTTGAAGGATAAGGAATGCGCGATGATGGTTTTGGAAAAGGAGCGGAAACGTAGAATTGATATTGCTGCGAATAAGGCCATCGAGGCAAAGGAAAAAAGGTCAGACTGGTGCGAAGACCTGTAAAGCCGGAGCAATAGAAATTCACACCATTTCTTGTCAGTGGCAACACATTGTGAGCAAAGTAATGCACTTTATATATGTTCAAAATAAGTTAATAAAAATTGCACTTGTCTGATTATATGTCAACAGTTTCCAATCATCGTTTCCTGGACCATGGGAACATTCGACTGCCTAACATGGACATCGCCGTGCTCCCGTTCATAGCCTCTGAAATTAGCGCATCCTGCATGGCCGATTCTGTCAACGAGCCTTCTGATAAATCACTAAACGAGGACGAAGACGACGCAGAAGTTCCCTGCGGCCAGCACCCGCGTGTACGCGGGACGCCATTGCCTCGGCTATCATGCTCTGTCGCATACTCCCCCCTTCATCATCCTCTGTTGCCTCGTATCCGTCGGGTGTTATCGTATGCAGCTCAACAACGGGCGACCCTGGCCCGCTCCCTTCTTCTTCGTCGGTTCTGCCAACCGACTCTACGCTGCGCATATCCGCCTGTCTAAAGTCGCCCGACCCCACTGACTTGCTGCTTCCCTCCTCCGGTGCTTCCTCTGGTTCCTCCACTTTCTCTCTTCCTCGCGCGCTGCTCTTCGTGCAGTGTTAATTTGGAAGCTTCCTTCGTCCATCAGCGTCAGAGGCCTGCCCATATGCTCCCTGAAAAGGTTCGATGCGGCCTCGAAAACGTCTTTCAGGGGCACGTTCAGTGTATCAGCCAAAAGTTCCCAGTCAAAGGTCACTTGGTCATGCTCTAACTCGCCCAGGATATCGCAAGGCTGGTCAAACCCTGGCAGCGTGCATAGGCTGCGCCAGACTTGCTCTTCAAGACTCAGAGGGGTGGTGGTTGGAGAGTTGGAGGGTGAAAGTTTGCGGGCCGTTTGAAGGGGAGACGGAAAATTACGCGCACCGGTGTGATGGCGGATTTTTGGTTGTGGTCCATATTTTATGAAAAAAAATTCAAAAAAGAGGGCGGGTGTTGGTAATGGTGGGTAGTAGTGGTAATGTAAAGGGGGGTGTATTTTGCAAATATTTTTTATTTTAATGGACAATAAAAAGGCGTGCTAAGGTTTTATGTAGAATGTATACAATAGAGAATGCAAAAAATGCAAAAGAGAGAGGTTGCAAAATAAAGAAAAACCCAAGTGGAAAAAAGTGAGCGATGCAGATTTATTCAAATGCTTATCGGTCTACATTTTCCTTGTGGGCGACGACCACATGCAAGAGCCCCTCCAGTAGTGAGGTGGGAGGGGCAAATAATTTTTTATTGTCACTCAAAATGACGTATAAACTCAACGCTGGTGCGATTGACTGGAAACAGAGCAGGCCAAAAGGGCTGAAAATGCGATGTAGTCACTGAACAAGCGACGGCACAGTGTAGGTGAACGTGGGATGGTAAGTTTTGTTCATTCTCGGAAAGCCATGCACAAACAATCCATCGTCGTCTTTACGCACCTTTACCCGCTGAATCACCCGCTCGCTAACCGACCCTGCCATACGGAAATAATAAGTGAAAGTGGACATTGCTGGTGTTTCTTCTGAATAAGTACTCATAAAAAAGAGGCTTGTGTTTTGGAAAGTAGTGTGAATTTTAAGATAAAACTTTATTAATGCATGTTGGTAATAAGGAAAAAATATTTGTATTTTGTGGTGGGAAAACGTGTCTTTATATACCAAAAATTTATTTATTTTTTCTCAGCCAGTCAACCCCCCCTCCGCCTCTTACCTTTTATTTTATTATTATTTCTCATTAGTAGAAATAAATATGTGTATATCAACTGGGAAGGCTTGGTTTTTATTTTAATCTATGCGTGCTCGGGATTAGTTGATTTCTACACAAAAAATAAATATCGTGACTTTAATTCGGAATGATGGTGAAGAAAAAATAAGAAAAATTGGTGGAGAAAAACGAATAATCGATTGCAACAATAAATGAACAATTGAAGTGGAAAAATGAAGAACTAAATATGACTGTCATAATGCAAAACCTGGTGCTCAATCACGCCTCAGTCATTGACGCCCAGAATAAAACAAAAATAAAGCTAAGTCAGAGCAAAAAAATCGAGTGGACAAAAGTAAAAAACATCACAGAATGAAAATAGGCGGGTAGAATGAAAAGGGCGCAACTAACAAAATATTTAATTGGCAGGCCATTTACAGTCAACCACCCCCTTTTATTTCTTATGTTTCTTTTTATAAAATTTTCTTTTTCTTTTGGGAATTTTCCAGCAGAGACTTTGGACACGCCATCCTTTTCGCAAATTTTCTTTTTGCAGTCTTTTAAAAATGTTTAGAAGAAATAAAAATCAAACACCAAACATTTGCTGCCTTAAATAATTAGTGGAAACTAAATATTTCAAGTCAATTACATTATTATTATCAGATGATAGGCGACATGCTGGTGGACGCGTGGTGGGCATTTGACTGCACGCTATATATACATATATATTTTGCACTAATAAAACATCAATAATTTACAGTCATTTAAAGCCCAGCTTGCGCAAATCCGCAGGCACGAATACGCCTAAAATAAGCGCAGCAAAAATGAAAACCCACAAAACCTCTAATGACCCGGAAACCTGACCACCCTCCACACCCCTTGCCCAATGCGAATGCACGCCCAACCACGCGCTGCTCCAAAGAAACACCAGCGTCAGGTACCTCAACGCCCAATGATACTTGTGCCAATGCCTGGTCGCACTTTGGTACTGCCGCTTGTCCACTCCATACGCTGTGTATTCAATGTAAAGCCGAAACACTGTCTGTATAAAAAAAAGCAGCAGCGCCACAGCACCGACTCGTCTGTGCGCAGGGCTTTTGCTTAATGGGTTGGTTGGGTCCAATTCATTGTATGGTGCGAAACACTGGATTACTCCAAATATGCATGCCACAGTGGCCGCGCATTCCATTAGCATGTTGAGTGACTGTTTTGAAAATGTGCGCCCCAGTGGCGGTGGTGGCGGTAGTAGTGGCCGTGGTGGCAAGACAAGGCTTGTGTGCGGCTGGAGAATCAGTGTGGCCTCTGTGGTCACACAAGCATTAAGCCCATCAACACAGGATGCCACACAAAGTTGTTATCCCAGCGATTCCGCAGAGACACAACCATCGTGGCGAGAAACAACACAGTGGCGGAGTGCGCCAACACGTGCATTATAACTAGTACGGCGGGCCCAGGCCAGTACTTTTGTGCATCCGTAGTCTCCCCCGTCCACTCTATTTCCCTGACATCAAGTTCAACAGGGTATATGTGTATCCGATCCTTTTGGCTACCATATTTGTCATCTCCCGACAATAGGATGCTAGGTGATATATCTGGTGTCAAAACCGGTCCCGGTGCAATAATAATTGTGCTATGGATTTGCTGCCGTGATAGCTCCTGTAGCGATGTGATAGTGCATGGTTCTTCCTCCGCTGCCGCTGCTGTTGAATCTTCGTGTTGGTGTATTTTTTGTTTGTGCGCGCAAACTATTTGATTAACCCAATTTCGAGTTTTTCGAATCTCGTTGGTGGTCGCTTCAAGCTCGTCCGAGGTGCACATGCGTGGATAATATGTGGACAGAGTGTATGCCTTGGTGTGGGCAGGCTCAGGCATTTGGTGGTTGTTATTATGCCAATTTGAGAAAATTAATGACAATTTTTATTAGTTCTAGTTTGTTCAAATGCTTTTTATTTATTTGGAAGGAAAAATACTATTTGTGTTGTTGCTCAAATCATCCGGGACTGCATTATCCTTCTCCACACATCACGGCTCCGCTTATATTTATATTTTTCACTTTAATCACCTCCCCCCCGCAACATATGTCATGCTGGTTTTCTTGTCAATTATTGTCACTGCTAAATTGTTTATATTGATCATGTAACTCAGCTAAAAATGTGTGCTTAAAAATAGCAAATTGAAAATAAAAATTTTCCAGCTTGACCATATCTGCACGTGTATTTTTGTGTTAGCCGAATTAATTTTTTATTAATACTTTTTTGCGGTGAGGTGGAGGGTAGCGTGCGCGGTCAACAGAGCAATCATGCGGTGGAGTTTTTCTGTGTAAATGCTTGCTTTGTGGTAAACCAATTTTCCTTTCACCCTCCCCTTTTTTACACATAATCAGTCGTGGCCTCCCCCTTCACAAATGTTTACATATCACATGGCGATGTATGCTTCGGTTTGTTTATACGAAAAGCAAGCAATTGTGACTGAAGAAACATGTTTACATTGTGCGCACCTGTTCAAACAAGTGTCAAAGTAAACCAAAACATTTGCAATGTTGGCTTTTTTCTGGCATTTGCAGCTGATAAAACTAAAAAATAATTAACAAGGAAAGAGCACATAAAATAAAAATGAATGCAGCTTGACTTTTTATATAATCTTTAGCTATCTTTATAATCCACCTTGTCCTTTTTAATTTCAATTTTTGCATTAAACTGTATTACATTCATTTAAAACATAAACATACACCTTATACAATGCCCGAACAAGCTACGTTTGTCACCTTAGATAACCTGGTTAATGGCTGGCGGCAGCGCTTTCTATTTTACATTGACACATCAATCTGGGGCCGAATCTGGGACGTGGCCGACTTTGCTATAAACATTTCCATTTGCATTGTTTACATTATCGTAAGTATAAATTAAAACCCGTCTGTATATGCTGCCACTGTACTTGAATAGCAATGCTTAGCTAAATTGTTATAATATAAACCACTTGAGTAGAACACAACGTATGTGGACAGTAACAAAGGTCCGGCAAAAATCCCAGATACCAACAGGAATATTGAGTTTATGCTCGCGCTGGTTTTTCTGGTTCAGTACTTTGTTAGATTTGTGATTATCAATACAAACCATCGAACAATGGAGCACATAGTGGTGTTCTTTGCGTTCGTCAGTCAATAGCGGCATTTATAGCAAGCGCACACAATGGTCTGTGCGCAAAGCTACATGAGCGCAGGGTTCATGGTAAGTATACAACCAAAACCAATGACAAGCAACGTTTAGTATTGTAATCTAATAATATTTTAAAAAATCAATCACTAAATTTTCAATAATTTTATTTGTAGGCTATTTTTTACCCGGTGCGGTTCCTCAGGCTTCAGTACGCCCTCAAAAGGCAGCTGCTATTGCGGCCACTTCGACAAAATATTTTAAGCTAACGCTGATAAGAAAAGAAGTTATTTCCCTTGCGGGAGACATAATGTTGCAATATTATTTTTTGCCAGCGTTGTGCACTCTGGAGTTAACTGGTACATTCAAGCCAACAATCTGCAGTCTCCCAGCTTTACTTTCCTCGATGCCATCTACTTTATTGCTAGTAAGTAAACTAAGAAAGACTTTTATATTGGAAGCAAAAAAAACATTTTACCACCACTATCGCAATCTCTGTCATTACCACAGTAAATCATCTACACATATTCTTTGCTCAACATACTCATTACTCTGGGAAAATTATCTTTCTTTTACATGTGTATAACGCAAACTGAAGCAGTGAACTCACTTGATCCAAACGACTCCATACCGCAAAACACCTTTTCAATTGTTATCTCCATGGCCATTGTTGCCCTAATTGCCTTCGCCGTGCCCTCGCGGGTAACCAGACTGGTTGATTTAGCGCTCAAGACATCAGCATACAACAAGTTTGTAGCGCTTCCAAAGGCCTCACGTCACGCTGTGGTATGCGGGTATATTGAGCTAGAGCCCATTAGGCAGTTCCTATACGAGTTTTTCAACGCAGACCATGGCCCGAATATCTTCAACACAACCCTTGTAATTCTGCACATGAAGAGCCATCATGGAAATGAAGGCAATGCTACAGGATCCGGCATACGCCAACCGTGTGTTCTATGTCAAAGGGTAAGTGAATTAAAGAAAAATGCTATTAAAGATATTCAAAACGTTTGCCATGTATTTATTGGCTGATAACAAAAACTAATAAATACAATTTTACTTTCTCTTAAGCATTAGCCGCGCTACCAGCTTCAGCACGCTCAAAAAAGCACGAGTCGATCTGGCCACGTGCATCTACATTCTGGCGCGCAAGCACAGCCATGGGTCTGGCATTGAAGAAGACGCCGAGACCGTATTGATTGCACTAGCTCTGAGCGCCTTTGGAATATCGGGCAATCAAGTGCGCCGGATTGATGGGCGGCTGGTGACTTCGCCGCGCAAGTTTCAGGTGTTTGCACAGACCCTCCTTCCGGGTAGCATATCTCATTTGGCGTACTTGCAGACCACCCGTATAATGTGCGTCGACGAGATGCGCATGGGAATAATGGCGCAGAACTGTGCTACGCCCGGGTTCGCCGCTCTGGCATATATGCTGTCGACATCAGTGGCCAATCATTCGGACTGGGACTATACAGGAGTCCTGAACGAAACAATTGCCAAATCAGCAGGTAAGATGCCAAATATTATGTTGGACGTGTACTAGAGACAAACATCCAAATTTTAACAACTGCAAGGCTAACCGGTTTTGCGAATTGATCTAACAAGCATTTTGTAGAAGACAGTTGGGTCAAAAGCTACATCCACGGAATCAGCCAGGAAATATACCAAGTGCATGTCCCAAAATCACTCATCGGAAAGTCATTTTTCAAAGCCACAAGGTACTTTTACCGCTGCCACGGCATCCTGATATTCAGCGTCGGCTCGTTCTCCCAATCGCGCGCCCGCTCAACCACATGGCGGACCACCCATCCTTTGACACCGACTCTGGCTACTACCAGATTCTACTAGCGCCGTACGATTACATATTGGAAAAGTATGATATGCTTTTTGCCATTTCGACCGACGTCCAATCGTATTGAACGCGATGGTTTACGCCGAGCGCGTGTCCATAAGGAGCGCAAAGATTGAGAAAAGCAGTGTGCGCAGTAACACGGCTGGGTTAAAAATTGAAGTGAGATCGCCATTATTTATGACAAATACGCCCCCCCGAGTCCGCAGCTGCCTTTTCGTCGACACCTCATTGCTTTGCTATCCGCATCCAACAGCGCGCGGAGTACAGCAGCGACAATGCCTGCAGAAAATAAGTCGTTGGCAGCACAATAGAAGAGGGTATCCGGTCCAAATGGACAGTCCGCGGCGAATGATTGCTAAGCCCCCAGGTGCCAGTAACCAAATAAAAAGTTATACCGGTAACTACATCAGTGACAGCGACAGCTCGTACTTCTCACCCGGACGCAAACCTATAGAAACAGTTGTACACAGCAGCACATACCCGCCATCCGTATTCCCCATCAATTCCTCTGCAACAGCGCAATTGCACCATGATAAATTTGAAGGGCGACGTGGTGACCTGGTACCACAGGACATACGCGACCACATTGTGATATGCGATGCCAGCAGCTTGTTTCCGCGCAACGTCGAGCTATTGGTGCAAGCGCTGAAAATGCTTATGAAAACAAAGACCTTAACATTGTCATACTGTCACCAGGCCAGCCCGACACGCAGCACAGGCTTGCAGTGCAGCAATTTACGCACATCTACCATGTGCGCGGCACGCCCCTGGCACAAGCAGACCTGCAGCGAACGCACATTACAAGAGCGCAAAAGGCCATAGTGCTGGGCTTATGCAATACACGCTCTTATGCAGATATTGGCGGCGAAACTAGTACGGACTCAGCGGCCATCCTGGCAAACATGAACATTCATCGCTCTGTGGCGGCCAATTTTTTGTGACGACTGAGTTGCTGGATATTGAAAACATTCGATACCTTGATCACACGCAGCTTTTGGGTGAGCCTCTGCTTAAGCGCACATTCATGGGTGGCCACATTTTTATGCCGGCTATGCTGGACACAGCGCTGTGTCAGTGCTACTTCAGCTCACATATCCTGGATGTTCTGCGGCACTTGACTTTCAGCCATTCGACTGAGACCGCCAAAGACAATCCTGCAAGGGTGTTCAAGCAGGGCAAACTCAATTTGCTGTACGTTCCCGACCGATTTATCGGTCAACGCTACGATACCCTAGTTCTGACGCTAATGAAGCAGCATGCTGCTGTACCGCTGGGTCTCTACCGCTTTGTCACTCATGAGGGTCAGACATTTGCAAGCGTCGTGTGCAATCCACACCCTGCCACGCCACTGCTCCGCTCGGATGCTGTCTACGTGCTTGGTCCGCCAATTTCCGAGTGGATCCATTTTTCAGAAGGCCTGCGCGCAATAAGTATTGCGCCTCAGCCGTTGCATACGATGGCGTCAGGTTCGCCTACAACACCGGCTGTAGGAAAGGAAGGCGGTCAAAGCTCGACATCTGACCAGTCGCGCTACACGGTCTACTCGCACAATACCGAATCTAGCAGCCCAACAGGATCGTCGACCAGTAAGAGAGGCGGTGGCGAGACAGTTTTCACAATTGACGCCGGCGAAGAGGCCGATACCAGCGACGTTGATGTCGATAGCCACATTGCATTTAAAACAGCACCACAGTTTGGGGATTAGGCCCGGCAATGCCACATCACAGTACTTAATTATATTTTTACTTCCTCTTCAAATACTATTAGCACAAAACACCACGCGCTCGCTTTGACTTTTGGATTTATACCGTCGAGGTATGTTTGCGCGCATTGCTGGGTGGGACAACTCGTTGATAATAAAACAGTCAATGCAGGAGAACTTGATTAAATAAATTGAAATGCAAGTGTTTATCTTCTATCAGTGATAAACGGATGGTTCAGTGCCTGTTCGGCAGTTATCGCGACCCCGGATTCAAAGCCAGCATCTTGCGCAAAAGATCAAAAACTTCGGGCGGCAAATATGGAAAGCCCTCGGCGTTGTATGCCTTGGCCAGGCTCTCGAAGCGAATGCCACGGTCCTTGACAGTCGGGATGTTGGTCAGGAAAGTGCGACCGAGCGCCACGGCCGCCCGTTCCATTTCCAGACGGCCGTACAGCACAGCAATTTCCAGCAATGCCTCTGTGTCATCGGTCGACTGAAAAAAAGGAAACCGCCGGGTCAAAAAGCACAGCAGAATGACACCAACAGACCAAATATCAATCAGCACCGACTGTTCCGGAATCTTCAGCAGTACCTCTGGTGCGCGAAACCCACGCGTGCCCGCACGGTTGGCACGTAGGCCTGGACGCGTGTCCCGGCGCGGGATCCCAGGGCGGCCCTTCTGATCAATACTGCAGAACATGCGGCTGGCTGTTGATGTGTCCATCTGCAAAGCGTGCCGCGACCGGTACCGCACAGCCTCCTGATCATTCTCGCGCTCGGCCAGGCCGAAATCCACGAGGACGCCATGCCGACGCCGGACGTCGTAGAGAAAGTTCGACGGTTTGATATCGCGGTGCATAATGCCCTTGGAATGAGCAAATGCGAGCGCGCTGAGAAGCGAAGCAAAGTACCATCGCATTTCTTCCAGTGGCATCTCTAGATAGAACCGCCGAAAGTCGTCGTTGGGGAAGTACGGCAGGACAACAACCACTTGGTCTTCTTTGCGCATTGCGGTCACCAGAGGCGCAATGAATTTGCTGCCCCTCAGATCGTTGAGAATGCTAATCTCGTTGGCAATGCGCGCCGGTGAGCTTGTGACGTAGATCTTCTTGATAGCTACCACGCGTGCCCGCCGTTGCTGCTGCTGCTGCTGCTGGTTTGATTTCCGCCGCGCCCTTAAAATCTGTCCGTAGTCATTATCGTCCGCTGCATTTTCGCCAAAGTTGCTGTCCTCACTGTCAAAGATCATCGTCCAGCTGCTATTGTCGTAGCGATCGTGCTGAAGGTCAATGGCCTTGTACACTGTGCTGAACGTGCCTTCTCCAATCTTTCCCAGCAATCGATACTGGCTAGAAAGGCCAGGGATCAGCTTCTCTAGCTCCTCAATCTCCTCCAGCGTGCCATCGGCAATATCTTCTTCCTCTTCGCCTCCTCCATTGTTTTCATCTTCATATCGCTCATCGTAACCCTCAGCTTCGCTCTCGTAACCATGGTTGTTTTCGTTTGTATCACTGGCCCCGTGATTGTGGTCGTGATCATGGTCATGCTCTTGTTCAGTCTCATATGTGCTATTGTTGTCGTCATTGTTTCCGTATCTGTCGCCGTTGCTGTGACCACCGTCCTCTTGCTGGTTGTGCTCCTCATGGCCGACATGATCTGTGGCATGCTTGATCGCATCGTCGTCGTTGTTGACGTTGTCATCGTATTCTTCTAGTTTCTGGGTTTGAGTGACAACGGTGCATTGATCATCCTCCGAGTCAGAGATATCACATATAGGGGACTGATTCTCTGTGCTATCGCCAACGACAGATGAGCTGTCTGCCAAACCGGTGTCCTGCTGATCTTCATGTTTGGGCTGCGCATTCTCGATAATCAGAGGAGGTTCGGCAGTAACGTCTTTTCCGTCAACGACAGGATTGCTTTCAACAGCAGAGCACTCTGTACTGTTGGTCGGTTGTAGACAGCCGTTTGACTCCTTTTCTAGACAGCATTATCGACATGCAAATTCAATAAAAAGAAAAGGTGCGAGAGAAAAAAGAATTCACAAAGCAGTTAGTAAACACTATACAATGACAGTATATAAGACAAACAAACAGTAATTGGCAACAAAAAAGGGGGTGGAGAGTAATTTATCAGATACTCTACCTTCTATCGCAATGATTTGGTTATCCTGCTTGACATTCGGGCAAGGAGTCGGCACTCGCAGACGCTTGACTGCAGGAAGAACGACTGGGATGCCGATCGGCGAGTAAATGGTCTTCATAATCGTGCCCTCCCAACAGCCCGGATACATGGATTCTTTGGACTGTGATCTAAATGCAGAGTCCCTGTGGCGTTTTGAAGACGTCTGACTGTAGTGTTGTTGCATTTCACTGCGTGTCTTGATGTTAGCTTTTGGAGTTGTTGCTGTGATATTTACAATAGGCGCGGTGCGCGTTTGTGTGTAACTGCAAAGTTGGTTTCAATTTGTCGAGTCAATAGAAGAAAAGGAAGAAAAAAGAATGTGATAGAGGTACAATTATTGACTATTGAAATGCAAGAAAAAAAAAGAGAAAACCCAAAGAACCGTTTTAAAATATATAAATGAAAAGTAAACAACGCTCAACAGTGAAAAAATATATATATATATTTGCTCAGTGTCGCTGCGCGTTTATTGTTTGCGCGTAGAAGCCTGTTTTTTTTCTTCTTTTTTTAGCACTGTTCACAGCCGTATTGCTCGCCAATTTAAGTGCTGGTCCGAGTCGAGTCAACGCTAAAAAAATACTAGCAAACGCGCCTTTTATTTTATTGGAGCCGAATCGATTATAACGAAAGATCAATTTTGTTTACATTAAACCTCCCCACCTCCCAAATCATGGATCACAACCACCATTATCACCACAAATCATTGACTAGATTGAGGAACATGCGGTTCTAAAAGCGTATCGCGTTTACATAGGGGACAAAACGACGACTGGTACAAAAGCCAGCGATCAATACATGAGCTATGGAAAATATGAGGGCACGGCAGAGTGCGAATAACATCGCCAACATGAATTTCGTCCAAACATATAGCGCACTCCAAGGCAGAAGCATCCCATCCGTTGCTTTCAATTTTTGGTCTCTTTGGAGAGCAAGCAACGTAGCCCAAGTCCCTGCCAGACGATACCGCAGCCTTGTTTTGTATAGAGTAAACGCGCTGCAGCTTGAAGACCACCGGTTCGGCGTATTTGTCCTCCTCAGCTCGGTGAGGGTCAGGCAGTAGCTGGGGACAAGAAATACTAGCATGCAGGTTCATGCCATAGTGGGGCATGGCGGGCACTGCAGGAGCCGCAGGAGCCACTGGTGCAGGCTTTTCGCCCTCGGGCATCAGGTCATATAATGAGATAACTTTGCAGGGCATTGCATCGAGCTCATGCTGCTTCAGCACGCGTTTCTCGCGCGGCATAGCAGTACCCCGCTCATTAACACGACGGCCATGGTCAGACCTTCTTCTAGCTGCAGCCATGACCGAGCGACTGCCAAACCCGCGCTCCTGCAAACCATCCAGCTCTCCAGCGCTATATGGCCATACCCCGCGCTGATTGCGCAACTGCCGTTGTCCGACACAGCCAAAGCACAGGCAGTCAAAATATCGCACAATCATGGCTATAAAAAAACACACAATGCCGGTTATGCCGACGCCTATCATGGCCTTTAGAAAGAAATTGCGGTCGGCTGTGGCAACATTGGCTGCCGACCGCGATATGGTGATGAAAACCCAGGGCATGCTCTGCGTTAATGTTTCCTTGGCCGCTCGCATAGCCGCGCGCACGTCGTCTTGCACATTCTGATACATGACATTGGCAGGCGGCAGGGGCAATGTCAGACCAGGATCACTCGTATATAACTGTTTCATGACATTTGTAAGGTACTCACCCGTGTCCGCGTTAACAACCCAAACGGGCATATGTAGATAGGTTAAGTCAATGGCAGCCCGCTCCGCCGCATGCGCGGCATCATCTTTCATTGAGTATATTATTGCTCCGACCGCTCGCCCAGCCTGCATCTCCTGGTGTAGAATCCACTCCCAGGTCGCCCGACAGCTGCGGTAAGGAAGGAAGGCAATGCCGTTCGGGTGATTCGGCCTAGTGTACTCCCTCACGGATGTTCCCAGTACGTTGTCAGCGCACGAAGCGTTCTCTGGAACATACAGCTCGCCGGCAAACCCGAAAGTGCTAAGTCCTGTTTGGGGAAGCGGGTAGGCGTAGTCGCTGCGATCAAAGGTTGCTTGAAATCCAATGTGTCCCATTTCGCCTGTGCGGTTGCTGAGAATACTTACGGTTAGAGAAACTAGGGGCGCGCGCGCTTGCGCGTGCAGTATCAGCCTTTGTGTCAAGATACTGACTATTGCATATGCGATTAATAGTGGCAGTGATTGCCGCACCATTGCTGTGTAGAGCTAATACAGTGACTGAATACAATTAAGCCTAGTATGTGCTGATGGCAATGGAAGTAATGGCTCAAATATGAAGAGCTTGCAGGTATCGGCCTTTTCTCAATATTAAGTGTTTTTTGTATGCCACAATCAATATACAACCAAAATTTAAGAATCTTTATTTTAAATATTACAGCATAAGAGAAAGCAAAAAATGAGGAGACGGCGAGGGAAATTGATGAAAAAAGAAAAGGCATGGCGTGTAAGCTCTTGCTTATTTTTTTTCTGGGTGTCCATGTTTATTCAAACGCATTTTCACTTGAGCTTTCATTAACAAATAAAGAACATAAATACGTGCTTTATACATAACCCCTCCCCCCTAGTGGTCAACATAACGTGGCGCACTTGTTTCAATGAACCCAGCGCTATGCAGCCGCATAAACATGATGCACAATAACAGGGAGGCAGCAATATTTAAAAAGCCGTGTATAATACCCCTGACAATAGGCCGAAAATGGACAAATGTGAAATACCATTTTTTGCTTTTGCAAATGCCTTGGTGGCAAGTTTGATTAATGAACCAGTTACTGGTAATAAAATTATACCGATACTCAAGCCATTTTAAAACTGGCGGAGGAGTGGGAAAATGATGAATAATTAATGAAATAAGATAAAGTATTTTACACATTGTTGTTCAATAGAGAGCCTTGAGCAAACCCGTTCCCCACATTGACCCCGCCATTGCTGCCAGCAGAGACATCGTCAGAATCGACAGCTGTCCTGCTAACGTTGCCTGCAGCAGTCAAGGCAGAAGCAACGGCCAAAGTGCTGGGCACGGCCATATTCACCGGAATTGGCATTGCTGTAGAAAGGGCGCCTGGCAGCCCCTGGTTTCCACCGCCGTTTCCGCTTACAATTCCACCAGAGCTGGTAATAAGGTTAGCGAGCGCTGTGTCGCTGATATCGTATGGAGACACAATCTGGCTACTGGCTGCCTGGCCGCCATGATCGCCGCCCGCAGTGCCCGCCGAACCTGCAACAGAAGGAACGCCATTCATGGGCATGCCTATGGACAGGAGATTGTCCAGCGCATCAGACGACTGTCCACCTCTCAGCCATTGGTTGATGTTCAAGTTCAGTCCGTCGACGTCAATAGGCCCCATTGCCGATGGCATGTCAGCGTTGTTTTTCGGAGTACCAACGGCCCCTCCTTGCAACGTCGCCTGGTTGCCCCGCTGAGACAGCATTTTAGAAAATGCATTCTCGACAAAGCTGCCAGCCACACCACTAGCCCTTGCTTCGGCCTCGGTCACGCTGATGTTGACGGCTGCCTGCGTCAGTCCGTGGCCAGAGTTATTCACAAGCGCGGTGGCGTTAGCAAAGATGGCGACGACATCGCCACGCTAAAACTTCTCACTGAGTTTGGCATGGCTGCAGCAGTTTTCATGGCCAGCGCTGGGCTGCTTGTGGGTTTGTTGTTGTTGTTGCCGCTACCGCTGTTGGCCACCGTGCCCTGGTTGGCTGGAGAAGGCGGGGGCTGACTGTCGGATGCCAGCTTTGCAGTAGCAGCGGTTTTGGCAGCAGCTGGTTTTCTAGGGACTCGCCTGGCCCTAGTTCTTATTTGGGCCTTCTTCACGCCGCTGCCAGTAGTATCTGCCGGAGCCGCAGCAGCAGTAGCCATCGCTAGCATGGCGGGGTTAGAGGGGGTGGTCGGCGTGACGCCTGAGTTAGCGGCAGTTGTGGGTGGCATTGTATTTGCAGCGTGAACTGTTGAATTTGGTATTAGTGGAAATGGAGGTGCCATTGCCATTTTCATTACTGGCGACATTGTCTGGGAGGCCTGCTGGGGCGAAATGGCGGCTGGACTGTTCTGGATGTTGAATCCATTGACGTTAGCATCAGTCGTGCCATCGTTGTGTCTCTGCTGCATGATCACAAATGAATTTACTCCAGAAAAGCCCGGACCTCCCGGACTGACATGCTGCCGTTGCTGTTGCCGTTGCTGTTGCCGTTGCTGTTGCTGTTGCTGTTGCTGTTGCTGTTGCTGTTGCTGTTGCTGTTGCTGTTGCTGTTGCTGCTGATGCTGCCATTGAGCGTACCGGTTCTGTTCGGCAGCCGCAATCTGCAAAGGCACTGTTGCCTGGAATCCCCCTGCTCCTCTGCCCGAGACTGGCGTTGAAACCATACTATGTGGGTTGATCTGTGGATGAGAGGAGTCGCCGCTCACGTGTGGCTGAGCTCCATCCGTCTTGTCTACACCCTGCATATTGGACATGGCAATATACTGCTGCATCTGCTGCCGATTCATCAGTTGTTGCTGGATGGACTGCTGCTGCTGCTGAGGACCCTGGCTGGCATGTTCATGATTCCCGCCCATCTGTTGCTGATACTGCTGCATATGAGACTGCATTGAACTGGGCGAAACAACCATGCTCTGACCATGGGTAATCCCACCATTCATTACTGCTGTTGCAAATGACCCCGGCTCAGTGTGATCAACCCCGGCGCCATATTGGCGTTACTGCTGCCATAGTTCGGCGGAGCAGTCTGGTTGGGAATACATCTGGCATTGGCGGAGGAGGCATTTGCAGCTGTTGATGCTGTTGGAAATTAGCCGATCCAACCTCTGCTGAAGCGCATTGGCGTTATGCACAGAATGTTGTGGAGAGCCCATTGTTTTGTGATGCACATCGTTCAGAACGCCCCTATGCGCAACCGTCGGCGATGCCATTGGTAGCGCGGATGGCGGTGGCGGGGACATCGGCTGCTGCTGCACGGCCTGGAAGAGATGGGTGCCAGGAGTAACCATGGATCCAGCTGTTGTCGGGCTGCTAATGTGCTGGCTGTTCGCACGATGTGTTGGAACAATGTGAGGAATTGCGCCACTGCAGATTTGCGGCGATGTGTACACTGGGGTTTTCTGGGCCAAGCGACTCACGCCCTGCGATTGAATCTGCTGGCTCTGACGCTGGGCGGAATCAACCTGCATGCTGCCACTATCCTTGTTTCTGCAGTTAATTCCGCTGCTGCTGCCATTACAATTGAAAGCTTATGTCTGACTGGAGCGTTTGCGAAGGTGGCGACGCCGATATACTGGCGCTATTGGTACCGATTCTGCTATTGTTTCTGCTAATCCTCTTGGGCTTTTCTCCAGTCACGTTGTTGCTAGAATCTGTGCGCGCGCCATTGAGTTTGCTCTCTAAATGGGGATGCAACGAATATAATTGAAAAACACAAGGGGAAAACCAACACGTATTAGTTGCAGAACAGTTTGTACACATCCATCGTGAGTTCTCTAAATTAGGTCTTGCGCTGACTTGCGCGCAAAAAAGCAAAATGTAACAAAATAGGGTCTGTTCATTTGCGAATTTTAATTACACACCTTTTGCAGCCGGATCATTGGCAGTTGCGTTGCCAAGCGAGGCCTGACTCTCTGCAACAATCTTTAAACTGTTGGACAGAAACCCGGTGTACTCTTCTGAAATCGTGTGTCCGCCGCTTGGGCTGATGTTGACGCCCAAGCCGCGCGTGAACTCTGAAATACTATTGTTCCCACGTGTTGCTATTGGTGCTGCTGCTGGTGCTGGTGCTGCTGCTGCCAGTTCTTGTGTTGCTGGCCTTGCGCCGCCAGTCTGATTTTGATGCTGTCGATTCAAATCATATATCCGTACAGTGTCGTCGTCGCTGGGCATAGAGAACCTTTCAATGAGTGCGGCGCTCTGCGGCGAGCACTCGCCGTCCCGGTTTATACGAAGGTGCTTTGCCGGATTGAGGGCGTCGGTGTCGATAATTGGCGCGGTGAACGAGGGATTTGTGGGATCTACTTCCGTTGTGTCTCTACAGTGCCAGATAAAAAAGCCACAGCAAACAAAAAATGTCAAAAAAGAAAAAACAACATATTGAGTACAATAGCAACAACAATAGCCACATGCTCAACATCACGTCACATAGAACCCAACAGCTGCATATTTTATTTAGCTCAAGCACCCCGCCCAAACCGCTGGACAACCGGCCTTGCTACCCCCCCCCTATTATTTTTCCTATACCCCCAACCCTCGTGTGCGTGCAGTCAAATCCATTCACAAGAAAAGAAAAGGACAAGACAAAAAAAGGCAAAAATAGGACAAACCAGAAACAAATAAAGTGCACTTACTGTGAAGAGGCAGCGCGCTTTCCATTAGCATTGAGCATAGCCCGGTTTGCTGCACCCTTTCCCCCTTCAACCTCTGCTGCTGCTGAACATACGCGCGCACTCTCTCTGAAACCGCACCAAACTTTGGGCGCTCCAAGTTGGCTGCATAAACATCCCAGAAAATACACCACCACTGGAGCAAAAACCCATTTGGAATATCAAAGGGCACGTTCACACTTGGCAAGTGGTGGCAAGCGTCCGACTCAGGGGTTCCAACAGCAGAACTGGATGGCTTTTTAGAGCCCTCAATAGAATCCTTTGCTGTTGATGTTTCAGCAGGAGAGGATCGTGAGGTTTTGTGTGTGTTGGATGTGTTGGATGTGAATGCGTTGGCCCGGGAACTGTCCTTCGCTGTGTTGATTATCGGAAGGTCCTTGCACTCTTCGACAAAGTTGCGACAAGTGTCCACGAAGCCCGTTTTCTTGAGATAATCAAAGATATAAGCCTTTAGCAGAGTCTCGTGTGATAGCATTGTGAGAAACAAAAAGATAAAGAAAAATGGGAAAGGAAAAGAGTAAGCAACAGATACAAAAAAATGTTTCTAAATAAAAAACTTTAAAGTTTGCGGGGAGTAAGAAAAAAATAGTGCAAGTTAAAAAGTTTAAAAATAATTTATAACAGAAAATAAAGGAAAAGCTTGGGTCAGATGAGAAGAATGTTTGAAAGTTACGAAAAAAAGGACAAGATGATGGGAAAAGAAAAATTAAAAAAATTAAAAAGAAAAAGAATTTAATCTTTATTTTGCAATAGCAACAGGGCCTTGTTCGCTTGCTAATAGCATTTGCTGCATGCTATATTTTTTTCTATTTTTCTGTATGTATGGGGGGAGCAAGCTAGTGTGAGCGAGCCAGCAAGCGAGCGGGAAAATATTTGCAAGGAAATATATGCCCTAAATAAATATAATCAAAAAGGTATATAGAATGAAGAATAGCAAATTGTTGATTTTTTCGACTCTTCCCTTGAAGAAAATAACCTACGCACTCCAACATATACTTGTTGAGGGCTCATTTAAATATTAAATGCATTGTTTAACCTTCCTACCGCGGCAGCAAATAATTTTTTTTTAGTGTCTAATTTATAATAATTAGATGAGCTTCCCCTATACATTTTCTTGTTCGCTTTATAATCCACTCAGTATAATTATAATGCCTTCAGCTCCACCCAATTAAGGACATACTAATCGCATCCTCGCGAGTAAATCCCCCCACCCTCTCTGATTGAATCGGGACCGTTCCATAGCATGAAAAAGTCAATCAAATTTAGAAAAAGAAAACATTGGACGCGTTGTTTTGCCGATCCAATGTTTTAATTTCAAAACTGTTTTGTGAATAAAATGTATGTTACAAAAGAAGAAGGGAAAGCAATAGCAAGCTCAAATTCTATTTAGATTACTACATTAGGTGACACATGAATTACACAGCTTTAAGTGTACACACATACAAAAAACAATAAATAAAATTTATAAGCTTGAATATATATAAAAAAGAAAATAGTAGGAAAAATATATATCTTCACATATTTATTTACTTTCTGAAACGCTTGGCGCGGCCACCACGGCTGCTGCTGTTGTTTCCAGGACGCTTGTTGTTGCCATTGCGGCTAGCAGCCGCCGAGGCCTTAGCACGCTCATAGAAGGCCTTCTCCTCCTCATCGCCAACAGCAACCAGGGCCAAAGTGCACTCGCCAACAACAACGCCCTCGGGGTTAGACTCAATAACAGTGGCAGCCACGGGCTCCTTGAATCTGACAATACCCTCAGTCTGTCCCTTCTCATAATCGACAAACTTGACATCCCAGAGACACCAAAGGCCTCACGCAGAGCGGCAAAGCCCAACTCACCCGAGGCACCAGTGAACTTGACCAGGGATCCAGGGACAATCTCGTATTCGGGCACAGCAGCAGCCTCGGACTTCTTTCCCTTATCGCCCTTCAGCGGCGCAGGGACAGGGCGGCCATGGGCCTTGCACCAGTCCTCGAAGCTAGGGTACTCGCCCTGGGGCTTGCGCAGCTCCGGCTGGATAAACTCATCCAAACCCAGCTTCTCGTCATGGTACGCCTCCAGCGTGACAATCTCAAGCTTCTGACCATCAAACTCCAGACCCTCCTTCTTGGCAACCTCTTCGGCAGACTCCGAGGAGCCAAACTGCACCAGGACATTGCCCTTGAACGCCTTGGTCTTGGGGTTACGGCGCAGACGCACGAGCTCGACATTGCCCACAGCGGTGGTAAAATACTTGGTCAGCTCCTCGATCAGCTCGCCATTCTCCTTTCCATAAGCCAAGCCCTTAACATGCACGGTGCGGCCGAACCAGTCCTCCGACAGCTCAAACTTCTCCTTACGCCGCAGCGCTGAGCCATCCTCCATAACCTCCACAGAGTCCTCCGGAAGCACTCCAGCCTTCACCGTAGCTGCCAGCAGATCAACATACGCCTGGGGCACAGGCTCCGGACGCGCAGCAAACTTGCCGCTACCGCGCGCAGCCTTGATCGGTCTCTGGGGCTTGTTCTCCTCCAGACCCATCAGCTGCCTAAGCCGGTTGAAGCGTGCAAGGGTGGTGAAGGTCACCCAGCCCTCGTTCATCTCGGCTCCGCGCCGCATGTACGTGTCGTGGGTCAGGTTGGCGTCGCTAAAGTAGTGCTTGACCTGAGTGACTATGCGCTCGGCGGCTCCGCAGACAAAGTCGGCACGGGGTGGTGGTCTCAGTGGGCTTCGTCACGGTTTGGCCGTCTCAACAACGGGGACTGCAATGGCGGCAGCAGCGACAGTAGGGATACCTTCGACGGGAGACATTTTGATTTTTCTTTTCTATGTATCTGGCAGTATATACTTTGTGTATATACGTGAAAAAAGTAGGTGAAAGACAAGTAAAAAAAGTGGGTGTTGAGGTTTTGGATGAAAGAGAGAGAGAAAGAGAAGGGTGAAATATATATATATATATAGAAAGAAAGAAAGAAAAAAGAGGATGTAATTTTTTTATTTTTTTGAAAAGAGAGAAGGGTGCGCGTGTGCGCGCGTTCTTTTTAACTGGCCATTACTCCGATTCAACTCGTAAAAAAAAAACCTGGCTGTGAAAGGGGGGAAAGAAAAAAATAAAATTATCGACCAAAAATTCATAATCAAAATCAAAATCATCACGAAATCAAATCGCCGATTACAGCGCGTAAAAAAAAACTTGAAGGCTGCCAGTCATTTGGTCAGGTGGCGGATGGCTCTAAAATTCATGAATGCTGCGGTCGCTGCAGCAGCAAAACAAACAATCCTGCGTGCCATCTCCCGTCTGTTGATATCAGCCCAGCTCTGTATCCATGCGTCCATTGTGCCTATTGTGCTCATTGTGTTCAATAGCGCATGCGCAACGGGACACCCGCCCGGAGAAGAACAGGGTCATTGATCCTTTGTCATTCGCAATGGTGCTCTTTTCCGAAACAAAGACTTATCCCTCGCACAATAAGCGCAATAAAAGCAAACCCTCTCCTTCTCCGATATTACCGTTTCCAAACATACCTCCAGGCATACACTGAGCCTACGGAAACAACTGCCGCAGTCATAGCCAGCGGCGCCGGGCTCCTTGACCTGAACGCATTGCGGGCATTAAGAACAACCAGATGGCCGACCAGCCGGCGCCGAGCCCGGCGCCATTAGTATAGTCCCCGGATGCCAGCGCATAGGCGGCGCACCAAACACGGCGCCGTACATGGTGCACTGCATGACTGAGGGGACACCCAGGGTGCGGCGGCGCGCAAGCGACATGGCGCTGAGATTGATGGCGCTGAGTAGCAGCGCAGGGTACGCGGAGGCTGAGACTTGTGCGAGCAGCCTTTCGGTGGCCGTGGCCGTGGCCGTGTGTCTGTGCTTGGCGTCGTTGGCGCGCAGCGTGTAACTGGACGGCGGCGAAGGCGGAGTCGACATTTGTGTGTGATGATTTGGAAAATGAAATAATGGCAGCGGGTGGTTTTAATAGGAAGGGGCAGTAGGGTGGACCAGAGCAGAGAAAGGGCGGATCAGAGCAGAGCAGAGAAAGGGGCGATTGCAGATTTGGGCTTTCGGTGGTTTGGTCTTTTGTCGGACCGTGCGCCAAGCGCGAGAAAAAAAGCAGACGCCAATTCATTCAACCCCAATTCGCAATTTAATCCCATCTTTAATTCCACCTCCAATTCCACCTCCATTCCACCTCCATTCCACACCAAAGCAATGCTCGCCGCCCCTTCAAATCCCATTCCCCAGTGGCCGCCATTCGTCGCCAGCGCGCCCGGCAAGGCAATTCTCTTTGGCGAGCATGCGGTCGTCTACGGCAAGGCCGCAGTGGCCGGCAGCCTGTCAATGCGCGCCTACGCGCTGGTGACGCCGCGCACCGACGGGCTCACGCGGCTGTGCCTTCCGGACATCGGCGTCGACACGACACTCGGCGCTCTGCCATCCGCAGCCGCCATAGCCTCACTCGCGCACCCAGGCGACGTCGCCACGCTGCTTTCGGCGGCGCTGCTGCCGCAGGAGGGCCCTGGGCGCACAGCCACGCTCACCTTTGCGTACCTCGCCGGGGCGCTGCTGCCAGCCAGCGTGCGCCAGAGCGGCCTGACGCTGTGCGTGCGGTCATTGGTGCCGGTCGGCGCCGGGCTCGGGTCGTCGGCGGCGTTCAGCGTCAGCCTGGCGGCGGCGCTGCTGCGGCTGGACGGGCGCGTCAGCGCGGCGGACTCGGCTGAGGAGCGGCAGCTGGTCGACCAATGGGCGTTCCGCGGCGAGCAGGTGGCGCACGGCACGCCATCGGGCATCGACAACGCCGTGGCCACGCACGGCGGCTTCCTGGCGTACACGCGCGGCAGCAGCCCGCGCCAGCTGGGCGCCGCGCACCCGACGCGTGTCGTCATCTGCGACACGCGCGTGCCCAAGAGCACCATGGTGCTGGTCGCCGGCGTGCGCGCGCTGCGCGACCAGCACCCGGCCGCCATTGACTCCGTCATGGACGCCATTGGCGCCTTGGCCGAGGACGCCGCACAGCGCTTCGCCGATCCAAGCGCCGAGCGGCTGGAGGACCATTTGCGCGGCGCCGTTGCGCTCAACCACGCGCTGCTGGCCGCGCTGGGCGTCAGCCACCCGGCGCTCGAGCGTGTGCGGATGATTTCCGCTGCCCATAAGATGCCAGCAAAGCTGACTGGCGCCGGCGGCGGCGGCTGTGCGCTGGCGCTGGTGCCGCAAGCGGCTGCTGCGTCGGAGGTTGCCGCTGTGTGTGCGGAGCTGGCCGCCGAGGGCTTCGCCTGCTACCCGACCGTTGTTGGCGGCGCCGGCGTCCAGTGTGCTGCGCGCGTAGGCGCGGAGTCTGTGGCCGCGTGGGTCGAGCGCGTCGCCGGCGGTGGCTGCGGGGATCTCGCCGATGCCTTTGCCGCTCTGTCTGCCGACGCGCTGGCCGAGCTGGCGCCGCCCGTGCCAAGCAAATTGATCCGTTGATCCACTGATTTACTGAGCCCGCGCTGGCAGTGCTGTGGCTGACCCCACAAGTCACCCCTTGCGCACCTTCCCTCCCCCCCATCACACACCATGGGCTAATTGTTATGCAAGCTTCCGTGCCTGCGCTGTTAGCATCAAACTGCACTTCAACTTCTTCCATCTTCACCACATCATTATATTTCAAATAAATAAATGGCCTCGAAGACCGCCACCAAGCGCCTGACCAAGGAGTACGCCCTGATGAAAAAGTCGCCGCCGGATTTCATCACAGCCAAGCCTCTGGAAAAGAACATCCTCGAGTGGCACTACATCATCACCGGGCCGCCGGACACGCCGTACGATGGCGGCGAGTACCACGGTCGTTTGATTTTCCCGGCAGACTACCCGTTTGCGCCGCCGTCCATCCAGATGATCACGCCCAGCGGCCGCTTCGTCCCCTCGGCCAATATCTGCACATCCATGAGCAACTACCACCCGAACACGTGGAATCCCGGGTGGTCCGTCGCTACTATCATCACTGGCCTGCTGTCCATGATGACCGGCGACGAGCACACCACTGGTGCGACGACCGGCGTTACTGATTACGAGAAGAGGGAATTTGCTGCAAAATCAAAGGAATTTAATCTCGCTAATTCTGTGTTCAAGAACGCCTTTGGCTGCTGATTTCTTTCTTTCTTTATCCAAATTGATCCAACTCACATGCAGCCTACTATTCCGTTGACATATTTTATTTTTTAAATATAAATATTGGTGATAGTGAGATGGCCGGTTGATTAGACATATACTCACACTTTAACTTTTTTGGTAGAGTGCTGTGCCGAGCATTAAACAAAAAACATACTAACACATGTCGGGTATAGTGTAATTACTAATTCTTTGTGACATCTTGCGTGTTACTTTTTTTTGCTTAATTTGCAACCACCAATCCCCTTTTTTTTGGCTGAGCTCGGGCTAAAAAAGAAAACATAAAAAAATAGATAGGCACATCATCTGTCTGGTAAATCATTCAAAAGATTTACTAGAGTTTGGAAAATCTGCAATTTATTTATTTACAATTTTTCACCTATTTTTTAAGGGCATTTTGTAAAAAAAATTGTTAAAGTGAGCACGCATTTTTCCTAAAAATAAAAATAACAGATTTCGATCATACTTGAGCTTGGCTTTCTAATTGCTGACCAGGAACATAAGCCTCTTTCGCCATATCATCCTACTCACCCCAATATTTTACATTTGTTTGTTGCCACTTTTCTCCCTCTCAATTTTTACGCTGCAAAAACAACAAACAAACAAAATACGAAACAAAACGAGAAAGAGCGAGTTGATTGTAACCAAATAAAATCTAGGAACTGACCAAATTTATGCCTTTTTCTTCAATTTTCCAAAACAAACTGTTGAATTTTTTTTAGTAAACTCCGCTATCTGCTCCTCCCCTCCTCACTTCAATTTGTGTTGCCTTGCCATCCCAAAAACCAACTTTCTCTCCTTTTCTCTTGTTTGCCTACTTTTTTCTCCCACTTCTACTATATTTTGTTTGTTCACAAAAAAAGAAGAGAAAGCTATTCTCAAACAAAACCCTACTATTTTTTATATACCCTGCCTTTTTACAACACATCCTATCCCTTCCTACTTTTATCCTTTTTTAAATAATGACCACCACTGTCAGCCACACTTTCCGGCTAGATACCGCCGAGGAAACCACGACTGTTGAGATCCATGGAACCTTCGGCGCCACCCATTGGACCGCCATCCCACTGCAACCCACCACCAACCCTAACCAGTACGAAGTTACCCTGGAGCTGATTCCCGGAACAAACTATCTCTACAAGTACAAGGTCAATGGTGAGTGGCTTTTGGATACTAATGCCAAGCAACAGTTGGTAGAAGATGGTGTGGTCAATAATGTTTTTGTCGCGCCAGTATTGTCATCTGCTGCTGATGAGGGTGTTTCTGGCGTTGAGCTTATTAAGTCTGAGGAGAAGGCTGTTGAGCAGGATAAGGCCGAGGCTGAAGACAAGGCTGAGGTGGTTGCTGAGATCGCTGCCATTGAGGAGGTTGCTGCCGTCGAGGTTGCTGTCGCTGAGGAGGTTACCGCTGCTGAGAAGACTGTTGTCGAGGAGGTCGCCGCCATCGAGGAGGCCGTTGCCGCTGTCGAGGTTGCTGCCGTCAAGGCTGCCGCCGTTGAGGAGGCCGTTGCTGTTGAGAAGGTTGCCGCCATTAAGGAGGTTGCTGTCGTTGAGAAGGTTGCTGCCGTCGAGGTTGCTGCCGTCGAGGTTGCTGCTATTGAGGAGGTTGCTGCCGTCGAGGTTGCCGCCGTTGAGGTTGCTGCCATTGAGGAGGTTGCTGCTGTCGAGGAGGCCGTTGCCGCCGTCGAGGTTGCTGCTATTGAAGAGGTTGCTGCTGTCGAGGAGGTTGCTGTCGTTGAGAAGGTTGCTGCCGTCGAGGTTGCTGCTATTGAGGAGGTTGCTGCCGTCGAGGAGGTTGCTGCCGTCGAGGTTGCTGCTATTGAGGAGGTTGCTGCCGTTGAGGAGGTTGCTGCCGTCGAGGAGGTTGCTGCCGTTGAGGAGGTTGCTGCCGTCGAGGAGGTTGCTGCCGTCGAGGAGGTTGCCGCCGTCGAGGAGGTTGCCGCCGTCGAGGAGGTTGCTGCCGTTGAGGAGGTTGCTGCCGCCGTCGAGGTTGCTGCTATTGAGGAGGTTGCTGCCGTCGAGGAGGTTGCCGCCGTCGAGGAGGTTGCCGCCGTCGAGGAGGTTGCCGCCGTCGAGGAGGTTGCTGCCGTTGAGGAGGTTGCTGCCGCCGTCGAGGTTGCTGCTATTGAGGAGGTTGCTGCCGTCGAGGAGGTTGCCGCCGTCGAGGAGGTTGCCGCCGTCGAGGAGGTTGCTGCCGTCGAGGTTGCCGCCGTTGAGGTTGCTGCCATTGAGGAGGTTGCTGCTGTCGAGGAGGCCGTTGCCGCCGTCGAGGTTGCTGCTATTGAAGAGGTTGCTGCTGTCGAGGAGGTTGCTGTCGTTGAGAAGGTTGCTGCCGTCGAGGTTGCTGCTATTGAGGAGGTTGCTGCCGTCGAGGTTGCCGCCGTCGAGGAGGTTGCCGCCGTCGAGGAGGTTGCTGCCGTTGAGGAGGTTGCTGCCGCCGTCGAGGTTGCTGCTATTGAGGAGGTTGCTGCCGTTGAGAAGGTTGCCGCCGTCGAGGAGGTTGCCGCCGTCGAGGAGGTTGCTGCCGTCGAGGAGGTTGCTGCCGCCGTCGAGGTTGCTGCTATTGAGGAGGTTGCTGCCGTTGAGAAGGTTGCTGCCGTCGAGGAGGTTGCTGCCGTCGAGGTTGCTGCTATTGAGGAGGTTGCTGCCGTCGAGGAGGTTGCTGCCGTTGAGGAGGTTGCCGCCGTCGAGGAGGTTGCTGCCGTTGAGGAGGTTGCTGCCGCCGTCGAGGTTGCTGCTATTGAGGAGGTTGCTGCCGTCGAGGAGGTTGCTACAGTTGAGGAGGTTGCTGCCGTTGAGGTTGCCCCCGTTGAGGTTGCTGCCATTGAGGAGGTTGCCGCCGTCGAGGTTGCTGCCGTCGAGGAGGTTGCTGCCGTCGAGGTTGCCCCCGTTGAGGTTGCTGCCATTGAGGAGGCTGCTGCCGTTGAGGAGGTTGCTGCCGCCGTCGAGGTTGCTGCTATTGAGGTTGCCGCTGTTGATGAGGCCGTTGCCGCCGTCGAGGTTGCTGCCGTTGAGGAGGTTGCTGCCGTTGAGGTTGCCCCCGTTGAGGTTGCTGCCATTGAGGAGGTTGCCGCCGTCGAGGTTGCTGCCGTCGAGGAGGTTGCTGCCGTCGAGGTTGCCCCCGTTGAGGTTGCTGCCATTGAGGAGGCTGCTGCCGTCGAGGTTGCTGCCGTTGAGGAGGTTGTTGCCGTCGAGGTTGCTGCCGTTGAGGTTGCTGCCGTTGAGGTTGCTGCCGTTGAGGAGGTTGCCGCCGTCGAGGAGGCTGCTGCCGTCGAGGTTGCTGCTGTTGAGGAGGTTGCCGCCGTCGAGGAGGCTGCTGCCGTTGAGGAGGTTGCTGCCGTCGAGGTTGCCGCTGTCGAGAAGGCCGCTGTTGAGGAGGAGGTAGCTGCACCTGCTCCTGCTGAGGAGGCTCAGCCCCGGGTAAGCCTCAGCTCAACCACCAGCACACAAAAGAAGAACCGTGGAATTGCCGGCTTCTTCAGACGGTTCTTCTCGTAAGTTCACTGATCTTACATTATTTTCTTTTTCACCTTCAGCTGTTCATTTTCTCAAGTTCATTTATCCCTTTTTTCTTTTTCTCTCTGTGTGAGCGATATCAACATGTTAAACTAAAATATTTACAACGTACACTAAAGAAAAGAATGAGACTACAAGTATCCTGCAAATCGACATTCTTCCCATCCGGATTGCATAGCAACCTGACAGGTATTTAGAAACTAGTGGCAATAGTGTAATGAGGATATTGTGTATAATAAAGAAAGATATTATTGTATAAGAACTATGAAAAGAGCTAAAGCTCATGATATTGCATGCGCGCAGCGATTTTAAATCTAACAATGAGATTACATGTGACTATGCTGTCAGGTAACCCAGCCCAATTTTGGCGTTACAAATTGACCACTATGGTTGAAGATATTATCCAGTTCGTTGCTTCTTTTAAAGAGAAGCAGAGATGAATTCTTGCGCACACGCTTGGGCTTGGGGTTTGGTTTGAGCACAGTGCCAGGCGTCGCTGTAGACTCAGGCTCAGCCGACTCTGACGATGGATTATTTCGCAAGAAACAGGGAGGACACTCGCCTGCAAGAAGGGAGTTAAGAATGATGCGAAAGTTTAGCACCACAGCCATGTCGCGATTATTCCACTTCTGCCTGCCTGATGGCACTTTTTTGCCATTCTTGATCTTGGTTCCACCGGCCCTGAAGATTTGCAGGCAGTTTTCCATTATGCACTAGAGCAAGTTGTGGCATAAAATTTGGCGAGGCTTTTCTACCGCCGTAATTATATTAATTCCTGTTGCGGCTACCTGCTCCTGCTGCTGCGCGGCCAACTCGTCGCGCATCCTCTGTCTGATTTTGCACTCGATCTTGCCCCGCGACCAGCCGCTCAGCCTGACAATGCGCTTGGGATTATCGACAGGCTGGATATTGATGTACTGCTCCCGATTCCGCTCAGCCAGCTCATCCCGCAACTGTTGTTTCACTTTGCGGGAATTATTTTGCTTAGACCAGCCCTTTTCCTCTCCTATCCACCGGATGATATTGGCAGACTGTGGGAAAATAGGCATCTTTGGTCGCAACTATGCTGTGCGCTGTCGATAATAGATGCGGCGTCGGCGGCGGTTGTGGTTGCAACAGAAATAGCGATGGCTGCTGCGACAGAATTGTATGAATATAATTACATCATTAAGTGCCACGTTTAACTCACAGCCAAAGCACCAGTCGGACACAAACGTTAAGTACTTTCCGTATCTTCAAAAATATGATTTTGATATTTTAGGCTAAAGATCTGGGGGGAAACGGGGTTTTAAAATCTCCTGCTTAAAAACCTGAACTTTCGCTATAAATGTCTGGAAATTCCAAAATCTATTTACATTAGTGTAATATGCAGCTCTGTCCTGTAACACAAACTGCAAGATGCAGGGAGCACCCGGATTTTCTCACAGAATAAAATCAAATGGGGTTTTCTTGTGTTACGGGTGATTGTGCCATCGTCATCACCAGCCACCATTTAGCAGGAAAATTGCACTATTTTTTTAGCAATTTATTTGCCCTGGGCCAGACATTATCTCTGCCAAACTCTTTCTTCTCCTCTGCCTTTTTTGTCTATTTTCAACATCGATATCGCTACAAAAGCTACTATTGTATTTTAATTTATTTGTAGTATTTTATTTATTGTCTTAAAATTACAAAACCATGGATGGAAGCGGACAACTGCTCCCTGGCCCGCTAGGAGAAAAGAGACATCATCATGGGCAGGGTCAATCGCAGCCTTGCCAAAGCGCTAGCGTAAAGCGATACTTGGGTAGTTTGCTCACGACTGTATCCATTGGCGCGGTGACGGTCTGGGCCATTTTTTCGTTCTGGCCGCTGCTCACTGGAAAATTTAGCCGCGGCGACGGCAGCGGTGAATACAGCCAGTCGTCGGTGTCAATTTCACCAGAACAGCAGCATGCACATGTGCTTCCCACTGCGTTGACAAAAGGCGAAAAAGTTCTTGTAGAGCTGTTTGTCATGTCTCGCTGCCCGGACGCAGTCAAGGTTGAGGATGTGTTTTCGCAGGTGATTCCTGCAGTGTATCCCATCATTGATGTGCAGCTCAACTTTATTGCAGTGTTGGACCCCAACGCAACGTACGGCGCGCAGTGCAAACATGGAGACGAGGAGTGTTTGGGGAATATCGAAGAACTGTGCGCACTACACCACCGCCCCGATCTGATGTCATTTTGGCGCTTTCTGATGTGTATGAACAGCCGGTTCGAGGGCATCGGCAAGGACTCTGACTTGGCTCTCAAGTGTGCAAGCAGTGCAGGTTTGGATACTGCAGCATTCCTAGCGTGCACTGTGCAGCCAGAGGGACGTGCACTGTTCAAGCAGTCGGTTGAAAATTCGCTGTTTGCCCGAGTGAACACTAGTGCCACTGTGTATATCAATGGGAAGCTGCGGTGCGTCGAGGATAATGGCTGGCGCGATTGCCAGGGCGGGCACAGACCTGGCGACTTTATTCGCGACATCTGTGCTGCGTACAAGAACTCTGGGCCGCGTCCCTCCATCTGTGGCCAGTATCCACCTACGACTCGCGCGCGCCTATTTATATAATTCAAATTGTCATTAAAATGTTTTTTTTGTGTAAAAAATACTATGTGAAATAAATATGTGCCCTTAATATGTTAATAGTTATTACATATTGCTTTTTCAGCCTAAACAAGAGCGAGGAGAATGCACCAGAAATCAACCATTACCATGTCGGTTTCTACATATGGATTGTTCTTTTTCTTCTTCCAAGCTTGATGTTGCCTTTGCACTGATTTCTGTCCAGGACATAGAATGTTGGGCCGATTTATCAACTTGCAATTAATTGTGACAAATCTCACTTTCTGTCTTTTGAGGAAGAAATCAAGCCGCCGCTGATGATAATTGATCTCATTTACATAGATCTTGGAAGAAAAAATACTTATAGATTATATTCATCCTTTCATCTCTTCTCTTCTCTTGGCTTATATATCATTATTGTCAGTGTTTCTCTGCTCAAAGTTGGATTTTTGACAGCATGATGTGCCTTATCCCTGCCTTCTTGGCAAACGGCCTGTTGGGGCTACTCCAGCCTCTCAACTTACTTTGCGGACTCGTTGCGTACTTTTCCTGGACTGTATTTTATGCTTTCTATCTCTCACCTCTGCGCAACGTCCCTGGTCCGTTCTGGTCGCGCATATCCGATCTTCCACTGCTCTACCACCAGATGCGTCGTAGCCAACCTACCTTGATGAAAAAGCACAACAAACTATATGGCGGCATCTTCATCATGAGCCCACGCAGAGTGGCCATCTGTGACCCCAAGGACAGCCAAGTAATTTTGGGGACACATGCATTTCTCAAGGACAAGCGGTATAGCAACGTTGAACTCATGGAACCAAACATGTTTTTGACCGTCGACCCTGAGCTGAACAAGCAGCGCCGGAGACAGATTGGCCCATCCATGAGCTTGGCCAGCTTGAAGCACATGGAGCCAGCCATTTTGGAAGCTGGGCCTAAGCAGCTGCACGCCAAATGGGATCGGGACATTGAGCAATCCAAGGACGGACAAACTGCCAGAATATGTTACCACAGCGATTTTGTTCTGATGACTTTTGATGTCATTAGCTCATTGGGATTTGGACACGCACACAGATCGTTGACGTCGGGCGACACTCGGGTTGCAAAGTGGGTCAAAAGCACATTTGTACTTATATTCCTGCAAGCCATTATGCCTGTAATCAAGTCAATGTTTTTTCGTCGCTTTGTTGCCAAGTCGCTCTACAGCGAGTTTGACGCCTTCTTTGCCTTGAGTACCCAGGCCGTCGATAACCGCAAGAAGCTTCTAGCCAATCTAGCGTCCAACGAGGACAAGCCCAAGGATATGCTGCAGTCGTACATTGACGCTGAGGATCCAGAGTCGCGCATTCGAATGACGTCGGGTCAGGTGATTACAGAGACAATCATTAGCTTGTTGGCTGGTTCTGATACCAGTTCAAACACGCTTGCATGGACCATTCACCTGCTTCTCCTGCACCCGCACTACCTTGCCCGAGTTGTCAAGGAAGTGCGCGAGGCATTTGACCGCGACCACTTAATTATCTATAGCGAGTCCAAAGCCAGCCTTCCGTTCCTCGAAGCCTGCATTTACGAGTCCTTGCGTCTGATTCCAGTTACCACTACTTTGCCGCGGTTTTTGCCGCGTGGTGGCGCGACTCTTCATGGCCACTCTATCCCCGAAGGATACAATTGCTCCATTAGTATTTCCGCCGTCAACACTAATCCCGAGGTGTGGGAGCGTCCCGACGAATTTTATCCTGAACGGTTCCTTGACAACGAAGCAAACAAGCGAACTGTGCTGACATTTAGTGCCGGTGTCAGGGTGTGTCCGGGAAAAAACTTGGCATGGATGGAGATTCAGTCGACAATGGCTAATATCTTTAACAAGTATGATTTGGAGTTGCCCGAGGATGCGCTGTTTACGCCGGATCGCGTTGATGAGAGCGGACTACCAATTTTGATGCCATGCACAGTTGCTAGCACTTGTGTGCCAAAGTTTCCTGAGCGCGACTGTGTTGTTGTGGTGTCAAAGCGCAAGTAAAAATAGTATTTTAGTTTATTGTCAAATAAAGCTCATATTGATACATCTCAGGTAATTATTGATGATAAATTAAAAAGCAACTGTTTTATTTGCCGCGCGTATTTTTTTAAATATCCTCATGTAAAAAAAGATATATTAAAAGAAACAAAAATTTTGTATTATACATAGAGAATTATCAAGAAAAAAGGGGATGGTAGAAATTTAAAGGTTAGTTAGGAGTATCGCTTGCACATACCATGTCCTTGGGCTTCTTCACAGGACGCAGCCTGTGATGTTTCATCTCTGCCAGGAGCTTAGACATCACACCAGGATCCTTATGAGGCAACGACTGCTGCTGTGGTGGTGGAATTGGTCTCTTTAAAACCGGGCGCAGCTCTTGACGAAGCCTCCTCACAGTTGATGCTTGCATGCGGGGATTCTCGGCCATAATGGACACTGTGGATTCCTGAGACTCCCTCCTACGCATACTGCCCCTGCTATGCGGCCGCTCGCCATCACCTCTTGACTGGCCATTGCTATGCTCGCGTCTGTTATGCGAACTGAACGACGAATCAACAGTAAGCAGCGGCGACATTGGCAAATACTCTGGCGACTGTGGCGGCGGTGGTGGAAGTGGCGGAGCCATAGGAAGCCCCCGTGCGCGCCGCGACTGCTGATTCTGATTCTGATCGCCGCCACGAACCGGCGACATCGATGTTGGCGACGGGGGCAAATGCATCGCGGCATTTTGGGATGCCACCGATGACCGTTCAGCATACGCATTGATGTGGGCGCCGAGCCTGGTTTTCATTAACTGAGCGACAATATTTTCTGGCGAGAACCGCGGCTGCTCGAGGTCTCCGTATACTGACCGCAGATCGTCGTCGTCCAGTTCTTCGGGGATCAGAGACGCAATGATCTTTTTCAACCGGTGTAATTCACGCTCGACCTTCTCCAAACGCGACCGCTCCACAAACGACGGTATTTCGCTGGGCGGCTGCATGGGTGTGGGCGCTGCGACAGGCATGGGCATGCTCGAGTGCCCGACGCTATTGCTCCGTGCCTGCGAGCGCCTTGCCGAATGCGCAACACCGACAGATAAGTTGCTGTGTTTTGGCCTGGCGGGGATTTTAGAAAATTGCACCACCGGCGTACTTGTCTTTTGCGGCTGAGGCTTTTGCAGCAATGCTGCTGCTGGTGCTGGTAGTGGCGGAGCAGGCGGCGGCGGCATTACAACTCTTAACTCCGCCGCTGTATTTGAACTGTGTTGATGTGGGTTTATGTCTGGGATTTCTGCTGTCTCTGTCCGAGGTTTCTTTGTCGCTTCGTCAAACAAACTCTGCTCAAGCAACGACTCCTCGTGTTCGATCCACTTGCGCTTCGACCGAATGCTCAGCGCAGGCTCCGTGCCAAAGCCAGCATCCGCATTGCCAGTAAAGTGGTCAGTGCCACTGAGCTGCGCGAAATCCTCTTCTTGGATTGCCATCAAGTTGACATTATTTGCCAAATGGGTTCCCTCCGAAACCACCGACGAAGCGCGCTCCATAAGCAAAGGGTGATGCAACGCAGGTGACGGCGCACGTCTGCCGCGCGGCGTCGCAGTCCTCGGCCTGCCGCCAAGCGTGTGAGAAAAAGAATTTGATGCTGATGTTGATGTTGATGTTGGTGCTGATGGAAATGGAAGTGGTGGCATGGTTCTAACGCTTCTACGAGAAAGACTACTGGGGCTATTATGTGTTGTTCTGCGCACTCTCTCTGAGTTGAACTGCGGCTCCTGTCGGGACTTTGATGGCGGCGGTGTTGTGAATAAGCGCTGTGACTCCTTTTCTGCCGACGACCGCGCGCGTTCAAATAGACCGTTGATGGCTGAAAATAGGGAAAACCCCTTGTTTTCGCTGCTCGCGACCATTTTTGAAGTCTACGGTCCGCCTTTTTTGTCCGGTATATGTGTGTTTAAAGTTTAAAGCGAATGAAAAGCGGTTTATGAACTGTGCAAGAAAAGAAGGCAAATTCGCGGTGTAAAAAAAAAAGATATTGAAAGGAACTTCAAATAAATAAATAAATAAATAATGAAAAATGAAGGGGTTTTTTTGGTGGAAAGAATGTTTGCGTCTGCATTGCTTGTCCAAATTTTTTGCCCAAACCCCCAAAACTCAGAAAGGCTTTATTTACCTTGTGATTAAGCCGCATTGATCAGATCACAGAAACAACCACAATAAATCGAATGGTTCGACTTGGACTTCCCCACGTCTGCCTTTTTTTTGCGATGATGTGGGCCGAGCGATAAGATTAGAGGGAGAGAGAGGCCCAATGCTTCAATTACCATTGGTTTTTTAAAAGCACTGGTTTACATGCTGGAAAAATCGGCTAGTCAAAATCCTCCCCTCTTTTTTTGTTTCAATTAACTCGACTAATCGGCGAATTTCTTTTCCATACACTTTTACATTATTTTTTCTTTCGCCCTTGTAATTTCTCTACACACATTTACATACATACGCTTTTATAAAGAACAGCCTTAAGAAAAGCTTTAGAACAGAAGAAGCAAAATGGTGAATCCGGGATACAAAAACTTCAAGGGCGAAGATTGGGTAGACCCAACACCGCCCCCCTCCCATTTGCCCCATGTCGACGAAGTAGGCAGCACCGGCGCACCGCTCAAATCCGCTTCTTTCTTCATCGGGAGCGTGTGCAAAGAGTACAACGAGGACTTTATGCTTTGCAAAAGCGAGAGCCGCGATCCCAAGCACTGTCTCTTGGAAGGACGCAAGGTGACGCGGTGCGCGATCGATGTTTTGCAGAAGATCGAGAGCAACTGTTTGGAGGAGTTTAGGGCGCATTGGCATTGCTTGGATGGGAAAAATCAGGAGTTTGGTCGCTGTAGGGAGCCGGAGAAGACGTATAATGCTTGCTTGTTTAAGGCTCTTGGATGGAAGAAGACCATCCCAGGAGCACCCACAAACAAACCTGAGATACACGAGAGAATCCCGCTGACGAAATAGAAAAAAGGGTTTTATGGTTCGTATAGGGGAGTTTCTTTTATTTTTATCTCTATGCGTTTTTTTATATTCTTATTGGAAACTTTCAATACAACAAATAAAGTTGAATACGGGATCAACTCGGTGCCGGCCGCCGGTGCTGGCGCAGTATACGCCGTCACAGAGAACATGTGAACTCGAAAAGGAAAAATATATAACTCGCGCTACATACAGCTTTTTCTTTTTGCGTGTGCAGTGCAAGTGCAGTGCTCAAAACTACATGCGAGGGGGGTTATTTTTTACGTCTCTTCTCTCTTTTGATTTTTGTTTGTTTGCGTCTGTCATTTTTGTATTTCTTGTCTTTTGTATTTCGCCTCATCCAAAAAAACAAGACATTTTCCATTCGACTTGTTAAAAAATAAAATAAAAAGCAAATGGCCAACCAATCCGCCAAACGAATCACTCAGGAAAATGCCGCGCGCCTAGCCATTCTCTCCAAGCTGCTCCTGGGCATCAATGGCTTCTATCTTTTTGTCCGGATAGTTCTCCAGTACAAAAGCCTCACCTGGTCCGAAGCCATCATGTACCTCGGCTCAGTCGCCCTGGAGGTGTTCCTATACACAAATCTCCAGCATGTATCCCGGCCACGGTACGATCCCGGAGGCGTCCTCATTGACTCTGGCACGGACCTGAGCCAGCCCGGCTTGGTCTCGTATATGTTCGACTATATTTACATCTCGTGGTTCGTGCATTTGCTCAGTTTGGCGACTCGTTGGGCGTGGTCCTTGTATTTGGCCATCCCCGTGTACTTGGGCTATATGCTTTTCCCCTATATCCGCCAGTTCCTGGGCAGCTCATTGGGCCAGCAGGGCGGGAAACCCGAGGAGAAGGCGTCAGAGGAAGATGCGGCAAAGGAGAAGAAGCGGAAAGAGAAGAAGGAGCGCAAACAACAGCGCGTCAAGTACTCTCGTTAACGCAGTATTTTTTATCATGCTTTTCTTTTTTTACAAGTATGCAGAGCAAAATAAAAAGTTACATAGTAGAAATTTGTTCATTCGTAAATTGGCTGAACGGTTAACTCGGGAACAAGCGAGTAAAATACAACTTGATGTCAGCTAAGAAGAGTACATCTCCTGGAACTGAATGAGCCGCGACATGAGGCCCTCCATAATGGACCGCGTGTCGCGCGGGTGCGCTTCCTCGAGGACCGCCAGCTGCTGCTGCCTCTGGCTGTCAGCTAACTCATCAAAGCACGACGCGCCGCGGTCTTTAAACACAATCTCGCAGTCGTCGGCCACGTCATCGTTGGGCCAGTCGTTCGGGTTGATCGGCGACGTGGGCGCCTCAGAGAGCTGCTGCGAGTACTGGCGTCCGGCCACAGGCGCACATCCCAAGGCTCCATTGGCAGCAGCCACCAAAGGACTCTTATTCGCCTCCTCGCCTTCAATTGCCACCTCCGCTGCTGCTGCTACTGCTGCTTCTGTCAAAACTGGCGATGGCAACAGCCAGGACATGCGCTCATGCTCGTACTCGGATTGCGTCTTGCCCAGCCACTCAAGCAGCTGCTTAGCGCGGCGGTTCAGCTCGTAGATATTGGCCTTGCTGTGCGGATACCGGATCTTGCACATGGTCTCGGGCGAAATGGACGAGTAAATTGGCTTGCCCTGAGAATTGAGCATATGCGAAGAAACTATAATTATGTTTCCGTCGACATCCATCATCTCTTGCGGCGGGAAGTTATGCTTGGGCTGCCGCTGGTTACCGCCATGTCCCTCGACCTTGTCATCTGCTGTAGAATGGCTTTCCTCCTCCTCCTCCTCCTCCTCCTCCTCCTCATCATCATCATCTTGGTCGCCACCTGCCTTATCTGCTGCTGCTGCCACAGCCGCAGACTTGGTGTCCTTGCTGCGCTGCTGTTGGAACGACGGATTGCTCCCGCCAAAAGTCGCAAAGCCGCCGCCGTCACCGACATACGGCGAATTGGTTGCCGAGACAGTCATGCGCTGCCGCTTGGTGTTGCGCACAGACCCGCCAGCGCGCTTGCGTTTGCACAGCTTGTCTGCTTTGCTCGATCCACCAGCGTCGAACTTCCCGTCCGCAATGGCAGCAGCCACACTGCTATACAGGAGTGACTGCAGGGACGGCGACGGGGACAGCTGCCGTGGAGACCCAGGCACACTGTGCCCGCGACGCGCCTCACTGGCATCCATCTGGAAATCCAGCTTGCTGTTGCTGTTGCTGCTGCTGCCGCCTCCAACACGGCCGCGGGGTGATCCCAGGGCGCTCGCCAAGCCCAAGCCGTCCTGCGCCAATTCGGCCGAGCTGCGGTTGACCGATCCTTTGACGATGGTTGATACTGAGCGGGTTCTGGATTTGGGCAACCGCGATTTGGCTTTTCCCTTGGGCTCCTGCTTGACGCCCATCATGCGCGCGACCAGGTCCTCGGCAGCGCCGCTGTCAGTGTCGCTGTCGCTTCCCTCGTCGCCCTCGCCCTCGGCCGATTCCAGCGCTCCTTGCTCGTGTGTGCCGCCGGTTGACTGCCGCCCTATGGTCCTGCGTCTCTTGCGAGCTCCATTAGCCGGGTTCGCAGAGCGCCTGGGCGTTTGCTGCGTCTTGCGAGAGCCGGAATTGGCGCCCTTTGCTCCCGTGGGCGAGCCGTCCCCTGTTCCGTTGGCGTTGCCCGACGGGCTGGAGCTGGTCCTGCTGCCGTCCCTCTGTTTCCCACCATCCTCGTAGTCCTCCTCGCTATTTTCGGGCCCGTCGTTGTCAGCGCCGCCCCTGGTGGACCGTCTAGACCGCCGGCCCTTGCGCGCAGCCTTTGATGTGGGCGAAGTGCCAGCAGCAGCAGCAGCAGCGGTGTCCTCAGCTTTTTTCGCCGGCTTCTTCGGTGTCCGCTTGCCATTCGCCGGCTTCGCGCCCGTGGCAGCAGCAGCCACAGAGGCAGCAATAGCGGCAGCGGCCGATGCCGCCCGATACTCCTCGCGGGCGGTCATCTTGGCCACAGCCACAACGGCCGATCTCCGCATCATTGTCGAAACGCCCAAGGCGCTGGCCTCGGCAAGCACCACGGTGCGCGGGCGCGAGCTTATATACGGGTGATCTTCGGGACGGCACTTTTCGCAATAATATTTGTCGGGGATGTGTGCTTCGTCGCGGATGCCCATGCAGAGTGTGTGCTGCCAGATTTGGCAGATTTCGCATTGGATCATGAGCTCGCCGTCGTTGCGTTCGCCGCAGACGCAGCGCACGACTCCGTCGTCCTCGTCGTCCTCGTCCTCGTCCTCGTCATCCTCGTCGTCGTTGTCGTTGTCGTCGTCGTCGTCGGGGTCTTCGTCGCCCGAGTTATCCTTTTTGTTTTCATCGTTGATGTCCTGATTGTCCTGCTTATCTTCGGCATTGGTCTCGCCATCGCCCTCAGGCTCTCCGGCATCCTTGGCCTCCTCTCCGGTGCCTTGGCCACCCTGGTCAACAGAGCCGTTGTCGACCAGCAATCCCATGTCGGATTGAGCCTCATTGGGCAAAGCCATTTCAGACGACAAGCTGTTCAACAAGAACAAGCGCCTCCTGTCGTCCCGAGAAGCAAACGTGCCAGCGGGCCTTTCGGCAAGTGGTGCAGAGTGCGAGCGGATCTGAATGGTGGCTCGACTGCGTGCGTTTGTTTGGGTGGATGGTAACCAGTGGCAGTCCTTTCTCCCAGAATGCCTCTGCTCGGTCTTGCGGCTAGCACGCGGACCTGACGCGTTTGGGGTGTGCGAGTCGGAGATAGGGCGCGCGAGTGGTAGTTTTTGGCCCTGGTTGGTGTATGCCAAGCATTGGTGCAGAGTAGCGGCTGTGGTGGGCGACGTGTGGTGGCGCGGGTGGCGATAGTGCCGGCAAGAGAGCTCTGCTTGCCGTGTATCGAGCATTTTTTGAAATGTGATGTTATTATCCCTTTTTAGTGGAATTTGAAGCAGGTCAAATAAGTAAGTGAATAGAAAAATGAAAAATGAAAAGTGAGGCTGAAGGCAAACGGTCTCAAGTGAAATAAAAAGGAAAAAGTACGGGATTGGGAGGGGTGATAAACTGACGACAACAGGCAGGGGAGGGGGGGCGGTTTTGGTAGCTTGCTAGTTTTGTGCGCGTGCTGTGCGCTTGGAGGCAATAAATAATGAAATAAAGTAAAGTGTACAGGCGGTATTAATACACAAAAAAGAGGAGAAAAAGAAACGCAGGAGAGGGAAAGAGAGAAAAAAGGAGTATCATCGATTCTTATTTGTTTGAAAAGATGGAATGAAAAAATAATAGTAATTTTTTTCTCTCGCCCCTTTCTCCTCTCCCCTCCTTCTCCCACCAGAATTTGGCGCCTCCCGCCGCCGTTCCTCTTTTGCCTGCCTGTTTGTCCATCGCGGCAACGCGCGAAAAAAATAAAAAATAAAACAAAAGGTCACGAATCTGCTTGGCTTCCCATTGGTTGATCCAAACGATAGAGAAAAGAAGGAGACAAGGGGGGATCAGGGCTTCCAAAACCCCCCTACTCAACGCATGCGGCGGATAAGCGGGCGCAGGCGGAACCAGTAGTAGGCGAGGCCAGCAGCGGCGCCGCCAAGATGCCCAGCGCCATCGGTCTTTGTTCTGCCGGACCGGACGAGATTCGTCATGTCCCAGCCAATGAATCCCACGGTCGCCAGCCACGCCGGCACCGGCACCACAAAGAACAGAAGCAGCCTGGCATGCGGATACAAGCACGCAAACAGCGTCGTGATGCCCACGACCGACGTCGACGCACCCAGCGACGGCTGCACCATGGTGCGCAGATCGCCGGTATTATACGGCAGCACAATCCCGCGAATCACGGCGCTAATCAAGTTACCGCAGAACGCAGCACCCAAGTAAAATGCAATAAAGCGCTTGGGGCCCAGCATCTTCGCAATGTCGGTTCCGAACGAGTATAGAACGAACATGTTGACCAAAAGATGCATCGTGTCGACGTGCGAGAACGCTGGCGTGATCAGCGTCCAGATGCGACCTTCGCGGAGGTTCATCCACATGGTTGTGAAGTTGGCCGTCATCCACCGCAGCATCTTTGTGTCCTGGAAGCTGCGCATTTTGCCGTTCGCCGACTGCCACATGAGGAAAACCACGCCGTTGATGGCAATGATCATGTACACTGTGGCCTCGGGCGTGAGCGTGTCGAAGAACGGCCGCCGGTTGTTTCCGCTGTTGCGGTAGTTGTTGCCCCGCTTGGATCCGTAGTCGGCCTTTGTGTGCTGCTCCCACCGCCCCCCGCGCGTCTGCTGCCCGCGCGGCTGCGCTGAGAGCAACAGGCTGCGCTGGGATGTAGGCCTGCTGTTCAGCAATCCACTGCAGCCAAACGATGTGGCCAGGGTGCGGATGCGCAGGCCTGTGGCGTTGTGCTGCGCCCTGCTAAAAATGCCTGTTTGGCCTTGAAGGCTCAAGAGCAGCGATGGCCGCGATGCCTGGTGCATTGCCCTTGTGTTGCTTATGGCACTGCTAGCTATGCTGCGTGTTGCCATGGAACTCCGCACCCAAGAGCGGAGATGCACCGTTGCGACCTGTGAGAAGAGCATTGCGCGCGCTTAGAGATTCTAAAATGCAGTATATAATAGTAAAAATTTGGAAAGGTAGAGGAATTAGGGCCAGCTCCTGGCACAAAGCGCACTCTCTCAAAAGAAATTGCATTCAGCAACAATGCCAGGTGTTGTAGCTCGCCCAGCTCGTGATTTCTTGATTTCTTGATTTCCGTTACTGCTGTGTATTGCTGATTCGTGGTTGCGCTGACTGTGAATGTGCGATTTCCACTGAGGGCTTTTTTTTCCTGGTGGTCCAACCCACGTTTGCCATCTTTTGTTGACAAAAAAAATTTGCTACTCTTTCCAAAAGCGTGTTTATTTTTCTCCTTCAAATTTTTTTCTGCTTAGTCCCCAAATCCCCAATCCCAATCCCAAGCCAAATCGAAAGCGAAAGCGAAAAAAAACCCGAAAAAGAAAAGAAAAAGAAAAAATTGTGTCAACAAGAATGCGGATTCTAACGAGCGTGTCCTTTGTACTTTTCAGCACCCTCCTTCTCGCCCTTCTTTCCTCTCCATCATCCTGCACTCCACCAAAAGTAGTTCCAGTATATTCCCTAAACTAACATTTACCATGTCTGCCAACGAGGAGCGTTCTTTCATTGCTGTCAAGCCCGACGGAGTCCAGCGCGGTCTGGTCGGAGAGATCCTGCGTCGCTTCGAGACCCGCGGTTTCAAGATCCTTGCCCTCCAGCTTGTCCACCCTAGCAAGGAGCTCCTGAGCGAGCACTACTCGGACCTCGCCGGCAAGGCCTTCTTCCCCAGCCTGCTCGCCTACATGCAGTCCGGCCCCGTTGCCGCTTTTGTCATCCAGGGCAAGGGTGCTGTCAAGATTGGCCGCGTTATGCTCGGTGCCACAACCCCCAGGACTCCGCCCCCGGCACCATCCGTGCTGACTTTGCCCTGGATATTGGAAAGAACGTCTGCCACGGCTCCGACTCGGTTGAGGCTGCTGAGCGCGAGATCGGTCTGTGGTTCCCCCAGGGTCTCAAGTCCTACACCCGCGCTGTTGACACCGTCCTCTACGAGTAAATTGTTTCGGGCGTCTCTGTTGTTTGATGCTAGGCCTGTTTCCTATATTTTGTAATAAACGACGAGTCTTTACATTTGTCTCAATCTGTTGTGTTAAAGCGGAATTTGTATCGTCTGATTTCAAAGTATTTCTCGGTTCTAATTCAGGAGAGTCCAAATAATAAAGCAATCCATGAGACTGAATCCCATAGTTGGGCTACGCTGGGCAAATTAGAAGCTGCGAAGCATGTTTGTGCTAATGTGGTGGCGCGAAATAACACCCAAAGCACGCCCCCCTCTCTCTTTTACAAGTATTCAATAAAAAAATTTATTATTCATCTTTTCAGCTTTGATCATGTCTGCCGAACACTACGCTGACGAGCAACAGAATGAGATCGAGATTCTGCAGTCAATCTACCCAACCGAGCTCGTCGAGCTATCGCAAGACCCGCGGCGCTTCACACTGACCATCCGCATCGACGACGGCGGCGACGGCGATTTCCGGCCATGCACCCTTGATCTGACAATCGAGTACACGGCAACCTACCCGGACACACTCCCCGAGTTCACCATTGACTTTGCTGAAACCGGCAACGACGCGCCCACGGGCGAAACCGAGGCCGAATTCAACACGCAAGACATGGCTATTGACAGAAAAAACCCGCCAAATGGGCGAAGAATGCCTGGGCATGGCAATGGTCTTCAGCATGGCATCGGATCTCAAGGAGGCGGCGATGCAGAGGCTTATTGAGAAATCCGTGGAGCTGCGGAGACTCAAGGAGGAGCGTATCCAGAGGGAGATTGAGGCAGATCAGCTCAAGTTTATTGGAACTCCAGTGACCCGGGCGACGTTTCTTGAGTGGAGGATTCGCTTTGATCGGGAGATGAAGGACCATGCCGCGAGGCTGCGGGGGAGGCTGAGAGTGGGCCGGGTTCGAGACGTTTGGCGGCGGATCTGCTGGTGGTGCTTTTTCTGCTGCTGCGGCAGCTGCTAGGAAGGATACCAGCAAGCTTACGGGCCGCCAGCTGTTCGAACAGGATAAATCTCTGGCCCTGTCTGACTCTCGCTTTATCTCCGAGGGTGACGTGTCTGTTGATGCTGCCACTTTTGTCAAGGAGGAGAATGTGGCTGGCCTGGCCAGCGAATGATTTGGCAGAGAGTATTTTTTTGTGTTTAATTTCACGTGCTTGTTTCCACATTTATTCTATTGACTCGGTCAAAACGCAACAAAAAAGTCCGTTTTCCATCCCTCACCCTTCTTTCTTTCTTTTTCGGTAGGGTAGCGCGCATTGCATTCAATTGTATGCCTTCCAACTCTGCCTTTTTTCATTTATTTTTCATCCATATTTTATATTTCCTATTCTCACGCTCACGATCCAGTTCCAATTATTTCCATTACTCAATTATTCCACTAAGCACACACACGCGCGCGCGCTGGAAAGCCTTTGACATGAACCCCTCTACCGCCGACACAGCCAACAGCCACAGCAACGACACATACGAGCAAACCACCGTCACCACGCCCACAGAACCAACGTCCTTCCGAGGCGCACCCACAGACGCCAAAGCCGAGTCCTCTTTGCCAAACACCACAAATGGGGCGAAAAAGGCAGAGCGCGTAACCCGGGTGACGAAAAAGAAGGGCGAGCTATTAACAGAGAACGAGAAAAAGGCCAATCACATTGCGTCGGAGCAGAAGCGCAGACAGAATATACGCGTGGGATACGACCAGCTGATTCAAATCGTGCCCACTTTGACGCCATCGCAGAGGAGCGAAGCCCTGATTTTGCAAAAAACCGTCGAGTACATAAAATACTTGCTGATGGAGCGGGAGATCCTCGAGGGACAGCTTGACGATGTTAGCCGCTAGTTGAGCGGAGAAGAGAGACAAATAAGATTGAAGAAAGGGGAGGGGAGCCCAGCGGTAGCGGTAGCGGCAACAATCCTATACGCTCTCCTTATTGTCTTTTTGATTGTCTTGTCTGAAATGTTGTACACTTGTTTTTATTTTACACGTTTAACCTTTATTATTTTACCTGTTGTCCTGCTGTTGACTGTGGTGAGAATCACCACGTGAGCTCAGCTGAGCCGAGAGCTTGCATGCTAAGTCAATTCCGAGCGCGCATTGATGCAGTAGCAGCTGAGATGGCATTCAGTCATTATAGCTGCCTATAAAATGGCGGCAGGGAAGGCTCAATAGGATGTTTCCTCGCTCTTGTTTTAATAAGGATTTATTGGACATCATTTCTGGCGATTACTACATTGATTCTTTAAAGAAAAAAGCCATTGTTTTATGTATTCACAAAATAAAGAAAAAGAAATTAATGTCATTATAATACATATTTTTTATACATGATAGAGCTGCAGGCGCCGAATACAACGCAATATGCAACTGAGAGAGCCATAGAGCTGGCCCGGTGCCCGTGTCCTACATAACACCAGGAAGAGAAGTCTCGTCGTCAATGGCAAAGCCAAGTCTCCGCGCATGCTGGCGAATATCATCCGCCGACACATACAGTCTGAATCCAAGCAGTTTCAGCAACGCCCGCTCCATAGCGGCAATTTCTCTCCGACTAAACGCGCCCCCAGCAGCCACAACAAAGTTCTCTGCCGACACCGTATGATCCGACCAAAACTTATCCGCCAACATCAATGCTGCCAAAAACACCCTATACGGGGTATCCGCAGCCACCGTCGCCGAAACCGGCAGCCTCTTGCGTAACCGCTCAACATACACTAGGGCAGTCACCAGAACCGCCGTCTTGGTATTCAGCGCTGCGGTCACTATGTTGACAAACCCTTCGATACTCGGCAGTAGGTGGCCACTACTTGATGCCACTGTGGCTGAGGTTGGCGTTGGCCTGGTGGGGATTATGTGCGCAAAGTTGTTCCGCAGACTATGCGTGCTTGTGTTGCTCTCGGGTCGTCCTCGTTCGTGCGCGCGGAGAAGGGCGTTGAGTGAGTGTGCGGTTGTGCGCATGAGGAGCTGCGAGGTGCTGCTGTTTGCTGGGTTGCACAGATCAATGTGTGCGCCTGGAGTAGCTGCGATAATGGCTGACATGGTTCCCAAGTGTTATTATTGAGTGAGTGAGTGAGCGTGAGCGTGTGTGTGAGCGTGTGTGTGTGTGTTGGATAAAAGAGAAAAATTGGATAGTGAGAAGGAAAGAAGAAAAATGGAAAATGAATAGAGTAATTTTGCTGTTACAAATAAAAAAGGACAAAATAGGATTTCACGTCAGGAACTTTTGGCTGTTCTTATACCACAGGAGAGACATGTTTTTTTAAGCACCCACCCTTTTTTATACCCATTGTGCGGCTTCCTCTCATTCGCTGTTCCCCTTCCCCATTTCGCTCTCTTTTTCTTACTCGTACTCCCTTGCCCCTTCTTCTTTCACTCACTTCACAGTAAATAAGTTATTTATTTTCTCGTCTTTTGCTTGGCCAACTGAGACTTTACTTCTTTCTCCGCTTGAACACAATCGCCTAAAACAATCTCTCTTTGTGCCCTCCACCTCCCCCTTTTTTCTCTCACCCTTACTCACAATTCGGCTTTTTTTCACCTGTTAGAAAAAAAAACATCGTTTCCGAATTCAAGGAATCCGTGTTCCGGTCAACAGATATTCGTTTCTTGTGTGAGCAACAGAAAAAAACCTGCTTACATCAAGTTAAAAATGGATTCTTGATGCAACAAAAAAAAAGACTGACCAATAACATGATCACAAATACAGTTTTGCTCAGCCAAAACAACAAATAAACTGTTGAAAAAGAGAGCTGCTTGCTTGCCTTTGACAACAAAAAAATACATATAAACAACGAGTGTGCATGATAAAGACAACAATGCCCAAAAATAAAAAAGAATGCAAATAAAAGCAATTCCATGCAGCAAAAATAAGCCGAGCCTTCCACACACTCTCTTTTACAAAACACATAAAGACTGCATGCGCTCTTTACCCTTTATTTTTGTGTCCTAATGTATGTGCCACAGAGAAATTTTTTATAATTGCAAAACAGATGCAAACAAGGTTTATTTTTTACCTGTGATTGGATCCTCTCACTTAAAATGTCAATTTGCAGTCACAACACCTAGAATGTTAGGCAAATTGGATGTGTTGGATTTATATTTGGCGTTGTTTGTCAAAAATAAAAGCTGCTTGAAAACTTTCGTAAACACATGTGTGTAAAAATAAAAAAAGTTGATATTCTAATGTAGGGTAGGAATCCAGGTAACATCACGAGTATCGGGTGGGTTTTGTTAACCGAAAAATAATATTATACAATTGTATGTTCTCCTTTTTTCTTACTGGATGCGGAAATCAATCATGCCACTGTCATCCTGTGTACTTTTAACACACCCCCACATACTGTATGAAAAAATGACCAAATTCCAGAACGTGCATTTATGATTCGTGTTTAAACCCCCGGATTTTTTGTTGTTGTTCACCACACTTCCATTATTGCCATTTTTATTCTACAAAATGTGATTGACTGCAATATATTTTTTAGCAAATAAGTCAGTCCTTGATATCCAATATCTCACCATCTTTAATCCCGCAATCAACTATTTAGTATGCTGCTCATATTGTGATGATCTTCGAGTGATGAGGCACATAATATTTAAATTCCGCCGAGACCTCTTGATCAGCTCTTTGAGAGCATCCTCTGTCCAAAAATAGCATTTGATTTTGTAATTATTTTCTATATTTAACGATGGATAGTGAAATGTTGACATAATATTACTTATGTTTGTTTATTTGTTTATATGTAATTTATTCAAAGCGCATTGATATAAAAAAAGCTATATCCAAATATTTGAAAAAAAGGTGTGGGGGAAGTTCAACTGAATTTAGCCACAAAAAAAAGTACTCCTCCTTTACACCGTATATATTACGCCAATTTACGCAATGACGTTGGCAGAATTGAGCGCATGCACGTTGTCGCAGACTACATTAGCGTTTTTGTTATTGGCAAAGACAGTGTTATCGCAGGAGTTGGCAGCAAATGCGTTGCGGTCAAATGCATTCACAGTGTTGGCTGCAAAAGGGAAACCACCACAGCCACCGCCTACACCCCAGCCACCGCAGCGCTTGGCTATGTGGTGATCACCATGGCCATGCTCGATGTTGCTCCTGGCAAAGTTATGCGGCTTCTGTACAGTGTTTCCATTTGCAGCAATGGAATCGTGGGCAGTGGCGCTCGAAACGGCACCCAGGGCGAGAACAGCAACGGTAGCAAAGTAGTTGAACATGGTAATGTATCTGTGTAGTTGAATGAAGGAATGAAACGATTGATGTTTGTTAAAGTGAGTTGTCAATACAAATGTAATTGTAATGTATGTGTATGTGTTTGTATTTGTGTTTTTCTGGAGGAAATGGTTGTCTGTTTTATACACAAAATGTGGCGACAGTTGCTTTAAGCAAAAGGGGTGCAAATATTTGAAGCGAAATAGCAATATATTGAGCAAGTATAGTTGCACCAATGATGGTCAGTCAGCCAATCAATCATTCATTCAGTAATTCAGTTGGGTTTTCGGTTAACAAGATGCAAACGGCGTGTGAGTAGATAAATCTAAAAACGTATTTAATAGCAGTTACAATTTATCCTTTACAACTAAAAAAGGTGTATGTGAAAACATTACATTTTGAATATAACACCTGAGGTGATCGTTAATATAAAATGCACAAATGTTGTTAATTATATTTAGCTACAGTTAAATGTATAGCATTGTTAAATTGAGTTTTTGTCTAGCAATTTAATTTATTTGTGTCTATCTATAAATATATCTATGTCTATAAATGAATATCGACGATAATCAAAATATTAATCAAGCAATGACATTGACGCTGTCAAACTTGTTAATCTGATCCTTGCTCACGCTGGCATCCTTGTTGTTGGCGTAAACAGTGTTTTCCTTGTATTTGGCAGTAAAAGAGTCGCTTTCAAGCTTGTTGGCCGTACTGAGCGCAATTGGAAAGCCCGATATGTAGCTTCCGTAGCTATCAACACCGCCGTAGTTACCAACACCACCGTAGTTGCCAGCACCGCCGTAGCTATTGTACGGGTTCTATGCTCCGCCGTAGGGGTAAGCGTTGCTGATGTATCCTGCGTTGTAAGGGTAAGCATTGCCATAGGCATTGCCACCGTTGACGCTGCCGCTGCCGCTGCCGCAAGTGTTTTTGGTGGACTGGTAGCTGGCAGAAACGGGGCTGGCATTAGCAGCAGGCGCAATAAAGGCAGCAATGGCAGCAAGAACGGTGATAGTAGTGGCAAAGCAAGACATATTTATACGTTCTGTTGTGGTTGTGGTTGGTATTTGATCTAAAGTGGCAAGTGTAAGCTGAATGAGCAGTGTTGTGAGAATACTGAATACCTGGAATATAATATGCTCACTGTCGCTTTATATATACAATTTTTCTATCTGGCAGTCCAACAATTAATTTTATACGAGACATATTTAAAAGATAAATAGTTGAATTCAAATGCATAATTTGCTTGTACATGTGTTTTATCCATATTTTCTTTATTAATCTGCCCATTATCCATTTAATTTTATTATCAGAGCCACTTAATTGCAGAAATTAATAGCAATAAATTAATTAGTTGAGCATTAAATTAAATTTTATGTTTTTTTTGCCGTATTGACGCGTAAACCATTAGCTTAATATTAATTTTTTATTTTTATTTATAGCAATACTTATCCATGTATAAAATAATGCATACAATAATCATTATATTTAAAATCGAGTAAAATGATAAAGCCCAATTCAGTCAAACGCCATCACATAATTTCTATCGCTATTGCTGCTATTAATGTTTTTGTGGTGTTTGTTTTTGACTTGAATTTGGCTGAATCAAACAACTACGTTGGCGGTATTGAGCGCGTGCACGTTGTCGTTGACTACATTGGCGTTGTTGTTATTGACAAAGACAGTGTTGTCGCAGCAGTTGGCAGCAAATGAGTTGTGGTCAAATGCATTCACGGTATTGGTCGCAAATGGGAAGCCACCCCAGCCCCAGCCGCCGCACCCAATTCCACCGCAACCGCCCCAGCCGCCGCAGCGCTTGGCCAGATGATCGACAGTGGGATAGGCACGCCTAATAAAGGGGAATCTGGCGATGCCAGCGACAGCAGCACCAGTTGCAAAGTCAATTGGCAATAGTTCAACAAAACCAGTTCCAAAAAATCTGGGAGCACCAACAAATTGCAGAATTGGGCTTGCAGTGGCACCAGGAGCAATGGTAACAACAGCAGCAGCAAGAGCAGCAATGAAAGTAATAGCAAAGTTAGGCATGTTTAAAGTGATAGTTGTATGTGTGTTTGTAAGTGTATGAGGCAAGAGGATGTAGAACACTGAGCGTAATATTTAGTATTTAAAATGATAGACCAAGTTGCTCTATGTTTATACACTTCATCCATTTGCATTTAATATTGTTATTTGTAGGCGAAACTGTATAAAAAAGTCAGATATTATTATTAATATGCTACATTTTACATGTTACTTTAAATATTTTGATATATCGCAAAGTTGGATATATTCACTTTTTTGTAGATTTTAGCTAAAAAATAAAACATTTGACCAACCCAATTAAAATTGCAGAACATACATGCCAATTAGTAATGTATGCAGCGTGCCTTTTTATTTCTTATTCTTAAAGTATATTTTAGCGTACATTTAACAATGCGCAGCACAACAATTGTTTGAAAATACAAGCAACATTACTTTTTCCATTGTTGTTGATTTTTATTCTGGATTGTAACATACATTGGCTGCCCCCTCTTAGTGGTAAAATAGGTCAAATTCTTGATTGGTTAGAAATGTTAGAATGCTCAAATTATGGTGCCCCCATCACATTTAGGTTTTCTCTTGCTGTCGTTATTGCTGCAATATCTATTTTGGATAACGCATATAAAAAGAGCATATACGGCGCTGTCCACACGGCGTTGTTTTTTAGTTACACATCAGGCGTTTTCTTCCAAAATCCTTCTTATTTCTATACTCTTGAAGTTCAATTTATTCAGTACACCCACACCCAGGCTCTACACAAATATGCTGATTAATATCTTGTTCTTATCTTAATACAATTTGAGATACATAAATATTTTGGCAAGAACAATGTTTTGGATGTTCACAAATAGTGTCAAATGCTATCAAACATGGGATTGTTCTATTCAAAGATAACAACACTTGTGGCGTCACATATTTCCAGCAATTTAACTCAAATAAAGTACTGAACAATGTTATAACTACCTTCATCGACTTACTGCTTGTTATTAAGTACTTTTCCAAAAGGATATTTTTAAGCTAGCCAAAACACTGAAAATTAAAATAAATTTCCAAGTTTACATTACATTTTTTTTAATATTTTTTAATATTACATGCATTCAGATTAATAATGAGTCTCGTACCGTCCCAATCATTAGGAATAACAAAATACCAGCTACTTTGTGCTTTGGCAGCGTCTCTCGGGTGCATCAATTTTGGCTGGGGCATGGGCGCGACTAATCTTCCTGGCGATATCATATCAAAGTGCAAAGCTGGCCCAAGTCACCTCATTAATCATTTACCGTCGTGTATTCCCGTCAGTGACATTATATGGGGACTAGTGGTTGGCTCATTTGCACTAGGCGCACTTGTAGGGGCTCTGTCATGCACGCGCTACTCCAACATCTACGGCTGCAAGACAGTTCTGCTGTACTCCAACGCATTGTCGATTGCCAGCGCTCTGCTGTTTATGTTTTCTGTAAACATTTCAATGCTTGTCATAGCCCGGGTTTTCATAGGAATAGCAGCTGGAACAGCAAACGTGACATTTACTATTTATATAGTTGAGATTACTACGACAAAAGCTAGGAGCTCGTTGGGATCCATGACCCAGATGGCAGTAATGTTTGGAATAATTCTTGCCCAGCTGCTCTCACTGTCGATGCTGACCCCGCCTCTTTGGCGCCTCCTGCTGGCAATGACCGGTGTTATTTCAATTTTCAGTATTGTCTTGTTGTTTTATTGCGCTGAATCACCAAAGTGGCTGATTATGAATGACCAGCCAGTAGAAGCTCTAAATGCACTGCAGCAACTCCGCAAGGGTTCGGATTGTTCTGCCGAGTTCAAACACATGGTCAATACGGCACGAGAGGAGATGGGCCCCGATGCATGCACCGCGTCGATTATTGATGTTCTGGGTGGAAACACGCCAGATAACCTTCAGCACCAGCTTTTGGTATCTTCCATGCTGATGGTGTTCCAGCAGGCCAGCGGTATCAGCGGGGTGGCATTCTATTCGACAGCTCTTTTCAACACGGTGACTGGGGAAAGTAACTCTGTTTTTTCCAGCTCGCCAACAACGTCACAGGTGTTGACCGGGATTTTATCCACAGTAGGCGCTGCAATGAATCTGGCTGGAATGCTACTTTCAGTGCACTTCCCGCGCAGAACTCTCCTTTTGTTTTCTCATTTTGCTATGGGCTTGTGCAGCATTCTGATATCCGTCGGCAGCATCAAAGGTGTGAATCCATTGGCTATCACCATGGTGTTTGTTTACCTTTCGGTTTTTTCGGTCGGCTGTGGCCCCATCCCGTGGGTGTCCCCGAGTGAGATGACTCCGACGTACGCGGTTGCGGCCATCGGGGCTATCAGCGGCAGCATCAACTTTATATGTATATTTGCCATTGGCCTTGTGTTTTCTCCTCTGCTTGATGCGCTGGATGGGTACACATTTCTGCTATTCGCAGCGACCAACTTTACTGCCGTGTTGTTTTTCTTTTTCTTCCTCCCAGAAACCAAGGGTCTCTACGTTGCTGATGTTGTGCGCATGCACTCTGTCAGTATCCACAATTTCGTGTCTGCGCGGTACAAGATGACTGTCGCATCCCCTGAAAAGGATGCAATTCGGACTGGTTCTGCTTGATTTTCGAATCAGTGATTTTTCCAATGAACAAAAATACACTAGCAAATCCCCAACCATTGAGAAAACCTTTGGTATTGTGTTTACGCGCCTATTTTTATATTTTGTTAAAAAGTAGTGTGTTAACAACTTTTACCAGAGGTAGGAAATTAAGTGCGATCATTTGGCAGAGACTCAGCAGCAGCAGCCGGGCCCAAAGCCAAGGAGAGCACCATCTGCTGCGGCGGCTGCTCATCCCCGCAGGCAGTGCACGAATTGATTTGTCCACATGTTATGGTGGCTATAGCCGTCAGTTGTTTAACACAGGACAGGGCTTTGTCAAATGAGCAAGTGGATCTATGAATCTATTTTCTCTAGGCGAAATGTGGACGTTTTTTGTCCAGCGCATCAAATTCTAGTTGCCTTCTCATCAGTAATCTTTTTTGTACTTGTATTTTTGCTACTGTGATATAATCTGATTTTTGAGCGTATGATCAAGACTTGAAAAGCAAAAAAAAAAGTGAAAATTGTCTAATCGACAAAATTATATTAAGGAATTGTTTGTTCGTTTCAGACAGTGCAGCTTTTTTCTCAAATATGCAAGCAGTTTTATTTTCATTTTCATTTTTTCATTTTCAATATTTTTTTGTACGTTATACACCAAAAAAAGACCACTTGAATATATAAATGGGATCGGATACTAAGGAAGACATCGTGATGGCAGAGACGCCAGTTGTAGATACAGCCGCAGTCGAAAAGGCCCCGACAGCAGACACGCCAGCCAAGGAGAAGAAGGACAAAAAGGAAAAGAAGGACAGGAAGAGCAAGGATGAGTCAGATAGCACAAAAGACAAGCCCAAGAGCAAGGGCAAGAAGAAGAGCAGCGGCGGCAAAAAACCCGAGGTCGAGCCAAAGCCGCGGTCGCCCTGGAGTGTGTGGATCGGAAACCTGCCGTACACAGTGACAAAGGACCAAATCCGGGAGTTTTTCAAGCCCTGCGGCGGCGAGATTACGCGCGTCAACTTGCCCAAGAAGGACGGCAAGATTAGTGGCTTTGCTTATGTGGACTTTGACAAGGCTGAGCCCGTCGGCCTGGCACTTGCATACTCGGAGCAGACGATGGGCGGTCGCGCCGTGCTGATCAAGAGCGCCAGCGATTTCACCAAAACCGGTGCCCCATCACGCGTGGCTCCCTCGACCAACGAGGCCGCTGCGCCCAGAAGCGAAAAGCCCAAGGCTGCAGACAAGGGAAAGAAGACACCGGCGGCGGCGCGCAACAAGAACCCAACCAGCCCGACACTGTTTGTAGGCAACTTGAGTTTCGATGTCAAGCGTAGCGACCTCAAGACTATATTCCGGCAATTCGGCGACCTGTACGGCGTGCGCGTGGCCACCTTTGAGGACAACCCGGAGAAGTGCAAGGGATTTGCCTATGTTGACTTCAAGTACACGGACGACGCCACAAAGGCGATGCAATCGCCGGAACTCAAGGAGATCGGAGGCCGCCGCACCCGCATCGAGTATGCCGGCGAGGATGCGACAAAGAAGGGCCGGCCTTGGGAGTTTGATCCCAAGACCATGAACGTGAACCCATCGCACGCCGTCCACCCGATCAAGAAGCGCGCGTACGGCGCCAGGGGCAATGCCGATGACGACGACTCTGACGCCGAGACGAGCGCGCCAAAGGCTCAAGAGGCGCCCAAGGAGAGACCTGCTTATAATAGGAGGGATTCGAACAAAAGATCTCGCAAGCTTGATACCGACAACATGGCCGAGACGAAGCTCCAAGGTCTGCCCGTCGAGTTTGAGGGACAGAAGATCACGTTCGGCGACTAATTTTTTGTTTTGCGCTCATTGGTTATATTTCATTTTGTTCAACACATATTTTACATTTTGGCAAACAAAAAAGTGGCGGATATAATACATCCCAGGTTATATTTCCAGCTGTCCGACCTTTTTGTAGTAGTCTGTGTTCTTGTCCTTTGGCAGGAGCATCGACAGAAGCTCGATGCGAGCGATGACCTGCGTGCCAAGCTCAAATTCTATGTTTAGTTGAAAGTTGGTTCAAAGCGAAAAATGAAGTAAATAAAGCAAGACATTGCAATTGTAGTTAGTTGTGTTGTCAGTAGTGGAGACATTTTATACGGTAAGGTTTAGTTTCCCAAAAAAACACAGAATAGACTGATGCTCACCTCTAAATGGCTCATGCAAGGCATGCGGTATACCGAAAAAGTCATTGAGCGTGACCTTCTTCGTCTCCTCATCCGCGTCGCTATCTGCCTTTGCGTGACTGGGCGCCGCCTTGGTGCCCTGGTTTTTGGTTGCAGACTTTAGCGATGCTGTCGCTTGGCGCTTCAACCGCAGCAGATTGTCTCCCCTCATCTTCATCAGTGTCGCGTGCGGAGACCACGGCCCCATCCTGCCACCAGTGACTGACTTCTCCGAACCATCAGAAATCAGGCCGTCTTCAAAAAACGGAACACTCGGGGGCAGCGCGCACTCCGAGTATCCATGGGACCAGAATCTCAGCCGCAGCTCCTTCACCAGAGCCATGAACTCGGGCGACATCGGCTGTACATTTGCATGGACCACGCGGCCGCTGTCGAGGAACCCCACACCCTTTATGGTCACTGTTGGCTTGTCGGCGGAGACCAGGTATTTTGACAAAAGATCGTTGGATTCAGACAGTAGCTTGCTTGCGTGGTTGACTGCATTCTCGTCTCTGAGATGCATGGCGCAAATAGTCAGGTGCACTTGTGCTGGGCGGATCAGGTACTTGCGCCATTTGGGAGCGGTCGCTTGGACATGGTCGTTGAATTGCTTCAGGCGCTGCTGGACGAGCTGGTCGTCAAGTCGAATCGCCAAAAAGTAGTTGGCCTGCTTAGCCTTGATCCGCCGAGTCGGGACCTTTGCAGCGCGGTACACCAGTGCTGCTGCTCCCTCCATATCACAAAATGTGTGTTTTGTAGTTAGTCGAGCGTAATAAAAGAAAAAAAGCTTTATAAAATTAACGAAACTAAGCATCTTAGCTTGGTAGGGAAATGTCATTTCGTTTTGATTGATTGTGCTAAAAAATCTATTATGGTGATAGCACGCCTCTAAAACAGCGAAGTGGCATTGCTTGGTCCAATTAAGTTTCGGGGTTTGGCGTGTATATCATGTACGGGCTCAACTCCTGCCAAAGCGCCAGCTCCACTAATTTCTCAACAGATGTGCTGCGCAAATCGCTAGACCCTGCCACATCTCGCCATTCCGACCACGCGCTGGAATTCATCCACGGAGCATCTGCATCGATGACCTTGTTGACAAACTTTGCCAAGTACCGCGACCAGGGTTCCTCAAAATCAAAATTGTATCTCCACAGCAAATCGCGCGCCCGAACTATATCATCGGCCTTTATGGAATCCACAACCGATGCGGCCACTGTGTTTCGCGCACTGCTCTGCTTCATGTGATGGGCTATAATCAACACAGCACACTCGCAGCCCGAATGGCGCAGCCCAAGGGCATCGAAGCTGCTGACGGTCCGCTGGATGGCCATATAGGCGGCATCCTGTTTGTCCTTTGACAGCGCAAAAGCGTGCAAAAGGAAATACGCGGACAAGCTGCGCCATGCCAATGGGTCGTTGGGACTGGCGCTGGAGAACGCAAACAGGGCGCCAGCAACCTCCTCCATTGCTGTCATGGCCTGGTCGATGTCCTCATCTTTTGCAAACTTTCTCGGGATGGTTCTAGCAACCTGATCCGCTCGGGAGTTCATTTCGAGCGGATCACGGGTCTGTGCAATCATATCCAAATCGCCGAGAGTGATTCCTAGATACTGGCACAGCGCCTCAATGTAGTGTCCAGCCGCCCGCGTGGCGTCAAGGGTCGAGTCTAGGCGCGCCAGGGCCATCCGGCAATCCAAGGCTGTTTTCAACAATGATCGCGCGGACCAGAACGACGGCGAGCCCTTTGCGCCTCTACGCCCCACATCCTTGTCCATCGCGTCCATGCAAACGAGAGCGTTATCCAGCGCAGACCGTGTAATAGAGTCATCTCCATACGAGGCAATATCCTGGGCAATGTTCCAAAACACAGTCGCGGCAATGGCCGGATCGTCCTGAATAATGGCCTGTGCCTTTTTCATATTCGCCAATGCACCGCGCACAACCGGATGAAGTTTCGCCTGTTGCTTCTCTTTATCTGCACTGCCACCGGTCGGGTTTGCCGCGCGGACTGCCTTCTTGTGCTTATCAGACTGCTTGTGTGCGCTGAACGTGGCCTCGTTGGAAAACTTTTTCTTGCACGGTGCGCAGTACATTGGCGAGTTGGCGCCATTGTGCGCATTGTTCATGAGTTGGTACGCGGATGTTGATGACAATCCAGCCAAGATCAATGGGTTGACAAGCTCAGTGCTGCTTTGAGACAGGCCTCCAATCGGCCGCTGTTGATGTGACTTGGTTTGGGCCTTTGGCGTTCGATTCTGGCCGGCCAATGCGTCGCGTTGCCTTTTGCTTTGTGGTTCGTAGACGCGCGTCTCGAATATACTCGTTGCGCGGCTCATTATTTTTATTTTTAGTCCCTTTCTGCCCGAATATTAGCAGCCTTTTTTATGTGTTTCTGTTGAATGAGATTGATAATTTATACTACTTGAGAAAATATATTGAAAAAGATGCCGCCTGCTTTGCGCCGCAGGATTTGATATCTGTAAAATATTTTTTGCTGCACGACTAGCAATAACCCAAGGAGTTATAGGGCGCAACACGTGGCTTGTGATGATCCGAAATTCTGAATAAAGTCGCATGCTATATTACGCAGCAGCGCGAATATTGTTCATATATGCATATGTCAACAAGATAGTGCATATCGGCAAACCCGGTAGTGCGGCATATCTGGGACCTTGATTGCACGGTTAGTTGTACGCGTACAAGCAAGCACACATTGAAGAGCAAAGATACAAGCACTACCAGATTGAGCTTGTCGACTGCATTACACATGGCTTAATAGTCAAATAAAATGTAGAAACAAGATGATGCTATTGATAAAATAAAGTATTTTATAGTGAGAAAAACAAGTTTATAGTTTTTATTCCATATTTGCTAATTTATTTAGCTTGCTGGATGTTGGTCAACTCCATTGGGTGGCTTTCCCCCTACTTAATTGTAGGTTATTCAATTACAATTACATTATATCATCAGGTGATGGCTGACTCGAACGCCATGCATGAACGTCAAATGAGTGGAGGAAGACGTGAAATAAGTACATTACCCAAGCCATTAAAAGTTACCTGTATATTTTAACAAAAACGCATGTTGGTGCACATTTTTTTACACATTAAATGTTGGATGAATAAATACAGGCATTCAGGAACTAGACATGTCCATGTTGCTTTATGCTCGGAAAATCTTACTCATGAATACCGTTTTGTAATGACAAAATATTTGGACGGTCTTTTTTTATAATTAAAACACCGCAAAGTTTTTCTTTTTCACACCTTTCCAATTCCTTCTCGATCAGAAACGAAACAAAAAATCTTGTGAGGATCGGGTAGGGAGGTGCGATGTGAAAAGTGGGGGGAGTGAAGATCGACTTTTGTCAACAAAAAAAAATAAACGTTTGGAAGAATCAAAAACTTTTCGCCAACTTGCAAAAAAAAATAGCACAGCGACAATAGTGATCAGCACAAAAGCCCAAAATAAATTTCAGGAAATATTTTTTGATTGCATTTCTGCTTCCTGTTTGTGGCTTAACTGACTGTTTAAAAAGGACAGAAAGTGAAAATACTCAGCGCTTATATTCCCGGTATTTTTTTCTCTCTCACACGTACTATCGCATCACTATTCCCCGCTCTCTTTTTCTTTTTCTTATTTTGTTTCTGCTGTTCTGCTGTTTACTTCTTTTGTTAATTCGATTGGTGCCGTGGAGTATTGTCAAGTCTAGAAATAGATCCTAGTTCCCTCCCGCCAGCTTTTTTCCTTTTCTTCCTAACTATATTATTTAAAATTTACTATTCTTCATTTTTTTATCACTTAATACACACGTCACGAAGAGATGGACAAGGACAAGTTTAGAGGTCTGCTTCAGACCTTTGAACAGTTGTCTATCAAGCCCGAGCTCGACACCGACTACGAGCCTGACGTGTCCACCCCATGCACGCCGACGCTGGCCAGCCGACGACTCCCCAGCTTGCACACAGCCGAGCCCACAGCCTCAGACATTGACAGATTCCTTGACATAGTCAAGGATAACGGCACATCTTTCCCCGAACTAGAATCCACACACCCGCCGCCAGACAACCTGCCCTTCCAGCCCAGCGCCATTCTAAAGTCCACTACGGAAGAGTACGTGGGAGAATCCGGGATGCGCATCCAACAGCAACTGCTCACAGCGTCGAGGTTCAGATTGACGGCGGGCGTGGCTGCGAGGATTTACTTTCAGCTTAATGCGATGGCCGCAGATCGGACTATCACTAAGGCGGTGAGGGCGAGGGTGGCGACGTTGGAGGATGATTTAATTGCCGTGTGCTCGGCCAACTTGATTGAGGCCGGGCAGCTTGAGAAGCGCGCGCTGGAGGACCACGCTGAGTCTCTGAAGCGCGAGGGTATACTGGATGCCACCGGCCCCTCTGCTGCCGCTGCCTCTGCTGTTTCTGCAATGATAAATGGAAAGACGGAGACTTTTGAAGCATACAGTGGTATTGGGGGACTTGTCAGTGAGCCTGTTGCGGAGGTGGCTCCGAAGGCGATTCCGAAGGACGTGGCGCTGGGCGCGCGCATCAGCGAGTATGCGAATGCATGGCTGGGATTCTGCACGGATCCCTGGGTAATCAGCACAGTGACGCACGGATTGCTGTTTGATTTCTCGGCCGAGCCTGAGTACAACACTATGCCAGACCCTGAATACTCGGCCAATGAGAGCGCAGCCATCGAGAAGGTCATCCGATGGGACCTGGGCGACAAGGTCATTGAGGAGATTCCCTATCGCCCGGAACTTTTTGTCTCGCACATGTTTACTTTGCCTATTGCCGGCAAGCTCAAGTCATTGGTGGAGTTCCGTCTTTTGAATAAGTACTTGGAGGCTGGTAACATCCAGGTGGACGAGACGCCATCGCTGTGCTCCTTGCTGAAGGAGGGCGATTGGATTACGAGGATCAATATCAAGTGCGCGTACCCGTCGGTGCCCATTCATCCGGACCACCGGCGGTTCCTGGTGTTCAAGTACGATGACCGATACTATCAGTACCGGGCAATGCCCTTTGGCATTTCGGTGGCGTCCAAAGTGTTCACCAAGCTATTGCAGGCGGCGCTGCAGCCCCTGCGCGAAGAAGGGTTCCGTGTGACCTCGCACATTGACGAAATCTGTCTTTTGCACGAATCATTCCCGGAGCTGACCGAGCGGACTAAGCGGTTGTGCCGGCACCTTGATGAACTTGGATTCATAATCAACATGTCTACTTCGGATCTTGTGCCGCAGCAGAACCAGAGGTTCCTGGGATTTGTGTTCAATACGTTGGATAATGTTGTACAGTTCCCAAAGGACCAGATTAAGAAGGTGCGTAGGGCTGCGCATACGGCTAGGTCGGCAAAGATTACGGCGAGGCAGTTGGCGTCGCTTTTGGGAAAGATTCGGTCGATTATGCCGGCGATTGGACCGGGGATGTGGAGGATTAAGGAGATTGAAATGTGCTTGGACCAGGCGATCACTACGCCCGAGTCTTGGGACGATGTTATTCCACTGCCAGAGACAGTTATTATTGAGATCGACTGGTTGTTGGAGACCATTTTGGTACAAAAGTCGATGGCATTGGGTTCGTCGTGAATTGTACTTAACATTAACTAGAGTGTGAGTAGGATTGGAAAGGGGGAGGGAGTGGATTACTTTATGTAAGGTTTAAATATTAATATTAAATAGGAAGTAGCAGAGTGTGTATTGGGTATTGGAATGACGGGCTTTGTTATGCTCAGTGTTGGGTGTGGTGGTAATAATAGTTATAGAAATTGGGGTTACCAGGGACATTGTCATTGTCTGGTGGTGGCGGTATTTGCGATATCTGGGTCATCTGCGATATTTGTTGGATCTGGGATATCTGCGAAATCTGAGATATTTGTGGCATCTGAGATATCTGAAAGTGATGAGGTGGTTGCAGAGTCATCTCTACATTAGCGTTCTGCGGAAGCAAAGCAATCTCCGGATCATCGCCCATATCACCAACGACTTTCCCCTCATTTTTCTTCACCAGCACCGGCTTCCCGCCGACTCTTTTCCCCCGCTCGCCGGCCTCCCTCTCTCTCCATCTTTTCTCTGCCATCCTCAAGCGATTATTCTCCTTCCTCCTCGCTTTCTCTTTTTCAGTCTCTGATTCTCTGCGGAGCTTTGCTCTTAAGCGACCATTTTGCTGTCGTGTTTGTTTTTCCTCTGGGGTTTCGTCTTGGCGTCGAGCGGCGGCGCGGAGGCGTTCGGTTTCGCGACGGTGTTTGCGTTCGGCGGAGGATTCGCGGAGACGTCGGCGGATGGAACGATCACGGTTGCGGTCTTTGCGGGTTTGGTCCGGGGATTTGGTTGTTGATATTGGTGCGGATGATGGTGAGGGTATTGGTGGTGTAGACATATGTGTGAATTCGAGTAAAAATAAAAATAAACGGTATTTTAACTAAAAAGTTGTAATAAACAACAACAATATGGTGGTATATTATATATATAAAAAATCACTTCATATTACAAAGGCTATGAATATACAGTAACAAAAAAAAGAGGAAGGGGAGTGTGAGTGTGTGAGAAAAAAAATTGGGTGGGCGGAGGGAGTGGGCAAATGTGGGTGGTATTTGAGTTGGATTCGGCCGACAAAAAAACAATAATAAAAAGATATAAAACTGCTATCGCAGCGGCAGAAATGGCAGAAAGCAAGAGCAGATCCATTTTTCAAAAAAAAAAATATGTATCAACTTTTTCTTATTTCAAGCAAGCACGAGTTGGGTATTAAAAAAAGTATTTTTTAATTCTATATTTGATAATACAAAAAAGAAAGAAAATCATATTTATTCACAGATTATTTCCTACAAACCAAAAAGGTCTGCAAAGTCGATCTTTGGATGGGATTTCTTAAAACGTCGATAAAGTGATCAAAATTCACATGTGGCGAGTATTCATACAGCAGTTGGAAATCATAATAATGTTGGGATTCGGAGGTTCTAAGCTCCGAAAAATTGACAAACGAGGATGGAACAACAAACATGGTTCTTTCAACCACCCTCCGCTGCTTGTCTTTTTGAACAAACAGGCTATTTCCCGCACAGGGTACCAGGGCAGCGGACTCCAGCACCTGACGAACCTCCGAAGGTTCCATGCCAACCAGGTCCCTCACAACCACCCTCCCACCAGCGAACTCACCACCCAACAGCTGCTGGGGCTTCTCCGGCTGTAATAGCAGATGCCGCGGCAAAATGAAAGTTTTGTAAGCCAACACATGCGTAACAGCCTCATATGGTTCCCCAGCCATCCTCTGCCCGCACCTTACCACAGCATTATCGCGCAACCCTAAAGCGCCCACAGCGGGCGAGCATTGCACAGAGTCGAGCACGGACGATTCGGCCAAATAGGCCACAGTCGGGATCACCCCGGCCTGATGCACGCCACCGTAGACCGCAGCCAGGGCCAGGTTAAACCCCGCCCAGAGCATCCAGCCGCCGCGGGGCACGCGCAGAAAGCAATCCGCGGTAAACACAACCATGGCGCTCACCGCCGGCATGACAAACCTCGGCTCCTGATGGGGCACCAGGGACAACACCCCGACACCCGAAATAACCGACCACGCTGCAATGCCGCCGAACATCCGGCGCCGCCACATGCGCAGCAGCTTAGCGCCGAACACCGCGTACAGCGGGCCATAGAGCGCCGGCATCGACACAGCAAGGTGCAAGTACCAGGGGTGTATCCCGTGGGCAGCCAAGTTGCCCGTACTGCTGTTGTACCTTAGGTTATTCCACACGGTGCAGACCAGCCTCCCATAGTACATAGAGTCCGCAGTCACCATGGCCAAGAGCACCGGCGCCGCGCCCAAAGCCAGCCTCGCCGCCGCACGCCCGCGCCCTCTCGCCAGTGCGCCAACGCCCAGCGGCAGCGCAAACATCGCGAACGACACGTGCGCAAACGTGCCAAGCACCAGAAGCGCGCCCAACAGGGACCACCGGGCGCGCGAAAACACCCAGAGTGCCAGAGCCAGGATCTCCGAGGCCAGCGAGTTAGAAAACGCATGCACGTGGAAAACCGCCACGCAATGGGACGACGCCAAAACAACCACGGCCAGCCACCTGGTTTTCCGCCTAACCATCCGGAAAACGCTGAGATCCACCAGCAAGCTGAGCGCAAACATGTGCAGGCGCTGTGCAATAAACAGCGCTTGAGAGGTTTTCATAGAGGATAAGGGTGGGGGGAGTAGGCGGAGAAGCAAGGTGGGTGGGCCGGAGATTAGGTAGAGGGGGAGGATGGAGCGGATGGGTTGTGAGGTGGTGAATTCCCAGGTGCGATATGCGCTGGTGTGGAGCAGATCGTTGGCAGCGATTTCGCCTGTTTGGAGGTACTCGTCTGGGTGGATGTATGACGGAGAGAGGCTGAAGAGCAGCCGCGTGAGAAGCAGCGCACCGTAGAGCAGCTGCAGGGGTGAGGGCCACAGAGCCATTTGGGTTGGGTTGAGAAGAAAAGGAAAGAAAATTATGATTGAAAATTATAGAGACGATAGAAAGCCATTATTTGGCTGTTTACTTTTGTGGTCTCAGAGCTTGCATCTTTTTTTATAGTGTGATCCATCAATTTGTGGCCCAGACCCTTCCACATGCAAATTGAAAAAAGTTTTTTTTTTTCTTCAACTTTCTCTTGTTTGTGTTAAATGCCAATTCTTTTTTATTTAAACAATGGACGAGATAACAATTCTTCGGGTCAAACGCAAACGCAACCAAGAACCCCTGGAGGCGCTGGTTCTCCAGCAACAACAGAAACGCAAATTCGCTCATACACCCACCTCACACCCACTCTTTTTCACCCTAGGCGAAACCCTGCCAGAAACAGACTTTAACGACACGCATAAGCTGCAAGCGCTCAAAGGCCGGCTCACGCAGTTGACCCAGCAGCAGCAGGATGTGGAGACCAATAACAGATATGGGGAAGAGACCAGCTCGCAACATGTGGGTTTGATGGACACGACCTCTGACCAGCAGCAGGACCAGCAGCAGGACCAGCACCAGCACCAGCACCAGCACCAGCACCAGCACCAGCAGCAGTCGACGTTCAGGGTGTTGCCCAGGCAACTCGAGCTCCCAGATGCAAAGGGTGCGTTTGGCATTCCGCAGGTGATGGCATCGTCGGAAGCAAACAAACCCCCAATCCGCATGTTCGATGCCATCCAGGAGGACACATCCACCGGGCATACCGGGCCACAGGGGGCAGCAGAGCCCACCGTGGACGATCTGGTGCCGATGGTCCGCGACTACCTATCATTCGACCAGCGCCCTGTGCCAGAATACGTCTACGACTTTTACTACGTGCAGCAGCAGCAGGAGGGCGGGCTGCGGGCGCTGAGCAATAGTGTGGGAATGGCGACGTGGATCGACGATGTCGAGGAGCTGCTGGATGTGGCTAGTGATGTGGACGACGACGAGGATAGCAATGCGGAGGACTACTACGCGAACGAGTATCCCGACAACCCGGACTCGGCCAGCGACTACTACTACTCGACCGACGAGCGCGAGGATATCGAGAGCGAGCGCGAAGCATGGGACGATGGGCGCGAGTACGAGTGGTGAGCAGGGATTCTATTTTTAAGCGTGTATAAAGGCAATAATAATACTAGATTCAGTACCAGCACTCCTCCTGGTACCGGCCCTGCCGCTCCATCGACCTTACATACGCCAGGGCGTCGTCCTCCGACAGCCCGCCGCCGCGCACGGCCACGTCCACAAAAGCCCGGCGCACATCCTGCGGCATCCCATTGGCGCTCCCAGACACATACACCATGGCGTCCCGCTCACTAATCATCTCCCATAAGACACACCAGTTCTCGCCAATCCTCCGCTGCACGTACGCTGCGCCCTCATCCTCGCGCGAAAAGCACAGAACAAAGTCAGCCAGCCCCATCAACCCACCTGCGCAGCTGCTGCTCGTAGAGGAAATCGGCCGAGCTGCGGCGACACCCAAAGAACAGCAGGTGTCCCACGCGCCTGCTCCCGCCGGCAGCCGATGAAGGCCATGAAGGCGGCGATGCCGGTGCCAGGCCCAACCATGATCACCGGGCGGGCGTCGTCCGGCAGCCGCATGGTGCCGCGCTCAACGCGCATGCGCACAACCTCACCAATCTGCATGCGCCGCAGCCACTGCGAGCACAGCCCAAGCCGCGGCGCCTGCATAACCGTGCGGTACTCGACCACGGCCACCGTCAAATCCACCCTGGGCTCGCCAGTTGCATGCGAGGATATCGAGTAGGCGCGTCGCTGATCAGCGGGAACACGTCCAGGAGGTAGCGCAGGGGCACGCGCGAGTGCGGGAAGTCGTCGAGCACCTCGAGGATCGTGCGCCGCGGCCGCACGCAGTATGCCAGCAGGTCGTCTTGGCCCTGCGTGGATGCGAGCTCGGCTAGGCGGTCGCGCTCGGCGGGGTGGTCGGAGAACACCCGCAGAGCTCGAAGAACGACCGGCGCGGCACCGCTGTGATGTCCAGGCAGTGCTTTGCCAGGTGCCAGAGCGTTGTGTGCCGGGGCACCCACTGGGGCAGGCCAGAGCTGCCGGCGATTGCCACCGGCTGGTCGGCCCAGTGCATGGCGTGGAGGAACGCGGTGGCGGCGGAGGACGGGTTGCTGGGCCGCAGCATGCAGGTGTCGCCGGGCGCCCAGCTGATCCGGGCTTGCGGGCAAACTGAAGATGCCGCACGTCCTGGAAGTGGTCGGTGGCCGTGAGCCGCTCGTTGAGAACGAGCCGCGCAGCCACCGATCCGTCGCCCACGTCCACGTGCACGTCCTTGTGCCTGTCCCCGTCCCTGTCCCTGTCCCTGTCCCTGTCCCTGTCCCTGTCCCTGTCCCTGTCCCTGTCCTTGCCCTTGGCCTTGCCCTTGTCCATGGCCCGTTCCTCGGCCCATCCCTCGGCCCGTTCCTCGGCCCATCCCTCGGCCCGTTCCTCGGCCCATCCCTCGGCCCGTTCCTCGGCCCGTCCCTCGCCACCGACCGCCGGTTCGACTCTGAACACCGGCTCCGGAACCGTATCCTCCGGCATAATCTCCCTAGGCAGCGGGTAAATTGCCTCCACCCCGGCCCACAGGCGGTCCAGCCACGGGTCCAGCGCCCCATCCAGGCCCAAATAATGCGCATCGTCGCCATCCCCCCGCCCGACAATCTCCCCCGCGCCCAGCGCCTTGAGTCTTCGGAACAACCGCTTAGCTGCGAAATTAAACCCATCGTAGTGCGAATCCCCCAACCCAAACACTGCAAACCTCAGCGCTGAGAGTGCATCGTGGGGGAGGGACTTGCGTAAGAGGAACCGCCAGAACTTGCGCATGTTTGAGGGCTCGGAGCCTGTCCGGTGGTTGAGCAGACGAAGATTGTGAGCGGAGGCGTGGCTTGGAAAAGTATCGTGCGGTCGAAGCTGTCCATGGAATGCACGTGCGTTGTGAAGTAGCGCCGGTGGGCTTGTCGTGCGATCCTCCGCGCCGTGTCCTCTGCACACCCGGTCTGCGACCCAAACAAGACAACCAATTCACGCGAACAATCCAAATTCATTGTTAATTTTAAAAAATAGAATATAAAAAAGTTGAAACAAATTAACCAAACCAATAAAAGAAAAACATTTCTTCATAATTCGCCACTGGCAACTTTGACTATGTCGATCGTCTTTGTCAGTGTTTTAAGTTTCTCCTGTGTGTCCTCAGTTTTCGCTGCCAGTCGTGTGGCCAGCCCCTGGGTGCCCACCAGAGCCTGCTGCGTATCCCTTATGCACATATCCAGGGACATTGCTGTTTGTCGCGATACCCGTGAGAGAAGCTCGCGGATCTCTGTACCACCGGACACCTCCTGTGCCAAAGACCCAAGCTCGTTGATTATTGCCTGCGTGTGCTCGCGAATGTCCGTCTGTGCCTCCTCAACTGCCGTGCTTTTGCTCGAATTCATCGATTAGGATAAATATATATATATACTAAATTATTTGAACACACTATGATGATAATATAAAAGAAAGAACAGTATAGGCAGGGAGTGGATGGATAAAAGTTTGAAGTTCATGATCCACAACTATGACAATTGCCTAGTCACATGCTCTACCATCTTTTCATTATTCATGAAATAAGATCACACACCATTTCCCCACTTTTCTCACTTTTCTCACCCTTCTCACCCTTCTCACCCTTCTACCCTCTCTCTCCTTATTTTCCTTCTTTCAAAAAATACACCATTTTTCCCTCATCAAATATACATTTCCTCACCCAAATGGACGACTCCTCACCCACCATGCAACCGCACCAGCAGCTCATCGACGGCGCCACATACTACCTCCAAGCACTCCAAACAACCATCGCACCACTCACCGACAAAACCTACACCCAACCATCACTCTCCCTCCCGGCAGCACCATCGGCAAACACGTACGTCACATTCTCGACCACTTCCTCCTTCTTTTCCTTTCCCAAACCAACTCATCTATTAATCAGTTGGAAAACACCGTTAATTATTCGAGTCGAGGAGAGATCATCAGACAGAGTCTAGGGTGTGTTCCGGCGTGGCTGCGATACAGGGGTGTGTGGATAAATTGCACGCGTTTAAGGGTGGTTTGGAGGGGAATTTGGTGTGGTGGATACGATGCCGGATGGTGAGGAGGCGCGCTTTATGTCGACTGTGGGAAGGGAGCTGTGGTTTTGCACTCACCATATGGTCCATCACAACGCTGTCATCACTATGCTGATGCATGAGTTTGGCCACAAAGTGCCCGACGAATTCGCCTACGCGCCGTCAACCAAAGTCCACCAGTCCAAACCCCAATAATATTAATAATATTAATTCTGCATAATGATAGAATTTTTATTCACGTAACCTTATAAATAAAATAACTTTCTATCCTACATGCCGGCCACACCCATGCCGCCAAGCTCTGCCTGCTCCTTGGCAAACGTCTCAAAGTAATTGTAAATAATAGTCACCGCCAGCAGAATACCCGTGCCCGATCCAATCGCGCCCAAGAGATCCGCCGAAATCGACAAAATAGCAATAATCACTCCACCGACAACCGCCGCCGTCGGAATAATCCGCTTCAGCTCCTTATACATCGAAGTATCGCGGTACCCGGCAATAACAGTCTGCTGCTCACGCAGCTCCCGAGCGACATCCCGAGGTCCCGACCCGCTAACATCCAGCCATGTGCGCGACAGAACCGCACACACAGTCAGCATATACGCGACGTAAAGCACAAAGTGAATGGGATCGCTCAGAGTCTTGACAAATGACCTCGGGGGTGTCATGTAGTATGCCAGCCCGGATGTAGGGAAGAACTGCGATGAGCCCTGGTACGGCTCCCACACTCCGAAAAGCTTGATCAAGAGGTTGTCGGGGAATCTCCGGTACAGCAGCTGCGAGATCATAAATACGTTCGACGCCAAAGCGACTGAAGCATGATCGGCATGTTGGACGTGTAGAAAGCTTGACAGGGAATGTTGCGCGATGGCCACGGAACCGCGCCGACTTGATCGGAATCTCAACGCGGAAGCCCTGCAGGTAAATAACCACGGCAAACATCAGCACTGTCGCCACAAGGTTGGTCAGGTTAGGCAGGCTCGACCGCGTCAGCGCCTCGTACACAGCCTTGAACTTGTTCGACCGCACAAACAGCAAGTGGAAGAACGCAACAATCGCGCCCTCAAACTCAGGACCCTTGCCGTTGTTCACCGTCAGGGGCGAAAGTGACTTCCACACAATGTCCTCGCAAATGTTGGTCGCAATAAACAGGTTGATGCCCGAACCCAGCCGTAGCCCTTCTGCAGCATCTCGTCCAAAAGAATCACAATGACTCCGGCAACAAACAGCTGGATAATAAGCAAAAGGCAAATACCCGCCCCGAGGCTCTTCGGATCACCGTACTGTCCGGTCATCACCGCAACAGTTGCCGATCCAAACGTAATCAGCATGGCAAACAGCTTCTGCGCTCCCGAAAACAGCGCGCGGTCTTCGCGCAGCGAATAATCAACAGAGATAAAGTTGGCTCCGGCAAGCAGCTGCATGATCATACCCGAAGTAATAATCGGCGTGATACCAAACTCCATAAGCGTACCACGGTTCGAAGCAAGAATGACACGCATCCAGTACAGGGGATCCGAGGAGTCGGACGACATGATACCATACAGGGGAACCTGCGATAGAACAAGGAAGATGAGCAGCGTGATGACTGTCCACAGAACCTTCTGGTTGAACGCTACCTTGCGGTCGGGCGCTGCCACCTCAGGAATGACGGCCATGAAAGGCCTGATGAGCGTCAGGAAGCGGAACCCCATTTTTTAGTTGTATTGCAATGGGGAAGCTCCTTTTGGTGAAAAGTGGCAACTCTTTTATAATAAAAGAATTGGAATTAGCCAGATGAAGCAATAAAAGGCAAATGGAAGAAATAAAACCCAGATGAGAGGAAAGGAGGAAGAGCTAAGAATGGAACAATAGATGAAGGAAATAAAAGTATTGGGAATAAATATGATAGCGAAGAGAAGAGAAAGTGAGAATAAAAAAGTGCGAGCTCGTATGATGTGTTGACAGGCAGTTTTTCTAGTAATGATGATTCTTTATCTGGCCTGCCTTTTATGGTGGTTTCAAGCGCGAACCGCTTTTTTGCTCCTTGCATGCTCGAACGCTGCAAAGGCTTCAAGCGAAAAAAAAAAACGGGGGATGAAAAATACCGCGCGTGTTTTCTACTTGCATTCTTATCCAATCGCGCCCAGCCAACAACGGCAACTTTGCGTGATCGGAACATGCAAAAATGTAGCAAGAAAAAAGTGAAATCGGCTCGCTCGATCATTTCAGCTCATCGCTGAATAGTAAAATCGGCTGGTTGCGAGCTGGTTGGTGCATTCGAATCCAAATACAGTTTTCTTCACGGATCTGTTTGCTTTAGGCACAGGAAAGAGAGAGATCCCGTTAACTTTAACTTTAACTTTAATGCTAGCGTCAAGAACGATAAACGAATGGCTATAAAACTTATACACGACGTTAAAATCATTAATTTATTTAAAAAAAACATATATAATATCAGGCCCCCACAAACTGCGTGCCAAAGACCTTGTCCCAGAAATCGCTAGTAATGCCAAATCCATGCTTAAAGTCCCGATAATGATGGCGCAGGTGGTACGACTTGAGCTGGGTCAAGTACTTATTCGACGATGCCCCGTGGTGCAGCCAATAGTGGCACTCGTCATACAGCACGTACCCAAGAATCAATCCCCCCGCCACCGCGTGAAGCATGCCAGGCGTAAAAATGCAAGTCAAAACAGCCAGGATATGCAGCCCCAAAAACGTCGACAGCGCCGGCGGCATCACCAGTCGCAGCGGATCCATCGGCAAATAATGGTGCACACCGTGCAGCAGAAAGTGCGCAACCTGCGACACCGTCCCCTCAGGGATATTCTCGTCATAGTGGAACACGAAGCGATGGATGCTGTACTCCAATAGCGTCCACGAGAGAACACCGAAAACAACGCCCACACACAGCACCTGCGCCGACTCGTATTGTCGCCCCAGATTCAGAATCGCTGCCATTATCGGCCCCCAATATATCGGGATCACCCACCAGGGCGTGCGCGTAAACTTTTCCAAGATAGGATTGGCAAAAAAAACCGCCGGCCGCGGCAAATGCCTCGGACGATGCACCTCCTTGATATAAACCTCCCTCGAAAAGTTCGACCGCCACATCTGCATAAACAGCGGCTGGTTGATGTCAATAAAGCTCTCCTCCTCAATGCAGTCCATCTCGTCCTTGCCGCTCTCTGGCAGCGTCAGCTCCACCCGGTCATCCGCCGTTACTTCGCCAATGTAAAAGTCCTTCAGCACGCGGTAAGCTTCGATGGCGTGCACGTGGATGTCGCTTTCGCGCATAACGTCGGTGATGTCCTGCCCCCCAAACTGCATCAGGATTTCGGATCCTCCGGGATGATCCGTGTGGAACATTGTCAAGTCGAACACCTGGTTGCCGCGAATTACCCACAGCGATGCTGCGCTGTCATGCTTGGCGACCTCGGCCCGCGAGTACTCCCTCTGCTTTGCATCTTCTAGAAGCATGTTGCTATAAGACTTGCGAGTCTTGATTAAAGTAAAAATGAGAAAGAAAAAGTGTGGAAAACCGCGAGTTCGAGAGAGAGTGGGTTACAGTGTACAAAATATTAGATATTCTCGTTGCTTGTTGAAAGAAAAAACACGAACAAAAAAGTAATAGAAAAATATATAAAAAAATAGAAAGAACAAGTCTGCAAGAGTCGAGAACAAGTTTATTTGGAGATGAAAAAAGATATCGAGAGAAAATATAGAGGCGTATAGTGCATTAAAAAAAGATAAAAAGAACAAAGCAAGGCCCAGAGCAACTTTTGCTTATTCTCATGCAACTTTATATGCGCAATTTTTTTTAAAAAGAGTAAAAAGACAATGCAAAAATTGCATTTGCTTATGCTGCTGCAATTTTTTCTTGGCAAGTAGTAGGAATAGTGAGCTTATTTTCCCCTTATATATCCAATTCTATTAGTTTTATTTTTGGGTGGATTCAATGAAGGCTGCGTCCGAGCTCACTTTTGTCCGCAACTTGATTTTGCTTTGATTTTTTCCGCCCAGTGTCGAATACCACCAATCTTTTCAAAATTCGTCGTGCACTTTTATTTTCTCATTTCAATTGCATGCCCCAATATAACATTTCCAGTTAAATAAGGTGTGAGCGGTAAATTATCGGGCTAAAAGCCAGCGAAGAATAGCGTCGATTTCCGAAAAAGGAACCCCTCAAACAAAAATTCCGCAATCTTTTTTTCTGATTAAAAAATAATAAAGTTGCAAAAAATGTGTCAAGATTTTTCACTTGTACTTTTATTTGTGGCGAGCAGCCATTTCAGTATTGCCTTGTGCACTCTTACTGCGTTTTGCCAAGCTGAATCGAGTTTGTCAATTTTTTGGTCACTTTTTTACTTCACCACAGCTCCCCCACATATTTTTCAAAATAGCAAATATCCTTGCTTTAGAATATGACTAATGGGTTGATATGAATAAATGAGAGCATCGGCATCTACACAAAAGTTCGAAAAGGAATTTCCTTTTCTATCTGGCTGCCATTGCGCACTTGGAAAGCTGGTTAGCGCAAATGTGCCCTAAAAGCCTAGCCGTACCGGTTTAAACAAAGCAGCCAATTACGCCAAGGGATTGATTCAGATATGAGATTGGTTCTAGTGGTTAATTCGACAAGCAATCGTTAAGTATTCATCACGTGTTAACATTTCCAGTTTTTCAATTTCGTTTTTTTTCTTCTTCGTGTGCGCAGCACATACATAAATCCGCGTTGCCCTTATGTCAGGATATCGTCAACAAGCCCTCTTACTTTTTTTGCCAAACAATCGAAATTTGTTGCTTTCTCTCTCAATTTATTTCTCACACGCTTTATTTTCAACCACTTCACATTCAAATGCCCAAAGACAGCCCGCAGCGGGCAAACCTTTCACAAAAGCGGCGATACGAGGCGACGACGCCACAGCGCCACCATAGCGCCGACTCACCCCTATCTGTACGAAAGCTTCCCAGGCCAGATCAAGGCACGGGAAACAGCAGTGACGATGTAATTCTGTGGCAAGCCATGTCACCCAGCGGCACACTCAAACGTGTCCTCCGCCAGCGTATATACCTGGCCAAAAAGATGTTCTGGTGGATGATGCGACTCTGACCAGGGGCATCGTACAGCAAATTATCGAGAGCCGGAACACAGAAAACTTGCAAACGCTGATAACCCGATGATGCAAATGATAGGAGTAGAATTGTCGGACGGTTGCCGCCTCCGCGTTTCAACTTGTGCCGTGAAGAATCGAAGGACTCGTCGGGGGCGAGTCAGAGAACATGATGCGAATGACTTTGATGCGGATTTGTTGCTTGACAAGACACCACTGACTCAGCAGCGCACGCTTCGGCCGGTTCCACGCCCGTTAACGGTATCGAGAAGCGAGAAGGGCTTTGACAAGCGCAAGCTCCTCTCCAGCTTGCTGCTGCTGCCTCGGCCAGATACCGCCGCTGTCAAGCCCACTCTGTATGTCACCCCTGCTCCAATTGTGCCAACCAAAATTGAGTACTCAGCAGACAATGCAAAAACGCGGGCTCTGAGGCAACACAATCCACAAGTGTTGCTATTACCGCCACCGCCACTCTTGTCAATGATGAAGGCGATGTTGGCGACTCGCAGATGAACAACACAGCTGATTTTCTCAGCATGCCAACAGAGGACACCAAGGTCGAAAGCCAGCTGGACGACAATGTTGACTTCGACTTGCAGCTTGCCGAATTGACATGGACATCCTCCTGGAAGACTTGGACTCGATGGAGGATTTGGAGGACATGGGCGCGCTGGAGGGCATTGATGATTTGCTGTTAGAGACTGAATCGACACCCCTGTCAAGACCAGTTACCGACTCAATCGATCACATTTTTAGAAACTTTGAAAAGTGCTGACGCTGTTGGTCACAGACGGTCTTTACACAAGATCGCAGCTCGATGTCCCAGCAGGCACATTCGGCGCGCTGCCGCAAAAGATCGTACGCGTGTACTCGCAGACCGCACGGCGAGAGCGCAGCGTGTATCTGCGTGACGACTGGTACTCGACGCCCATCATTATTGGCGACTACCTGAATCTTGTCGGAACCATCCCCGAGACCACGGGCGAAAGCGTTGTTGTCATTGATTCGCAAGCCGGCAATCTGCTGCCAATTCTGCACCCAGACATCCTCGTGTCGTGCACGCACCTGGCGGAGTCGTTCTTTTGCATCCGCCGCGCCGTGCTAAAGGACCGCATCCGAGAGATCAGCGACGGCAGCCCGCCGAACACCGTGATGCTGATCGGCACGCTCTTGCATGACCTGTTTCAAAGCTGCACGCTGAAAAACAAGTGGGATACCGCTACAATGACTGCGACTATCAGCTCGCTCATTGCAGACAATATTGAGCATTTGTGGGCGTGCCAGATTGACGAAGAATCGGTCCATAAGCAGATCACAGAGGTCGTGCCCATCTACCAGGACTGGGCAAAGCGGTACATGCACAGGTGGGCGTCCAATGGCTCGTACTACGCGACTCCGAGCACGGGCGATCCGTGCCCTAACCCCAACACGGGTTCGGCGTCGGTCGCGCTGTCAAAGATTCTTGATATCGAGGAGAACGTGTGGTCGCCCAAGTTCGGGCTCAAGGGTAAGGTCGATCTGACTGTTCTGGCGCAGTACTCGGCAGCCGGGGCAATGGTCGAGCCCTTTGAGTTGAAGACCGGTCGCATCACGCAGAACACGTCACATCGCGCGCAGCTGGTGCTCTACACGCTGATGCTGTCGGATCGCTACAACGTCGACATCAACTCAGGGTTGCTGTACTATCCGCGCACCGGCGAAATGATCCAAGTGCCGCGAGTGGCCGCCGAACTGCGGGGCCTAATGACAACGCGCAACCAGATGACGCAGTACCTCAAACACAACAAGCAGATAGCGCGCTTGCTCCCCGAGATGGCAGGTGACGATTTCAAGTGCAGCCGCTGCTCGTACCGGCCCTCATGTTTCATCGCACATCGCGCGCTGGAGGCGGCAGCGACCAGACTGCGCGGGTCAGCACGGACTCGTGGATGGGGCAAGTCGACCATCTCTCCGAGAGACACCTTGAGTTTATGCGCACATGGATGGCGCTTATTGACGGCGAGGAGTCGGACATGATGCAGTTCCGTGCCGAGCTGTGGAACATGCGCTCGGACCACCGCGAGCTGCGCACAGGGCGGTGCCTGTCAAACATGCGCATTGAGGTTGACACTGTCGAGGACACGCGCGCGATGGGCTCGTACAACCGATACAAGATTACGTTCGTGCCTGCCCCTGGATCAACCCGGCGATCGATGCTGGATAGCCAGATTTCGGCCGGCGACCCTATCTCCGTGTCATCCGAGACCGGGCAGTACGCGCTGTCAGTCGGCTACGTTTACGCACTTGAGTATAACCGCATCATTTTGGCGCTCGACCGGCCTGTGCGCGGCGTGCCCAAGCGAATGCCCGGATTTTGCCGGAAGAACAACCAGGATTTTGAGTCGATTGTCGAGATCCGCCAGCGCGGGCCAAATGTCAGAGTGAGGAGACAGTTATTCACCCTGAAGTCCCCCAGAGCGCGAGCAAGGACACGTTCCGCATCGATAAGGACGAGATGAGCACTGGAATGAGCCGCATCCGGGCAAACGTGATGCGGCTGTTTGTGCCCATGGCGGCGACTCCAGGTGGCGGCGGCTCATTGTGGACCTGCAGGCGCCGACGTTCCGCCCGCTGCATGAGAACATCGAGGCGCGCGTGCTTGAGGTGCAGCGGCTGAAGCGGCTGAACAGCGGGCAGGCTGCAGTGCTGCGCAAGGTGCTCGCGGCCAACGACTACGCGCTGGTCATGGGCATGCCCGGAACCGGCAAGACAACGACCATTGCTGAGCTTGTGAATGTGCTCGTGGACTCTGGAAAAGCGTGCTGCTGGCGTCGTACACGCACGTCGCCGTCGACAATATCATGCTGAAGCTTCAGGACCGCGGCATCCGGATGGTGCGCTTGGGGAACCGCAATAAAGTGCACCCGCGCGTTGTCCAGCACCTTTCGTCCGAGCACAGCTCAAGACCGTCCGGCAGATCGACGATTTCTTTCGCCTGGCGCCCGTTGTGGCTACCACGTGCCTGGGCGTCAACCACCCGATCTTCACCATGCGCAAGTTTGACTACTGCATTATTGACGAGGCGTCCCAGATTACGCTTCCGGTCTGCTTGGGCCCGCTTCTCGAGTCTACAAGGTTTGTGCTCGTCGGCGATCACCACCAGCTGCCCCCGCTTGTGCGCAACGCTAGTGCACGCGACGCCGGGCTGGGCACATCTCTGTTCAAGCGGCTGTGCGAGGCGCACCCTTCAGCCGTCGTGCGGTTGGAGTATCAGTACCGCATGAACTCAGATATCCAGCGCCTGGCGAACAACCTGATATACGACGGGCATCTGCGCTGCGGCTCGCACCAGGTCGCCACCCAAAAGATCAGCTACAAGATGGACCCTGCGACGGCTATCGAGACGTGGCCGTTTGCTGTCGAGCGACCCATAGGCGACATCAATATGGCATGGGCCGTGGCGGCACTCGATCCGAGCAAGGGCGCGGTTTTCATCGATACCGACTGCGTGCCGGGCACTGAGAGCAGAGCAGAGGGCGCGGATATTGCGCAAAACGATGTGGAGATCAAAATCATCAAGGTGCTGACCAGTATTTTGCTAGCTTGCGGTGTCGAAGGGCGCGATGTCGGGCTGCTGTCGCCCTACCGCACCCAGCTCAAGCAGCTGGAGATCGAATACGGAGTACGGTCGGCAGAGCCGGATGACATTGCAGGCGACCACGCATCTGCATCTGCTGCAGCAATGTTATTGGCAGGCGGTATTGCCAAACCACAGCGGCATCGAGATGCACACTATCGATCGGTACCAGGGGCGGGATGCCAACATCATTATCATTTCGTTTGTGCGCAGCAATATTGGGCTGGCGATCGGCGACCTGCTGCGCGACTGGCATAGAATCAACGTCGCCATAACCCGGGCGCGGTATAAGCTCATCATGGTTGGGTCTAGCTCGACTTTGCAGCGGTCGCCGCTGCTTGGTGGGATTATCCGGATCTTGGGCTGTAGCGGGTGTGTCGTTCAGATTCCCCACAAGGCGCCAATACCCGCTACCACAGGCTCTTCCATTTCTTCAGCGCCTGCTTCTGTAGCGCATCCGGCTGCAGTAAACACTGCGAGGACTGCAGGCGGCAGCGCATTGATAAAGAGACTCCCCATTACTGCAAACATCATTGCTGAATATAGGCTATAATAGCGCGCGCTTTCCGCTGCACATTTAAAATTGATATAGACTTGCTGTTGGCTGAGCCTGATTGCTTTTTTTGTTTGTTGTTAGAGCTTAGAACATTCACTGCTTTATTTGGGCACAATGCTAGTGGCAAAAATTGTAGAAAATTGGAGAAATAGAAACAAATACAAAAAAGTGTATGCGGGGGAAGGTCTGGAAGGGCAAAGATGCATTGCAGCACGGCCTGGGAATTAAATGAGCCCCTTCCCTACGCATTCAGCAGCCTCGAGACGGCCTTTGATGCAAACAAATATGCTAGCAGGACGAACAGAATGATCCACTTGCGCGAGTTTCCAGCCAGAGGCATTGTCGCCTCCGCTGCAGGCGCCTGCTGCAAGCGCTGGTTGCCGCAACCCTCTGCTGTGTCGGCGTCGCAGGCGGTCGAGCCTCAGTCGCAGGCAGCGCCTTCTGGGAGGGCTTAACTACAAGTTTATCAGTCACAGGGTCCAAGGAAGGCTCCGGCGCAGGCTCAGGCGTGCACAGCTCCGGGAAAATATCCGCAAACAGCTTGTTCGCCAAATTAAACGCATGCGACTTGCGCGCCAGCGCCTTGCGATCAGAATACGACAAGCGGATACTGCCCGTGGTGACCTCGTCCTCAACCATGAAAGAGAGCATTCCATTGAGAATCGTCGATACCGACCACGCGGATTCCAAGTGCTCGGATGGAAGTTGCTCATGCTCATGCAGATGTTGGTGTTCGTCTGGAACCGCCCGCTGGGCGTGATCATCTGAATAGCTGGTGGCTTGTACGGGTAGTCCGATGGAAACTTTAGCCGCCCGTGGTATTCGCCGCCGGAGTACGGCGTGTCTGGCGGCCCGCGCAGGACGTAGTGCCACTCGAGAATATTTGACTCGAGGGGCTTTGCTGTGATAAAGGGTGTTGGATTGGCTTCAATTGCCAGGTACTCCTTACTCAACCGCTTGAATGCTGCTCGCGAAGCCATGGTCTGATTGGAAAAATAATGACAAGCCTTGTGCTAATCAATACGCTAATTAACTGCCGAATGCGGAGGCACAATTAAAATAAATTGTAAATGTATATTAAGCAAAAGAATGATAAAAAAGCAAAGCAAAACTAATATCAGAGAAGAGAAAGTTCAATCTCTCCTGTTGGCTGTGCGGCGCATATGCTTTGGAGGTCTCCCCCAGGCTTGCCTTTAAAGCCCCCTTTGTATGCGTGCGTTTGTGTATGACAAGGGTCCGTCTATTTTGGCGGTTTGTGATTGGACAGCGCAATTTCCCATCCAAGGCTTTCCTCCGCATCCACGTGATCTTATATACGGATTTCGCAGCAAAGCGGATTCACGAACATCACATCCTCGACAATGTCTTATCCAGGTAAACTGTGACCGCTTATGCGTTATATAGTGTGTGTATGGAGAGAATGGTGTTAAATTCAATACGGCTTGGGAAGCTCTATCTCCAGAACTCGCTTTTGCGATATGTTTGCTGGCGGCGGCATGTTAGTCCGCTGCAAGTACGCCTTCCTCAACGTCACTCGCCATTCGTTGGCGTTGTCTACATAAATACATTTAATTAAAAAACCCAAATAAAGCAATGCATAAATATGCATTTATATATTCTTAGCAAAGGCCTAGTGCACACTGAATTTTGAGAACGGCTTGACTGGGCTCGCAATCCCAAAGCGTACCTACACAAGTTATAGTTGCTATTAACTCCTGCGATCGCGAATGCCAAGGCGTAGAAAGCGATAAACAGGATCAGATTCGGGCGATGACGGCCGGCATGTTTTATTAATTAATATCAAAAGTTAATGATTTAATACACAACAGATATCAAATATATAAATAAAAATATACATATCAGAGCTAGCTAACCAACAAACAAGCAACACAACTTGACCCACAGCGAATCGAATATTGCAAGCAATCGTCCCCACATGCATGTCAACGTCCAAATGTTGAAAAATAAAAGTATAGAAAAATAAATTACTGCCTTGAAAATAGTGAAAAATGCTAAAAAAAATATAAAACACGCGAATGTGCTTTTAAATAAAGACAAACACAAGAAAAGTGCTTCTGGAAAAGAGCAAAAAAAGAACAAACACCAAACGGGTGCTTACAAAATAGAGATAAAAACAAACACCAGTAAGCAAGTGCTTAGTAAACCGCCAAAAGTGAGACAGCTTCCAGTATATGTAGAGTGAGATTAGCGGAAGATGCTTTTGATGACGCCAAAGATGGTGTGCCTGCGACGCTTGTCCTTGGTAGGCTGTTGGTGCTGCTCGGCATCTGAAGACCCGCGCTCTCATCGTGCTCAGCATCGGACCTCTTGGCTTGACCAGCAGCCTCGCTATCGCTGTTATGTTCCGAAGGGAACGATCCCGGAATCTTTGAGATAATATTGTCGTCGTTCAAATCTCCTCTACACCAACCGTAGTGATAGAAGCTGACACGCTCATATGCTTGCCATCCTCCGATGCGCCCGACGAACGCAGTGGCGACTTGGGAAGCTTGCTTGATGCTCGTTACGTCTGCCCGAAATAAACCGCTTCATGCGTTGGCTCACTGAAACCTCGCTGTCCACCGCCTGGTACCCAGAGTCGCGCGACCTGCGGCCTGTAGATGTGGCATTGATGGCTGATACGCCAACAACAGCGTGGGCCTTTTGCGCGCTTTGCAGATCCTCGATCGTGATCAATGCGGGTGCAATCGATGATGCGTCGCCGAAGAGTGACTCTGGGTAGTGCATGATGTATGAGGGAGTTGTGACGACAGGCGGTACGCCATCAGTCGCAACAGCACTGGCAGACGCCAAATCACGATCGTAAGTTGACTGATTGATAACAGAATCAACCTCATCGAGGGGCTTGCGCTCCGACTCGACAGCTTGGGGCTCCTTGGCAATAAACAGGCACGCGGTCTCGGCTGTGTCTCTTGCCAAAGCTGTCAGTACCCGCAGCAACAGATATTCCGGCAGAAATGTAATTATCATTGGCAGTCGGCGGTGCAGTCTCAGTGGAATCAGCAGCATTAGCCGGTGCAGCTGCGCCAGATGCAACTGAGGGCTCGCTGGACTCTGTAATATCAAAGTCTCAGCAATAGGCTCATTATCTCCTTAGAAATAAATTCAGAGACCTCAACCTCGGAAGCAGATTCAATAACTGGGACGACAGCAGATGTCGGCGCTGATTCGATAACATCCTCGACGACAAAACCATGGGTAGAAGCATTAGTAACAGCAGGCTCCTCGACAGGAAGCTCCTCCGCCACAGACTCGGTAGCAATAACAGCCTCACCCGCAGCAAGGGCAGCAATGTTGTCAACAATTTGTTCATCAGTGACAGGAGATACAACCTCGACATAACTGAGAAATGAATCAACAGAAACTGCACGTGCAGAAGTAACCTCACACAGCCTCAGGGGGCAACAGCCTCCTCAACGACGGCCTCGGAGTGGCAACAGCCTCCTCAACGACGGCCTCGCGAGTGGCAACAGCCTCCTCGACAACAGCCTCGGGGTGGCAACAACCTCCTCAACGACGGCCTCAGGAGCGGCAACAACCTCCTCAACGACGGCCTCGGGAGCGGCAACAGCCTCCTCAACGACGGCCTCGGGAGCGGCAACAGCCTCCTCAACGACGGCCTCGGGAGCGGCAACAGCCTCCTCAACGACGGCCTCAGGAGCGGCAACAGCCTCCTCGACAACAGCCTCAGGAGCGGCAACAACCTCCTCAACAACGGCCTCGGGAGCGGCAACAACCTCCTCAACGACGGCCTCGCGAGTGGCAACAGCCTCCTCAACGACGGCCTCGGGAGCGGCAACAACCTCCTCAACGACGGCCTCGGGAGTGGCAACAACCTCCTCAACGACGGCCTCGGGAGTGGCAACAACCTCCTCAACGACGGCCTCAGGAGTGGCAACAACCTCCTCAACGACGGCCTCGGGAGTGGCAACAACCTCCTCAACGACGGCCTCAGGAGTGGCAACAGCCTCCTCAACGACGGCCTCGGGAGTGGCAACAACCTCCTCAACGACAGCCTCGCGAGCGGCAACAACCTCCTCAACAACGGCCTCAGGAGTGGCAACAACCTCCTCAACGACAGCCTTGGAAGCAGCAACAACCTCCTCAACGACGGCCTCGCGAGTGGCAACAACCTCCTCAACGACGGCCTCGGGAGTGGCAACAACCTCCTCAACGACGGCCTCGGGAGCAGCAACAACCTCCTCAACGACGGCCTCGCGAGTGGCAACAACCTCCTCAACGACGGCCTCGGGAGTGGCAACAACCTCCTCAACGACGGCCTCAGGAGTGGCAACAACCTCCTCAACGACAGCCTTGGAAGCAGCAACAACCTCCTCAACGACGGCCTCGCGAGTGGCAACAACCTCCTCAACGACGGCCTCGGGAGTGGCAACAACCTCCTCAACGACGGCCTCGCGAGTGGCAACAACCTCCTCAACGACGGCCTCGGGAGTGGCAACAACCTCCTCAACGACGGCCTCGCGAGTGGCAACAACCTCCTCAACGACGGCCTCGGGAGTGGCAACAACCTCCTCAACGACGGCCTCGCGAGTGGCAACAACCTCCTCAACGACGGCCTCGGGAGCAGCAACAACCTCCTCAACGACGGCCTCGGGAGCAGCAACAACCTCCTCAACGACGGCCTCGGGAGTGGCAACAACCTCCTCAACGACGGCCTCAGGAGTGGCAACAACCTCCTCAACGACAGCCTCGGGAGCAGCAACAACCTCCTCAACGACGGCCTCGCGAGTGGCAACAACCTCCTCAACGACGGCCTCGCGAGCGGCAACAACCTCCTCAACGACGGCCTCGGGAGTGGCAACAGCCTCCTCAACAACGGCCTCGGGAGTGGCAACAACCTCCTCAACGACAGCCTTGGGAGCAGCAACAACCTCCTCAACGACGGCCTCAGGAGTGGCAACAACCTCCTCAACGACAGCCTTGGGAGCAGCAACAACCTCCTCAACAACGGCCTCGGGAGTGGCAACAGCCTCCTCAACGACGGCCTCGGGAGTGGCAACAACCTCCTCAACGACGGCCTCGGGAGTGGCAACAACCTCCTCAACGACGGCCTCAGGAGTGGCAACAACCTCCTCAACGACGGCCTCGGGAGCAGCAACAACCTCCTCAACGACGGCCTCAGGAGTGGCAACAACCTCCTCAACGACGGCCTCGCGAGTGGCAACAACCTCCTCAACGACGGCCTTGGGAGCAGCAACAACCTCCTCAACGACAGCCTTGGAAGCAGCAACAACCTCCTCAACAACGGCCTCGGGAGTGGCAACAGCCTCCTCAACGACGGCCTCGGGAGTGGCAACAGCCTCCTCAACGACGGCCTCGGGAGTGGCAACAACCTCCTCAACGACAGCCTCGGGAGCAGCAACAGCCTCCTCAACGACGGCCTCGGGAGTGGCAACAGCCTCCTCAACGACGGCCTCGGGAGTGGCAACAGCCTCCTCAACGACGGCCTCGGGAGTGGCAACAACCTCCTCAACGACGGCCTCGCGAGTGGCAACAACCTCCTCAACGACGGCCTCGCGAGTGGCAACAACCTCCTCAACGACGGCCTCAGGAGCAGCAACAACCTCCTCAACGACGGCCTCGGGAGTGGCAACAACCTCCTCAACGACGGCCTCGGGAGCAGCAACAACCTCCTCAACGACGGCCTCGGGAGTGGCAACAACCTCCTCAACAACGGCCTCGGGAGTGGCAACAACCTCCTCAACGACGGCCTCAGGAGTGGCAACAACTTCCTCAACAACGGCCTCGGGAGCAGCAACAACCTCCTCAACGACAGCCTTGGGAGCAGCAACAACCTCCTCAACGACGGCCTCAGGAGTGGCAACAACCTCCTCAACGACGGCCTCGCGAGTGGCAACAACCTCCTCAACGACAGCCTCGGGAGCAGCAACAACCTCCTCAACGACGGCCTCGGGAGTGGCAACAACCTCCTCAACAACGGCCTCGGGAGTGGCAACAGCCTCCTCAACGACGGCCTCGGGAGTGGCAACAACCTCCTCAACGACGGCCTTGGGAGCAGCAACAACCTCCTCAACGACGGCCTCGGGAGTGGCAACAACCTCCTCAACGACAGCCTCAGGAGTGGCAACAACCTCCTCAACGACAGCCTTGGGAGCAGCAACAACCTCCTCAACGACGGCCTCGGGAGTGGCAACAACCTCCTCAACGACAGCCTCAGGAGTGGCAACAACCTCCTCAACGACGGCCTCGCGAGTGGCAACAACCTCCTCAACGACGGCCTCGGGAGTGGCAACAGCTTCCTCAACGACGGCCTCGGGAGTGGCAACAACCTCCTCAACGACGGCCTCGGGAGCAGCAACAACCTCCTCAACGACGGCCTCGGGAGCAGCAACAACCTCCTCAACGACGGCCTCGGGAGTGGCAACAACCTCCTCAACGACGGCCTCAGGAGTGGCAACAACCTCCTCAACGACAGCCTCGGGAGC